CAACTATAGATAAATAAATGGCATCCTACTATTAGTTGTCTAACCACTTATAATCTATTAGCTGTGATATAGATTGTAAAATTACTATGGTCGAGATAACCCTATAGAGGCTCAATCTATAACAAATAATTTTACTGTAAACAGTAAATTAATTTTAGTTATTTCTTTCATATTCAAGTTAGGCTGCGTCCAAGTGTTCCTTGGTTAGAGGAGGGAAATGCTCACTACTGTTGCACTACCTATGAAGTAAAAAAGTTTTTACAAAACTTTTTTAATTCTTAAGAATTAAAAACATTTATAATAATTTAAAAATCTAAGAATTAAAATTCTTGATTTTTTTAAATTATTATAATATTTTTATATTCTTATACCTTAAGGAATTAACTATAAACAATAATATAAGGATAATTAAAAATTATCTCTTATATTTAAATGTTATAGTTTAATTCTCTAAATAGATATCAAAATTATTTATCTTACATATTAAATTATTTACCTTTAATTCATTTATAATAAAAAAAACTTTATATTTTTAGCAAATGATATATTTTCTATTATCTATCTGAATTTAATTTTTAAATGTTTAATGTTTTTTTCAAATCTGTGAATTATCTTGGGATAACTCCAACAATCACTATTTAGTGTCATCTTACCGTAACTATATTTTTCAGATTACCAAATAAATCAGTATTGTTTGCCTCCTTTTTTTTCCAAATTTGAACCACTCGTTCACATAATTTTGTAGTTCATAGAGTCCAGCAGTGCCAAATGTTTTGTGCATATCATCATGTATACAATGTGGTTCCACCAACAAGATATGTGATAATGCACTAATACCAATTAAAGAATAAAAGGGTTTGAAGATGATTTTAGGTAGAATATGGCATATAGGATATGGTGCATGTTGCTTTTCATAAAGAACAAGTTGTTGGCTGTGATTGATGTCTAAAAGTTATAAAAGTGCATTGAGACATCGAAGCTGCTTAGAAGCCGTAGATGATCATTGCTTGATGGTATTTGAATAAAGGGTGGGTGTACATTGCTGTGAATGGTACTATCATCATCATTGGTGGTTTCACCTCCATTACTACTGATACTGCTACTACTACTTCCAGAAGCCTTCTTGTAGTTCCCATTAGTAAAAGTTAATATTCTTTTTCCAACTTTCTCTCCTGAATTATGCTTTCACTTGATGCTTACTGTTCCATTGTAGTTATCACTATAGTGAATCGAGGAAGCTCCTTGGCCTGAAATTATAATGATAGTTGAGCTGGGTGGCTGCGCTTAGTTTTCTTAAATATAAGTGATACTGTCAATTATAGTACAAACCTGCTTTTACAAAATGCCAGTAGAATACAACTTGCTTAATAGCTTGCTTTCCTTTTATAAATTCAAAGTAATTTACCTCAGCTAAGAGTGTGTTAATGTATACTTTTATGTATTGACTCAAAAGATAGTTTATGATTGTAAAGAACAAATGTTTTAAATATATTTCTATTATTTATTATTATTTTATTAAAATTCAAGATTAAATACCTTTTTCATGAATATCTTTTTTGTTATCAATTTTTACAACTTTATTTTTATTATATTTCTTATGTATTTATTTCTATGAGAGTTATTATAAATATATTTATTTTCTTTATTTTTATTGATTTTTTTAAGAATTAGAATTTTGCTGCTATATATTAAATAAATACCATTTATATTATCTATTTCGATTATTAAATTATCTGTCATTATTTCATTTATAATAAATACTATCCTTATAATTTTGCAAATGATATTATTTCTAGTATCTTGAATATCATTTAAAGTATATATTTTATTATATATTTGAAATTCAATTTTAGAATGTTTTTTATGTATTTTAAAAATCTATAAATTATCTTATGATAACTCTCTTTTATATTATAGGTAAGGATTCTTTTACATTTTATACTTGAAAGTTGTTACTAGAAACTATCCAGGAGAGCAGCCTTTTTTGATTTTTGAATCTGGCCTTTGGTATGATATTTGAGGTAGCTTTTGAAACTCCATTGTACAAAAGGAATTTTAGCAACTGGTTGTTGAAGATATTACTCAGTTGAGTCTATAAAATACTTATAGTTTATTATCTATATATAAGAATTTTATACTTAAATAAAATATAATATCATAAAAGCTTATGCAACCTTCGTACTTCATTCTAGAATCAGGAAATATAATATGTCTTTTAACTCTCTAATATCTTATATACTATATACATATAAACAATGCTTAACTGAAATCTTATCTCCTTTTGATATAAATATAGAAGAAGATAAAATAAGTAAGTTTGTGAAGATAAAATACAAGATTCAAATGTATAGACCAGTATATTATTTGGTTCACTATATATACACATCTATACAGATATAGTACAGTTGACCCCCTTTAATATCAACCCTCAAGTACACCTGAAAGTGTTGACGCCAACGGGGGTTGACGTTAAAGGGGGTAGCACAAAGTTTAAAAATATTAAACCAGCACATACACCCCGACACAATGTATGTATGCAACAGAGTCGTTCCTAACAATGTATTTTCAACCAACAACGAAATAACCACTTTTGATTAGATATGTTTGACCTTAATAAGAAGTCAACCCTGGCCAAGGTGTTGACATTGATCTTATGTAAAAGTTGAAATTTATCTCTGCTAAAATGTGAGGTTCTCAGAAAAAGGCTGACCATATTGGGGGTTGACATTAAAGGGGTTGACATTAAAGAGGGTCCACTGTATGCATTCAAAGGTTTTTATATTATATAATAGAAAAGTCTGTAGAAAGTCCTATTAATAATATAGGTTATAATAAATGGAAATAATTTTCCTGGCATATTGTTTATAAAACAATTTATAAACCAAAAGCTTAGGAATATAAAGGGAGTTAATTATTAATAATTAAATGTTCAACAAATCTTGATTTGTTAGAACTTTTAATTAATTAATATTAACAGTGAATTATAAATAATAAGGATCCAAGTTCACTCAGCTGGGGTTGCTGCATGCGCTCGGGATGTTTTAGGAGTATAGAAGATCTCAGGATCTGCTGTATCGAATTCAGATTCTGGCACTTTGTGATCATACTTTTCATATTCTTCTTAGCGTTCCTTCCGTGCTAACACTGGAGGCACATAGGCTTGCAAGTTATATAAGTGACGCTATTCAACCACACATTATCATTTTAACTCTGTTAGCAATATGCATTTCATAAATATATGTCTAATTGATTGGTCGAATATACCTTGAAAGTGTATATAAGCTTCAGTGTATCATAGAAGTCGGCGAAACCACACAGTGACCGTGGTATATACATATTGCCCACTTCCTGAACGACATATCTTGCCATGCTTACATATAGATAGCATATTGCCAATAAACCCTATGAACCCTATAAGTCCCAAATGGAAATATATAAAATTTAGAGTATTGTGAACCTACTAATCCAATCCATGTAGAGCACGTGTGGGGAGCAGTCCTTGGCAAATGGCAGGGAGTTCAAGTTACGGCAAAGATAGGCATTGCTTCTCATGTTTTTGGTTTGTTGTTCATAGGCTACAGAAGTCGTAATACCAGGTGCCTTCCATACACAGCATGCGATTTCAGTGTCTCCAGTGGTAACAATCGCATCGATCTTTCGTCCTATAACATTATGGGTAGTGGTGAAACTGCCACCAGGACCATACAACCGTTCATTGTGTAATTTTACTTTTTTGGTTTTGGCTGATGCGAGCTCCCTACTATTTATAATTCAGAGGTTAGCAAAAGTATACTACACTTACACACAAATAAATATATATAGGTATATGCCCATCTATCATACTTACAGTGAGAATTCATAGGTAGTATTCCTGAATGCTGTACATAGAATATTGTAACAAATAATTATCATATCCATCTCACTATAAGTGTCAGACTTATGACCACCAGAATCCAGGTATCATATCCTATGTAGAGCTTATCAGTAACAACAAATGGTGAGGATGTATAATGTCAACACGGTAAAGAAGTGCTTACAAATAATCCAAAATATCAATGCCTTGTAAAATTTCATTGTCGATATCCGTTTGCAATAGCATGTTCTTATGGTGTGATAGCTGTCTTAATGCTTAGTGGATTCCCTTTACACTACATATTTCGCTTTTGTTAGAACCTCACAAAGTAGGCATTTATAAAATGCAAACAATTTGATTCTTTCTCCTCGTTCTACTAACCTGGATGACTTCGTTCACAACATTTTTAAAATCGTCGCACAGTTCTTCGATTTCTATTTTCTCCTTCGTAAGTTTGTTCCAGTCTTCCGGTTCAAATATTTTCTTGTAGTACTGTGCGTTTGATTTATGTGCTTGGTCAACGATTAAAGAAAGCGTCAATCTAATTTAGAAAAAACCCGTTAGTAAATCAGATGGGCATTCTCGTAAAGCGGATGTAAGTATACAAACATACGTACTGCGTCATATTTTTCATGAGAGTGTTGATGGCTAATTCTGTAAAATTGACAGTGACACCATGTTTAATCTATCTTCAAAACTTTCTGTATTGTTCATGATCGCATGGACTGTCGATTCTGGAATGTTATATTCCTTGTTGTTGTGCTATACAAAATTCATAAAGCTGGTGAGACCTACGTGCAAACTTAAACACTAGGTGTGTAGGCTATTATCAAGTGGTTAAAAACAGCTTGATAATAGCTTGATAATAGCTTGCTATGTAGTTATCACGTTGTTTGTGAACAGCTTGATAATTATGCTGAAACAGCTTCGATTGTTATTATCAAGCTGTTTTTCACCACTTGATAATTTGCTCATGCATATACGTGGAAATGGGGGTTTTTGATATCATGTATGCAGTAGTGGTTGGGTTCTATATCACATTACATATGGATTGGGTACTAGGTGCAGTCAAATTCGCAACAGAGTTCTGCATCGCATATTTTAATGTACTTCTTTACATGCATACTGATCAAAGCAGCAAGGCAATTGGTTGTATAATTATTTTTTGGATTGTGAATTTACGTGTTATGGTTGATCGAAACCGGTTTTATTATTAAAAATTGATTGACGATTATTACAAATAAAAACATGCTATAGAGATGAAACTAAGCAAAAATTTCTATTCTAAGGGGAAGTGCTATATTGGTTGGTGTGCTGGGGCGGCGGTATGACAACAAAGAATTGCTAATCTACAGCAAGGCAATTAGCAAAAATAAGAGGGTCAAATTGTAAGAGGAGAACTCAGCAGCAATGTCTAAGAGGCGAGATACATAATGAGAAAAAAAGTAGAAACGAAGACAGAAAGAAAGTATACTTACAGATAGCGCTACTTGTGTGGCAACAGTCAGGTGCAAACAAAGACTCTAAATAAGAAGATATAAATGCTAATAGCTTCAGATAGTTGAAAGCGTAGGCAAATAAAATATAAGGGACTATTAGTATCTGAGCCTCTCAACCATCAGAAAAGACTGTAAAAAGAGGGAGAGAGCTTGGAATAAAAGAATAAAATGGAAAAAGTGTTAATATTATAATTCCTTCAGAGATAATTTATATATTCTATATTAATATAAGACAACATGAATAAGAGAATAATAAAGAATAAGTAATAAAAAGGCAGACCTTTTTAAATATATGTACAAAGTTAAAAAATCAATTGTTTTTATCTATAGTAAGAAAAAAAGAAAAATAAATCTTGATAATAATATGAATAAAATATATGTAATAAACATCTGTGAAATCTGTGAACTATTTTCTGAATTACCTGTAATTATTACTGTTTATAAAACTAGTATTAATTTCGTTTTTTTTATGCTCTCTTTAGAATGTGAAATACGAGGTTACAGCACGTTTGGATGCCCAGTGCACCTTATATCAAATGGCCTTGAATGCATCTTCACCGAGTTACTCAAAAATAATACTATCTATAGCATGGATGTAAGTACAGTCAACCCCCGTTTTTTGCAGCTATGGGATTTTAGGAGATTAGGCTGCAAAAAGTGGGAGGCTGTAAAATACAAAAGCATTACATAGGGCAAAATTTCAAGCTGTGAGCTGTCATTAATTATACACCAATGACATGGTTACTGTAGTAACTGAGAAATATAGTACTGAGACCAACCCATTTTGTTAATTCCTTTCTCTTCCCCCTTTTCTACTATCCATAATGCCACTAAAGGCTGATTACATAAAGTTTACTGAAGATCAAAACGATGAGATACAGTAATAAGATTACAATGGAACATCTTGATTTTATATATTTTTGATCAGATATGATATAGATAAATAGTTTATAACTCACCGTATGGATCAGGAGCTGTAACTTAAAAGGGTTTATAATCATCACCACATAAAATCCTGTGTGCTCATCAGATATCATTATGTGTTTCTTTACTCATACAGGACTTTTTATATTCATTGGTATTTAAAGGTATGGAGAAATATGGGTGGCAATAATTTCAACGGTGCTGAATTTTGGTACGCTTGGTCCGATGGTTCTGAGGGGTGAAGAAAATAGGGTGTTTGGGTGGTGCGGGACTGGATTCAGATTGTAAATCGATAACACCACAGAGACTTTCCATGTCTTCCCGGGCATGCAACATGCTCAATGACTTCTGACCAAGTTGTGTCATAAAGCGCTGGTATCGAAAAAATGCTTGTAAGGTAGGCTTGAAGGAGGAAATGTCGTTTAGGGATCGGGGCAGCTGCAGGACACTGATCTTTTTTGCAAAATAGATACCATCCACGTTTGCCAACATATATAGATAGCCACTATTCCCAATCCAATCCATTGCAACTCTGTGATGATGGCCGTGTTGATGATCAATGGCTTCAATGTGAGTAAGTATGGCTCCGTTTGTTCGTAGGTTCTTGCATTGCTGTGCCAAGGCACAAGTAGATGAGACGCGTGGACGTTTGAATTCATTGCTGGAGAGTTCAATGTCATTGCCATCATTTGCACGCTTCAGTAAGAGATCGATTTTCCGACCGTGCGCGGTATCGGGAGTGCTGCTTCCAAAAATATTCTCTATGTACTGGCGAGCCGACTTGGTGCACTGGCTGATGGATTCGCCATCCACTAATTTAATGCCTGTTGACTGAAAAAGATAATCCATAATTGCGGCGACACGGCGATAGACTGTCAACTCAGAATCGTCTTGGTGCCAATCATCAGAGGATTCAATCACAAATTCCAAGATGCATAGAACACGGTATTCTTGCGAGTGACGATTTTTGCCAATATTCAAACGTTTTAAATCAAGGATCAGAGCTAGCAGGTCTTCAATACATAAATAAAAATTGAAAATATAATAGTATATAAAATAATACATAAATTATAAATTATAATCTTTTAAAATTTAATAACTTTTTGTATATACCTAATTATAATCTATCTTCCAAAGTTAAAAAATCAATTGTTTTTATCTATAGTAAGAAAAAAAGAAAAATAAATCTTGATAATAATATGAATAAAATACATATAATAAACATCTGTGAAATCTGTGAACTATTTTCTGAATTACCTGTGATTATTACTGTTTATAAAACTGGTATTAATTTCGTTTTTTTTATGCTCTCTTTAGAATGTGAAATACGAGGTTACAGCACGTTTGGATGCCCAGTGCACCTTATATCAAATGGCCTTGAATGCATCTTCACTGAGTTACTCAAAAATAATACTATCTATAGCACAAATGTAAGTACAGTCAACCCCCATTTTTTGCAGCTATGGCATTTCAGGAGATTAGGCTGCAAAAAGTGGGAGGCTGTAAAATACAAAAGCGTTATATAGGGCAAAATTTCAAGCTGTGAGCTGTCATTAATTATACACCAATGACAGGGTTACTGTAGTAACTGAGAAATATAGTACTGAGACCAACCCATTATGTTAATTCCTTTCTCTTCCCCTTTTTCTACTATCCATATTGCCACTAAAGGCTGATTACATAAAGTTTACTAAAGATCAAAATGATGAGATACAGTAATAAGAATACAATGGCACATCTTGATTTTATATGTTTTTGATCAGATAGCTGATAAGAATATATAGATGGTCGGATCAGAAAATCGGTGTATATGCTTAGTGGGAAATTGCAGGGCACCTTTTTAGACCTGTAAGCTGCAAAAAGTGGGAAATCTGCAATTTTTTTAAGTAAAAAATAGGATTTATCCAAAGTTTGCTGCAAAAACTGAGGGCCTACTAAAAGCGGTCATGCAAAAAACGGGAGTTGACTGTAACCTTTTCGTTACACACATTTTCTGAGACATTATTGTAAAACTTTTTTTTAGATGATCAGGATAGCAGCGCTCCCAAATAAGGAGATTATAGACGAAATATAAGAGCAAGAGCTTTACACCCAGTTTTTAGATACAGCACTGACCCCCCTATGATGGGAGTTAATCATTAATAATTAAATGTTCAACAAATTTTAATTTGTTAGAACTTTAGTTAATTAATATTAACGGTGAATTATAAATAATAAAAATAAAAAAAAATTTAATTTTTTAATTTTTTATTATTATAATTGTTTTATATAAACATGTTTAATCCGGAACAGATATAACTGTTTATATTGGTAAACACCAAGGCTAGACCTTTACAGTCGACGACTTACTAGTCACATATTTCTTGATGAAATACAAAAAATAGTAGACACTTGACATGAAATCAATTAACATAATTAAATTGCTGTTTATAGCAAATTTAACTGTTAATGATTGAATTTCTATTTAATGATCCCTCCAACTTTTCTAGATGGTATGAATTTAGAAAAGTGTACAGATTTTAGACCCTAACAGCTATAGATAAATAAATGGCGTCCTGCTATTAGTTGTCTAACCACTTACAATCTATTAGCTGTGATATGGACTGTAAAATTACTATAGTCGAGATAACCCTATATGGTCACATATGGTATTTAGCTCTAAATTATTTTATTACTTATTTTGCTCTTTAAAGAATCTCATATTAAAGCTAACTATATTAACCTTTCTACTATTTGCCCAATTATATTTATGCTTTGTATATTGTTCATTCATATTTATATTTGGCTTTATATCAATTTGTTCATTTTTAACTATGGTTTCAATTGGTATATCTTTATTATCTAATATAGTGTGTTTTATAGCCTTATGCTTTTCAAAATAATCCTTTCGCTGTATATCTTTTACTATTTGCTTACCCTTTTGTTTATTTTTATTGTGTCTTCTTTTCTTTTTACGTTTTGGTATACTACAGGATTTTTCATCTCCTAGCAGACATTTGAACTTTTATTTAGGCAGAAGGGATTTAATTCTAGGCAGAGTAGACATGAATGTTAATCTGAGTAGACATGAATAAAAGTTAATCTGGACATGAATAATAATTGATCTGGACATGAATGAAAATCAAGCTGGACATGAATACAAATTGACCTGGACATGAATGAAAATCGATCTAGACATGAATAAAAATCGAGCTGGACATGAATATAAATTGACCTAGACATGAATAAAGATCGATCTGGACATGAATAAAGATCGATCTGGACATGAATATAAATTGACCTGGACATGAATATAAATCGATCTGGACATGAGTAAAATCAATCTGGACAAAATAAAAATCAATCTGTACATGAATGAAAATCAATCTAAACATGAATAATAGACAACCTGAACATAATAACAGTCAACCTGGACATTGTTTTAGTCAACTAAGACATAATAAAAGTTGAAGTAGATAATATATTAAGTGTAGCAGAGTGGAATATTTAAGTACTTAAGATTTTCAATTCAAGTCAAGACATAATAGAAGTTAAGTAGTACAAAGCCAATGTCAAGATATAGTAGTATGATGGCTGGTTCACTCGTGACAAATAGCTTGTAGGCTAATGTACAGGAAATGGCAAGGGTGTGTCAGAGACTCACTACTGTGCGCATAAGCCTATTTTGCGGGCAGGTCAGTAATGCAGCTTAATCCTGAAGCTATGCGAACTTGCAATAAAGAAATGATCCAGCATAAAGTATATGCTTAAATATAGATATATATGAAACACCTCTTTACCTATCATCATTGTATATGGGTATACATAGGACGGACAGTTTTATTATGTAAAAATCCAGGAACATTTGATGTGATACAAACGCGCTTTTATTTATTAAAATTTCTACCTACCTCATTACTGCTCATTTAAACGCAATGTCAGAAACAATGACCTCCATTCCAGAAGAACTTAGCACTACATAGGATGGATTCGATGCCGCAAAGAATGCCTGCTATGTATGGGGCAGAGAAAATGGTGTCTCGTTGCGTACTATTAGAAGTAATAAGACGGGAAATAAGAGGAAGCTCCAGATTGCTTGCAAGCATTATGGTGAGCCAGTCAACAAGGGCGTATGTGAAGAGCAGAAGACCACGACAAGACAAATGGTTATTGTAGATGACGAGGGCACGGCCATTGCATCATCCAAGGGTAAAAAGATCGACACTCGTCAAAGGGACTCTCAGCGGTTTGGTTGCAAATTCGAAATGATCCTTCGTCCTTTGAACCAGACCAGCAACCAATGGCACATAGTCTCTTTCTATGATGGCGGTCATAACCATGAGTTGGCAAACGAGCTTTCGTCGTACCCTATGCTCCGTAAACTCGATCACGATGAGGAGGTCGTTATGAAGATGGTACAGGCGCATGCAACCAACAAAGCTGTATTGTCTTATCTTGCCAGCAAGAACAAGATTGCTCATCCTAAGGACATCACCAATCTTCGTCAGCGCATCTTCAACAACGACCCAGATCATGCAATGTTCCAGCTAATCAAAAAGCTTCAAGAGAACGAGTACGAAGTCCAATGGAAAGCAAAACAAGAAGGCGACAAACGCTTTTTGCAGTCTCTCTTTTTGCGCACAGATCGGCAATCGCACTCGCTCGCCAATTCCCGGAAGTTGTTACCTTGGACGCCACTTACAAGATAAACAAGCACCGGTTGCCATTTATCAACATTGTTGGAACTGGCAATATTAGGTATCCCCAATTGATGACTTTCTGCATTGCTGGCTGCTGGGTATCAGAGGAAAACAATGACAGCTACGATTGGGTGATTCGCAAGCTTCAAACTGTCGTTTGGCCACTTGATCAGGTTTCGTCCCCTGGTGTGTTTGTAACAGACAGTGAAACTGCTTTGACCGGTGCTCTCGACCGCGTTTTTCCAACGGCGAAGAAGATCCTATGCAAGATCCATATACGACGCAACTTCAGGGTCAACCTACGCAAGCTTTTTGATGTCAAGGACCATTACGAGGAACTCGAGAAAGCTATCAATTTTTTAATGGCTAGTGAGTATCAAGACAAGTTCAACAATATGCGATCCACAATTTCGAACGGGAAGCTCGAAGAAAAGGCAATGAAGATGTATGAGGAGGCTGCTCAAAAAGTAAAAAGACCCGACGTTGTCATAGACTATTTGCAAAGGTATGTAAAATTGAATAAGCACGGATTTTTTGACCACATGATACTTGGACTTAAACATGTTTTTTCGGTATACAGAAAGCTTGCTTCAAAAGACAAGTGGGTAGGCAATCGCCTCACTTATGTAAAGCATTTCAGAGATGACAGCACAAATAGAGTCAAAGGGACGCATGCCAACATGAAAAAGGCAATCATGTCCTCAAGTGGCAATCTCCTAACTGCCTTTACGCAAATTGACGAGTTTTATCGATTGAAGGTTTATCTCTTATAGTAATTATATTGATCTATTAGTGACGAGGCTCTTACATGCTTTCTTCCTTATATTAAAACTTGAATTAGAAGCGCCAGATCGACATGGAAAGTTTTGGCGGAAACTCGCATATCCCACCACAGCAAAAGCAGCGTTTGGCAGCTTTGGAACGTAAAATTTCCAAGTTCGCTTTCTATGCCATCCGTGACGAGCTAACAGTCAATAATCCGTTAAAGACTGATCACTGCCAATGTGCAATCAAGTATCATTATGATATTCCGTGCTGCCATGTGCTTCCACCACAGGGTGAAATCCCCTTAAGCTTAATTCCCAGACGCTGGCACCTTTATCCTGAGAGAATGGCATCTCAAGGTAGTCATGGCTGTTATGTAAAAGCTGTTATATTTGTAACGTACAGTAGCTGATTTTTGTTGTTATTAGGAGAACCAAACACAACAAGCAATAGCAATAGCAACATTTTGGCGATGACTGGTTCATTTACAGCCCCAAGCCTGGAATCGCAAATCGAAGGAGAGCTCACACGCCTCAACAATCTTGTACACCGCTTTCCAGATAATCAACAACGTGCAACTCTCCTCGCGCACCTACAATCTATCAATGATGATATGTTCATCGACGTTGAGCAGCTTCAGCAACCAAAATCAATCCCCAAAAGCACCCAAAAACCTCAAAGCAGCAGCAACAAGCGTGAGCTGATCGCTTTAGAGCATCAAGACTCTCAAAGCCGAAAGAAAGCAAACACCGGCATTGGTCGTGATGCTGCAGCAATATGGTAAAGTTTTATGCATTAAGATGTATAGCCAATTCTTTATTTAAATTTTTAATATCTATAGGAACGGAAAGATGGAGCCAACAACAACAACAAATGAAGCAAACAACATGGCACTTACCATCCCTCCTCCTCCAAAAATTCGCTTTGTACCCAACCTCAACCTTGTTTGCAAATGGATCCCTCCATCAGCTGTTGAATTGGTGCATAATCCCATGCCAGACGATAACTGTGGCTTTCGAGCCTTAGCTGTTGAGCTGTATAACACAGAGGAGCGATACATCGATGTCAAGACCAAGATGCTCGATCAGTACCTCTCCAACGCCAATACGCTTTACCAATACTATGACAAGGGTCGTTTACTAAAAGTACTCGATCCATATTCAAGTGAATGGTTCGTCTCGCCTGAATGCAGTCAAATTGCCGCTGATACGTTCGAAACGCCAATTGTTATAGATGGCGCACAATCGCACATTTTCTTCCCTTTAACAACCAACCCAGTACACGCCAAGCGCACCTACCCGATCGTCCTCCAGCTTATTGGCAACCACTTCATACTCGTTATGACCAAAAACGACGCAGCTATCCAGTGGCCTGAAATATTCCCTGAGGGTCGTGGACCACACAAAAGCATTCGCGATGATCCTTGGTATCCCCTTTTTGAAGATTCTTTTGAACGGTCTATTCGATCGTTTCCCAATTTCACGATTCCCAATGACGAAGAAGTGCATCCCATTCACGCATCTGATTCTGAGGGCGAAGACTTAACCACCTGTAACCGAAATGATTAATCAGCTACTTGACACTTGATCCTCTTACTTTTTCGCTACCTTTCTTACTTTCCCTGCCACTTTCTCTTTTTTAATTCTTTTTGCCAACACCTTATACTTAGACTAATAGACGAATCCTGTATCAATTTTCTTTATGCATACTGTCAGTCAAAAGGGTGTGAGGGGGTGTGCACGAAAGAAACGTCAGCGGGGTGTGTGTAACGGAAATCCTACCTGGGTGTGACTGGGGGTGTGCATGAGGGGGTGTGCAAATAGACCTGCCCTATAAAAAGTTTGAGTGAGGTATAAAGCTCAACAAAATGTAGTGGCGAAATCTCTAAAACTCTACAGGAAATCTGCGTCTAGTCTCTATAACTGCTAATCTACGATGGTCAAGATTGGAGATTTTCCGTGATTGGAGATCATCCGTTTACAGTGATAGATTTGCAGTCGAAAAATTTCCCGTAGTGCTTTATCCGTTTTTCTTCCAGACATATTGCGGCTGTATGCCTCAATGTATCTGCTCCACTGGTCACTCAGGTCACAAAATGGACAGCCAAATTCTGGCAGAGTCACGGGCTGACCACAGAAAAATTCCTGTGTATTATCGACTTTTTACTAGCAAAGACACTAAATACGGCACGCAATTCTATCGACTGAGAACGATCGTGGCTTCGAATCCATCATAAATTTCACTGTTTCAAATTTATACAGCCACAGCCAAAAACATGCAAAAGCGGCCAACTTTGATGGCCGATCACTTTTCTTTTCCGTAAACCCAAGTTCAGTAACTATTCTAAAAATGCTAAAAAATGTTATTTAGTTAACAAATAAGTAAATCATCAACTTATTGATTTTTTATTAGAGTTAAACTTTTTGGCGATTTAAAATGGGATGCATCATGTTTTTTAATGGAAGTATAGATAAGAGGAGTTTAGAGCGTTATCTTACGCATATTTGATGTTACAAACATTCCTTACAACATCAACAACACAGTTAGTATAAATAAAAGATATTACCTGGCAAAATCGATGTACTGGCAGACTGGGGAGCCAGTCGAGAGCAAATTGATGTCTTTTGGTGAGCGTATATCGCCCCTAAGAACGATAATTACTATAGATTAATGGTTTACTGTGTGCGAAAGCTCCATATGCTGAGAGCCGAAGAGAATCTACATAGCTACAGTTTTTATACTGTGTTACAGCGATAAGTGCAAGTGCGGAACCGACCGACTTCAAAGTTTTCATGGTGTGACATAAGGGTTGTCCACCGGATGCCGGATCCTTGAACCACTTGTTCTCATCATTTATAGAAGGATAATGTTTCCAACAGAAAGAAAAGGACTTTTTTGTATGATTTCTTGTTTGCTCATAATTTTACTACCGATCTGCTACCATTACGAAGGCTTTCTGTATGGCACTAGACATCAGCCAGCCGCTTTGTTTTGGAGGACATCATCTTTTCTTACACTTTTCCTCCGGTCTGGCACTACTCAACGATTGCCGCCGCCCACCTTTATATTTTCATTACATACAGCACATCATACTGTACAACAAAACAATGCATCAAAAATCATCCCATCTTACATTGTTCTACCGGACGTGCTCTCCTTTATTATTTGTTTGTTATCCTAATAAAGTATTGCCTCTGATAGGTCGGGATTAGAGGACGGGTGTTCCTTTCCCCTATCTAAAAGAGAGCTTCATCTTTCTAGTAATACGTAGAATAAAAAAGGAATCAGAGTTGTCATTGTAAACGAGAAACGCGGAATAATTAACTTAGAGACAATTTAAATACTATAACTCTACATATGTAGAGCATCATGAGATAGGAATAAAAGTACCCAATATGGAGAGACATATGTCGTATTTATTCATTTACATTGTTGAGAAGAATATGGCAATGATTGTATTCGCACGATATCTCCCCTTATAATAGACAATGGTGGTGGAGGTCAGCTATAATCGTATGTAAACTGCTCTCATGCATCACTGCAGAAGGTCGAACTACTGTAGTTGCATGCAGTAACGTTTTATCATTACCTGTTAGCAAAAGTCTGGAACCTGAAAATGAAATGCCTAGATCAGAAAGCGACGTAGGAAGATCTTTCCAATATCTTCCAGCCAATCTTTAAATCAAAGTAATATAAAAAGAGATAAATGTTTGCATTGTGTTATAAAGCTTCTTGGGTCGAGATATTGCCTCCCAGTATCATATCTTTATGTATAGTAGTATACGCTGTTGACGGTAATGCATACATGTTTTGCTGCGATATTTTAAAGTTGAATAAGCTGACCTAATGCACTACCGCTCTGTATATACAGCATTAAGTATTGTCGCACGACCCGAGGGAGATATTACGATAGCGAATCGAAGATAAAATAAAATTATTCCATGTTAGGATGATTCTATGCTAAGAAAAGGTAGCACACCATACGACGAATTGACACAAGGATTGGCTTGTTGTCGTGCTATACCATCTCATCAGAATTTATCGCGGGGCTAGCTGAACGGTAGCACAAAGAGAAAACCTTGTACCAGGCAGCATATTTAAAGGGTCGAGGAGTTTTGTACTTTTACTTTTTTTTGTTGATACTGGCCGTCAAAAAGCTACGCATTTGATTAAGACCTTTTCTTTTCTGCCCATCTTTCAAATATACCGCGCAAACCCCACCATTATGGACTATATGAAAACTCGTCCGAAAAAGGCATTTGAACGAATTAAAAGTAACCTGACTCTGCACGAGGTACCCATAAAATCAACGCGCTCATAGCAATAGATACTTATGCTATTGTACAACTGGTCTAGCTATCGGGTAGTTTAGGTGACCTGGGAACATTGCTGCCTATCATGGTTTCCCTAGCAATCGCTGGTCAGATCAACCTGACCAGCACTTTGTGGTTCGGAGGTCTTTGGAATATCGCCTCCGGTCTTGGATTTCACGTCCCTATGTGTGTTCAGCCAATGAAAGGTAGGCATTCCATTGCGCCACCTTGCGCAATCATATAGCATCTCCTATCTTGTTGGTATGCTGGATTGACAATATATCCTCTCCTTTTTCACAATCTGTCTGCTTAGCCATTGCTGCTACTGTATTATCGAGCAATTTGACCATTGAAGAAAATATGTCTGCTGGTTTGGGTAAGTTTGTCGGTGATGGTGCTTTCAGGGTGTGGGAATATCCAGAGCACCACGTGGTGCGTGGCAACGCCACAAGTAAGTTAGCTGCATAAATTCACACAATGTTTCCTGCAGGTGTCGCCGCCATTATTTTTTTTCTAGGTGCTACACGTACTATTCATCTCGTTGGATCATATACCCCGGTTGCTGTGGTGCGAGGTAAATAAGCGAATTTAGCTAATTCAGATGATGTAGTTTCCTATGAAACTATAGTAATATTATATCTCTTTGCTTGACAGGCATTCAATTCGGTGCCGCTGCATCGTTGATGAAAAAAGCCTACGATCTTGTGAAAACGTTGGAATGGACGATCACTGCGGATAACTGGTCTGATAATAACACATGGGTGCTGTTGTCATTCATTTTTGTTATCATCTGCTATCGTACGCGCATACCCAGTGCTTTGATCTTATTTATCATCGGCTTGATCTTTGCGTTGATTCGCATGTTTGGCACTGAGCGTGATACTCTTGGCTTGCCCTGGCCTGTTGCTGCTGGTCATTACCCTGATACAATCATCGGACCGACCCCGGAAGAATTCCGTAATGGTTTCGCCACTGCTGGTCTTGGTCAAATTCCACTTACTGCTCTCAACTCGGTTATTGCTTTGAGTGCTCTTATTGACGATTTGTTCCCTGACCATCACGCTGATACGGCTAAGATTTCAATGAGTGTCGGTGCGATGAACCTGATCGGTTGTTGGTTTGGCTCTATGCCTTTTTGGTAAGAATAAGAGAAAAGATTAACCATAGAGATAGCGAGGCATCATGACTGTATGTATGGTTGTTATGACAGAAGGTTAACTGATTATGTACTTTAATCCATCCTGCTCTTTGTATATAGCCATGGATCCGGTGGATTGGCTGGCCAATATCGTTTCGGTGCACGCTCAGAGGTTTCTATCATTATCCTTGGCCTGTGCAAGCTTATTCTGGGTATCATTTTTGGAAGTTCTCTCGTCGGTCTTCTCCAAGTGTTTCCAAACTCAATTTTGGGTGTCTTGCTTTTCATCTCGGGTGTCGAACTTGCTTCGGCAGCACGTGCATTGAACAATGGTGTGTACGACGAAGTCAAACAGAAGGAAAATTGGACTGTGATGTTGGTGACTCTAGGTGTAATCATCGCGTACGGAAACGATGGTATTGGATTTCTATCTGGACTTGTCGCTGCCCTTATTCTGTCCGTTCAGAGACTCGGTATTCGCGAATGGTTCGGAGCTCTTGTTCGGAATATCAAGGAAATGCCAACCATATGGAGACATCAGGATGCCTTTCAGTATAAGCCTCAAAACGTTGAAAATAAGGCACATGAGGAATCGATAGAATCAGATCGTCAGCCTAATGAGACTTACAGCCACCCTACTTTGCCAAAGCCGGTGACGAGTAATACAACTTCTTAATGATTTACCATATACTAGTTCCTATAGTTAATTCTATGCTACTCATTATCCTTCGGCATCTCTTTTAAATGGAGCTCATCTATCTGTATTCATATTTTTTTACTTTTGCTACATACTGCTACTGTTACTGTAATACTATAATACATCATATCTTGCTATTTCCGGTTTTTATTTAAGTGGTCTAAAATAGTTTTATATTTATATTTTTACAGTAAGACGATGCTACTCTCTATAGCCTGTCGTAAAAAAGCCCAATGAATATAAACATATAAGTCTGCATACTATCAAGTTTTCCGGCTCTCTTACATGTTCTTCTATATATGTAAAACGGCATCGACTTGCAATGTCGACTTGGTTATTATGTAGATCCATCTACAGTTTTTTCGATATAGCAAACTTCTATACAGTATAAATACCGCACGTGATTACTCAATATAGTGAATAACTGACTGTCTCAATGTTTGCTATTCTAAACATGGAAATCGAGATAAGCGAGGTAGCATTGCACATATGATAGCATCGAGGAGGAGATACTAAATATGGCCGGTGATATGACTTATGTATTCAACGATGCATTAATCGGATTTATCTCCCCGTCATCATCAGCGGTGAAGGCAATCAGCTTGTGTATTTCTTCTCAATAATACTATTAGAAACAGTATATATATGCGCAATTGTGGTACAATAAACCAGGAGCGAATTTAATTATGCGCCTTCATTTTTACTAAGTGAACAGGATATACTATGTGTGAAAATACTACCAGACTTCATCCGATATGGGATCAAGTTAGTAAGCAGCGACTCGAGATACTTTACGAAGAAGAAAAGTGTCTTTTTGGATACATACAATATCATACCGAGCTACCATTACATCAAGTTGATTATTTTTTGAGCCAAATATTTTTCGAAATGCTTTGGTATTACAGTATCATATGGTTCATCACTTTTTCTTGATAAGCATGATTGCCGTGCCGCATCTTGGCAAACGTTACATGTGTGTCACTCTGCCGAAAGAAGAGACATTATTAGTTACTGCTCTACAACATATGCTAGTGTGTTGTCCTCGAGATCTTGAGGCCTTGCACTGGCTCTGAGTACAGTGTAGGTAAAAGTATGACTGCCTATCTTTATGTATGACTGTAGTCTTTTTTGTTTGTTATCCTTATATAGTATTAATATGGTGTTCCCTCTTGAGATAAGCAGGAAGAGACAGGCGGACAATGATTGTCGGTAAAACGTCTGAAACACGTATGTACATTGATTATGTAGGCTGCTTTACGGACTTGTGCTCTGCATGCTTGTTTTCTGCGTATGAAGCAATACATAATCGTTTTCTTTCGCTATCTCTAAGCTAATAATTTACTTGAAATAACAGTTCACAAAAGTGGCTTTACACGTAGCTCCATTTCTTGCTACGATATAGATAATTGTTTACAGTATGACACTATATGGTTCAGGAGCTGTAACTTAAAAGGGTTTATAATCATCACCACATAAAATCCTGTGTGCTCATCAGATATCATTATGTGTTTCTTTACTCATACAGGACTTTTGTATTCATTGGTATTTAAAGGTATGGAGAAATATGGGTGGCAACAACTTCAACGGTGCTGAATTTTGGTACGCTTGGTCCGATGGTTCTGAGGGGTGAAGAAAATAGGGTGTTTGGGTGGTGCGGGACTGGCTTCAGATTGTAAATCGATAACACCACAGAGACTTTCCATGTTTTCCCGCGCATGCATCATGCTCAATGACTTTTGACCAAGTTGTGTCATAAAGCGCTGATATCGGAAAAATGCTTGTAAGGTGGGCTTGAAGGAGGAAATGTCGTTTAGGGATTGGGGCAGCCGCATGACGCTGATTTTTTTTGCAAAATAGATACCATCCACGTTTGCCAACATATATAGATATCCACTATTACCAATCCAATCCATTGCAACTATGTGATGATGGCCGCGTTGATGATCAATGACTCTATTGTGAGCAAGTATGGCTCCATTTGTTCGCAGGTTCTTGCAATGCTGCGCCAATACCACAAGCAGATGAGACGCGTAGACGTTTGAATTCATTGTTAAAGAGTTCAATGTCTTTGCCATCATTTGCACGCTTCAGTAAGAGATCAAACTTCCGAGCGTGCGCGGTATGGGAGTGCTGCATACCAAGTTTCTGCTTCGCCACGTAAGAGTGTTGCTGCGTAATCAACCCGTTGGTGCACTGGTAATGTCGCCATCTCGAGGTACCATTTCAAACATGCGTACCCAACCAATCGCGGTATCCAGACTACGGTCGCCATTATACGTGTCGGGTTTACGTATACGAACTCGAGAGACTGGAGTTATATCTTGTCTGCCCTGATTCTCCAACAGTGTCCTTAATGCCTGGAGAATAGCTGCCGTAGGTTCGTGTGCCAACCCTGGCGAGCTGATTTGGTGCACTGGCTGATGGATTCGCCATTCACTAATTTAATGCCTGTTGACCGAAAAAGATAATCCATGATTGAGGCGACACGGCGATAGACTGTCATTTCAGAATCGACTTGGTGCCAATCATCAGGGGATTCAATCACATATTCCAAGATGCACCGAACACGGTATTCTTGCGAGTGATGATTCTTGCCAACATTCAAATTAAGGATCAGAGCCAGCAGGTCTTCAATACATGCGTCATCAGATACAAATTTGGCAGCAATTTGTTCAAAGAGGGCACAAGAGTCAGCCGTAAGCCCATGGGTATCGAAATTGTTGATGAGGACCTCCAGCCTATCGGTAGGAATACTTCGGGGAAGATACATCGAGAGACGCTGAACTTGATCCGTGCGTAGCAAGTGACAATGCGTGAGAGACACAGTCTCAGCAGCGAGTGATCGGTTTCATCCAATACGTCATGTTTTGCGTATTGCAGAGGGTTTTGCACTTCCAATACTCAAGTCAGGTTGGATGACACTTCCTTCATCACCACATCGAAATCAGTCTTGACCTGTCAACCCAAGTTTTTGACCCGTCCCAATCGGAACGGTTGGGTCGAGTGTTGTGGTGGCGTGTATGCATCATAAGAAATATAATTAAGAATGGTCACAAACAGAACATCAAGATGGCGTGCAAAGTCGTTAAAAACGGGTTTCCGATAAGTGAATCGAGTAACCGTTTCTCGTTCACTTCCCCTGGAATACCCTTCAACTTCTATATCCCATGTTACCTCCCCTCCTAGGCTCGAGGAACACGAGAGCGGGTTGAACGCCGAGGTGATGGTTGTGGAGCACACGAACTGCGTCAGCGGCATCCCAAAAATTTGAAACTGGTTCCCCAGGTGTTTTCTGAGGGATCTACGTATCCCTTACACGCAACTAAATGTTGCAGTTGACTCCGACGACGACGACTACCGAGAATACTGTCAACTTCGAAATACTCTTCGACCTGAACTTCCACAGGGGCAATGGTGCGGGTACACGATCTTGAATGTCCGGAGTCGCCGGTTATCGCGAGGGGCCAACAGGGCAACGTGGAACGCTGGGTGAATCTTTAATGCGACAGGCAAGTTTAACTTGTAGGCATGGGAACCAATACGCGCAACGATTTTAAACCGGCCCGCGGGTATGGTCAAGCTTATCCATGTCAAATAGAATTTCATTAAGGCCTTCGGGCACTCGATGAGCAAGGTGAACTTGAGCCTGATGAGACGGGTTCCGAATGTGTATTGCTGCCGTTGTTGGTATATTTCCGCTGTTCATCACGCTGTTGTCGTTGCTGTTTGTCGTTGGTAGCGCAGATGTCCTTAATTAAGGCATCTATTCAAAACGCGGAGGTTTTCGGTGGTGTAGACGAACCGGCCTTCGAGACGTTGCTGTTTGATGCTGGCAACGGTTTCCCATATTTCGTTTTTCATGGTAAATGGTTTCGTAATGAGGTTTCCATTCATGTTGGAGTGTGATAAAGCGCTGGCTCCAGACGTTGAAAAGCTCAGCAGCAGAAGATGCATCCAAAGACATTGACCAGTCCACAATGTTCTCGGTTGGATCGCAACAAAGGACGCCATTGATGATTGTCTTCAGTCAAGGATGTACGATTTTAATGCGTTATATCCCTCACATGGTTGCTCGCTTGTCATTTGTTGTCCATTTGTTGTGGTCGTTGCTTATTTTGGAGAATGAATAATTAAACATCACACTATTTTCGAGTGATTAACAAATTTGATCTATAACCTTAGATCGTCACCGCAACGCTTACAGAAGTTCATGCGTACCTTGAGCAACGAAGGCTGTCCCAAAACTCAGGCTCATTCCTGAGTCCGTACTCGTTGGAATTCTACGTTTGAAAAGATTACGCGGGCTATCGCGGTCGAAACTGGCTGCAACGCAATGTGCACTGAGGCGCTGATACCGTAAAGGTTGACTGCACAAGAATGGGAGCACCTGAAGCAGATCTGTGCTATCATTGAGCCATTCGAAAAAGTGACCAAGAGATTATCCGCCAGCAAGTCGCATGCCACCATCAATCTCACAATCCTTTGCTATAACCATCTAATGGACAGGCTTGAAGACTATGAGGCCAGGCCTTTCACACCGATCGACCTGTGCGGAGCTGCGGAAGTCGATCTCGTTAAGCTGACACGTCGAACGTTTATGCGTGCGCCACTGCGATGGACCCTAGCCTGAAGTTAGTTTGGTGGGTTAAAAGGGGCTGGAAAGGAAAGGCAGGAGTATAATCAGCAAATTGTCCTGAATACCTGGTCGACATCAAGAATCGCACGGATGTCGACATTGAAGTGAGAAAGCAGCTGCAGGAAATGGATGTGTTGTATCGAGTTGACCGAAGCCAGGACGAATCAGAAGAATACATAGGCGAACGACCGATGTTGCCAATGGTGGAAGTGGGTAAGCACACAGAGCTAATCTTCTGGGCCGAGCTTGATCAACATGGCTGCGCACTACTTGGCGGTGCCAGCAACATCGACTCCTTCTGAGCGTTCTTTCTCGTCAGCTCAACATTTACTACCATACATCCGTAATCGTTTGTCCAAGAAAACCATAAAAAGTTAAATTAATGCTTCTGAGCTTTTGGTACTCTTTATTTTTTTTTTGTTTTTGCTTTCTCTCTTTTCTCCTTTGTTCCTGCCAACTCTGTCCCTTTTCTCTTGTCATTACTCTCGTCATCGTACGAATTGGGGTTGCACCATGGCGAATTAAGTTTTCGTAGAACTTGAATTTTGTTCTTGCCACTGGGCGCATTTGTTTTCAGTCAATGACGAATTTATTTGCCGGAAAGAGTGTATAAGCTGACTTACAGGACTGGTTCCCAAACACGGTATATGACGCTAAATAGCGCATTTATTCCAAGTTAGGACTTTTTATTTCTGGCATCTGTGAGGGGGTCTAGATTGATCCCGCGGATCACATGGCTCGTAACACAGGATATCGGGTGCCACAGATGCATAGCGCTGTGTGATATAAAAGGGGTGATGGATTGAAGATGAACGACGAACGCGCATTTCATAATTTTTTTAACAGTACAGCATATTAGGATATGGAAGCACTCACCACACGTTCAAAACAAAACTTTAAAAGAATAAAAAGTAATTTGACTTTACATGAGGTACATTATATGCTGCTACTTTCATTTCTTTTTCTTTCTAGATTGCTCACAATTAAATCTATGAAACCATCTATCTAGTTGTCTAGTAGTTTGGGTGATCTAGGAACGTTACTACCTATCATGATCTCCCTAACGATATCCGGTCAGATCAATCTCACTAGTACGTTATGGTTCGGAGGCCTATAGAATATCGCATCTGGTCTCTTGTTCCAGGTGCCCGTGTGTGTTTAGCCAATGAAAGGTATTCTTTTTATGCATCATATCTTCTTGGAACACCATTGCTATTGTTTGCTAGGCTTCTACTGAAGTATTAAGGAATACCTAATGTCTATATCGTATCTATATAGCAATTGCTGCAACTGTATTGGCAAGCGAGATGTCAATCGAAGAAAACATGTCTGCCGGTTTAGGTAATTAATGAGGTGGAATGTTAAAGGGAACCAACAGCAAGTGATGAAGCGCTCCGCATGTACCTGAAAGCAGCACGTCTCACGTAGCATGGATATGCAGGTGTTACCGCTTTCATCTTTTTCTTGGGTGCCACGCGTACTATTCCCCTGGTTGGATCATATACTCCAGTTGCCGTCGTACGAGGTAATACCTCCTGTGTCAGTTGTTTTCCGGCGTGGTTGTTCATGAGTACATATACTTAACTGATATGTCTTCATATTTACACCTTTGTTAATTTTATTTTGCGAGCATTCAATTCGGTGCCGCTGCATCGTTGATGAAAAAACCCTACGAACTTGTGAAAACGTTGTAAGGGACGATCACTGTGCATAACTGGTCTGATAATAACACATGGGTGCTGTTGTCTTTCATTTTTGCTATTATCTGCTATCGTACGGGCATACCCAGTGCTTTGATCTTATTTATCATCGGCTTGATCTTTGCGATGATTCGCATGTTTGGCACTGAACGCGACACGCTTGGTTTGCCTTAGCCTGTTGCTGCTGGCCATTATCCTGATACAATTATTCGACCTAGGCCAGAAGATTTCCGTACTGGTTTCGCCAATGCCGGTCTTGGTCAGATCCCGCTTACTGCTCTCAACTCGGTCATTGCCTTGAGTGCTCTTATTGATGACTTGTTTCCTGATCGCCATGCCGATACTTCCAGAATTTCCATGAGTGTCGGTGCAATGAACTTGATCGGTTGCTGGTTTGGCTCTATGCCTTTCTGGTACGATATTCTGGTACGATATTCAAGAACTGAAAAACGAACAAGGAACAACTGGATCACTGAATAAAATTTCCACGTATATATAGCCACGGCTCAGGAGGACTGGCGGGCCAATATCGTTTTATGGTGCACGATCTGATTATTCTGAGCTTAGGCAAATTGCTCCTAGGTATCATTTTCGGTAGCTCTTTGGTCGGCCTACTCCAAGTATTTCCAAGTTCGATTCTGCGTTTCATGCTTTGTATTTCAGGGATCGAGCTCGCTTCCGCACCGCGCGCAGTAAACAATGGCGTACATGACGAAATGAAACAAAAGGAAAAGTGGACAACTATGCTGATGACCATGGGAGTCATTCTCACGTACGGGAACTTTGGCATTGGATTTCTTGCTGGTCTTGTGGCAGCGCTTATTTTGGCTGCTCAACGACTGGGAACACGTGCCTGGTATCGATCCTTTATGCAAGGAATCAAGGACATACCCTCCAAATGGAAGCATCAAGATTCTTTCATGTATCGACAGCAACCTGCCACCAAGACGACTGAAGTTTCTCAAGAAGTTCCACCAAGTGAGCTATACAGCCCGACGTTACCAAAGCCAGTAACCAGTACCCAATCCTCCTCTTCATCATCATCATCTTCTTCTTGTACAGTACTCCACCTCGTATCAAATATGGTTCAACTACTTAACGTAGATGGCGGCAACCCTCCGTTACGAGCTCTTAGCTTCATTCAGTTCTTTCTCATCCACTAACCATCACAATATATAAAAGCACAACACCAGCACACATTCTATAGGTTAGACACTTGTTCTACATATCAGTACTATAATGCAAAACTTTACCATTTCCATCCTTTTTTTTTAATCTTTTTTAAATTGTTTTTATAGAGCAAACGAGAAAATAGCCTCCATTTCCTCTATCGTTCGTGGCAAGATTCTATCTGGGTATTCGTATTCGTTTTTAGGATCTTCTACTGCAACGTGTATCCGTCTATAAGCATCTAGCAACATGCGGATCGCATTGTCCTGGACTTGATGGTAATGCTCCGAACTAGTCAATTTTCGTAGCTCGGGGGAGGCGCCTGCGCTGATAGTGATCAAGAAAGAGTCAAGGTTGGACAATGCTGTTGATACAGATTGAGTATCCATCTTTGATACTTTGGATAGAGGTTTCTAAATGTTGTTTTATAAAAAAGATATTTTTTATAAGAATGCATTATAATGTGAAACAGCAGTGGTGTTATGGAAACTTGGCTGATGTCTATTAAAGAAATGAAAAGATGGGACAACTTACATCTGCGTCTTTGGTGCGCACAGCGTTGTCAATTTCGGATAATCCAGACTGATGTAGTAGATCGCGATACTTGATTGTATAGTTTTTGTTAAGTGCTTAGGTCCAAATAAATTGGAACCAGTTGATATACGGGTCTTACCTGCTCCGCAGCCAGTTCTTGTAAAAGATGATTAGTTCTTTCTGATAGATTCTCCCGTTTCTGTTCCGTGAAAGGATAGGATGATAGAGCTGTCTATATAGTTTAAGTGATTCAAAGTAATTAAGATGTTAGCGAATTAATAAGCAATAGACAAAAGCGGCTGTGTTCACTTCTTTACCTCTATATGCTGTATACAGTTGACAACATATACGTCGCGCTCTACACTAGAAAATTTCTGCACCGAAAGCTCACACATTTGTACAAGTGGATCTACAATGGCATCCAATGTTTCACCGAAGTCAAATGTTCGCAAACCGTCAGCTTCTCCACTAGCTATTAAGTAGGATGAATCATACGAAGAAACGATCTCTTTCTGCATAAAACATAGCATTGAAAAGTAATTAGATAAGGTTTATGATAATGTACTTTTGAACTTACGAGTTGTAGCGTCATTTCTCGAACAACAGGTGATATTGTTAGTTCCTTGGTAGGAGGCTGTGACGAGTATCATAGCTCAGTATTAATTCCCTTGTATCTTATCTTCCCTTCTTTATAGCAGCTTACATCTGCAGACTGGAGGAGTCGATCCGCTTGTGCGTTTAATGTTTTGAAAAAGTACTTGTACGCCATTTCAGTGATACTAAGCAACGTTTAGCATTAATTGGATATACTGTAGCAAATAATGTAGCCAAGAATTCGATGCTTACTCGTAAAGTACTTTTGCGAGAGCAGCGCTCTTGCGTAGTAATTTGCCCACAGTGACAGAATAAAACTGGATCAAATTGGCGACACGATATGATGTGATTGCACCAGGTTGTAATACAAGCACTTGTTCCATACGAGACTGTCATCATTTGCATCAGAGAAACAGATAAGAAGGTATTGCATGTTCCTGTATTTCACCAGCTCTCGGTACTCTCATCCCATTCCATTGATTCTCCTCTGTAGACGCTGAATCGAGGTTGTGGTTTACCTTAAGTGGTCTACATGTTCCTTCCATGGCATAGTCCAACAATTCATCGATAGCATCGTTAATATGTATAATCGAATGTGATTCTTCTCCGTCTTCTGCCTCTGCTGATGAGGCTTCTTTGTCACTACTGGATTTGCTGCTACCGCTATTTCCCGAGTTTTCTATGTATAGCAAGATAGGTTAACACTTGTCAGCTCCTAGGCTTAATGTGAAAGAGGTATTAATTTTTATTCTACATACCTCGTCTGCGTGTACCCGGTGAACCTTGAAATAAACTCTCCAACATTTCCTTTTCGCTTGCGCATGCCTGATGGATCCAAGCGAGCATATCTCCAATATATCGCAATGAGTCGTGTGCTTGAAGTTCGATAGGGCGTGGTGTGCCACCAGGTCCACCTCGTGTCAAGGCATTTATGAAAGCACGACCTACTGCTTCTCTTCTAGCGACTGCAAGATCATCCAGAATAGTCCTAATCAATAACATTACAGAATGTAGAGGTTCAGCACAAACATATGCTACTAATGTATAATTTTAAACCACGTGGTATATTTCGTTCGTCATATAGATAACGCATGATATAACTTACTGGAAAAGAACAGGCCGATGTCTTAATGCATGTAGTCCCTTCGTCATAAGCGTGCTAACATCAATACTATCTCGCCCAAATGATGCTCGACTTTCGTATTGTGTCCATCGGTATAGCTTTTCGTATGCTGTTTCTTGGTGTAAAGCCATGGATTCCATGATATGCAACCTAGTTTCCCAGCCATCCATTTAAGTTTCTGCCGTTCTTTTCCCAGCAATCAACCTTGTCTTTCCACAATTGTTACCCTGCCTGCTGGTTTTGTGTCATAAGCAATACTCGACAGTCGCTGTGGATCTGCTTGAGATGGTTTAACGCAACAAAAAAATCGTCGCCGATTGGAACTGCTGAAGAGCATAACGTATTAATTTCTTGCTCGCTTAAAGTAAACTTTTCCAAAAACTTGTCAACAATTGTGATTCGTGCGTCACATGCCGAGCTATAATATATATACGCGTTATTATCCATCACTATGCCGATCCATATGAAAATTGCTCCAATATGACATAAAAGAAGAAGAACGAAAAAGAAAATCCACGTACCTTCGATCCTGCAGATTATGAGCCTGTTCGATCATTTCTGCCGTTTGTTCGCTCGCCTGATCCAGCTTTCCTTTCATTTCCTGACACGAAACATCCATCCCTTCAACTTGACTTTCCAGCGTCTCTAGTTGCTACGTACACACACAGTCTGCCTTTAGTAAAGAAAAAATGGTCTGTGTACGTTTCAATGTAAGTCTTGCGTGAGTTATTTAGTGAAAAAAAAAACTTTACGTCGACAACGCGAGAAAATCCTTCTAGAAACTTTTTGTTTGCTTCGATTTCCTTCTTTTCAATGGTGCCACGTAAATTGCGCCTCAGGTCCGTTTCATCTAAGTCGGGAATGTCTGACAGTGCAGAAAGTGCTGCTTTAATTCGAGCATCATCGGACACCGAGGAGCCGAGAACTTTGTTGAGCTTGGTTGCTAGTAGCTTGTTCGGCTTGTTGGATGTTGAAAGCTGTGCTGGTTCTGTTAATGTGTTGGCAGCTGAGCTGGATTGTTCTAGTTCAGTCATGGTAGTTGAAAGGTCCGTTCGTCGTTAGAAAGGAAAAAGGCACGAACTCGTATCGCAGGACGGAGAGGTGCTGACCTAAAAATACGCGCGTTTTCTTTAATTTTGGCGTGCTCCATTTTCTTAACGCGTTCCTTCCCTACTTTTCCTGCACGCACCAGCTTCCAAGACCGCATCCACAACCAAATGCAATCATGACGTTATCAACCACGCAAATATTATCGTCACTTAAGGATTACTCCCAATGCAACGATGAGCTTGTGGTAGAAATTAAGTGTACCATTTTGGAACCTTTCCAGCCCGATCTATCACGTATCCAAGCAGGTCAGCGCATCGTCAAACCCACACGAGCCGAATTCAAAGCCATGACCACGAAACTCGCACCTCTCGCCATGCGCATCGTTAATCAATCCATTGAATCGTTACGAGATCTGAAACAAAAAGAAACCAACAAAAAGGAGACACTCACAGAGAGCAGCAGGAAAACGGCGATACGATGCCTGATCGATTCTGCATCTTATTCCATTGCTGGCCTGAAGCACATGAGCGCAAGCACAACTCTCAAACCATTGGATATTGAAAAGACAATGTCTAACTTAATTTGCAAGATTGTCGATCTTGGAGAGGTATTACTACTGACTAACTAGTATGAGTGTATGCACATATAAAATAATAACATGTCGGTTGGTTTGTTTTTTCTGTTATAGTATACTCGTGCTTTAGATGAACTGACCAAGCTGCGATCAAGTTTGGCTAACACCATCAATATATCTACTGAGAATGTACGTACTCAATCGATATCGACAACGACAGCGACAAAGGCGGGTATGTCACCGGTGAAGCCATCCAAAGGGAACTTATCGGCAAGCTCATCACCACGACGAGGCTTCCTCACAGAATCACCCAACAGATTATCCGACGTTGAAATGGGTCTTCATAGTCCTGTTGCACGCAACATTCCAGTAACAGTATCTACACCAGCAGAGTTTACACCAGCCAGCTCACCATGGGAAGATAGCATGTTGCAGAAGTACGGCGATCTATTTACCCTTTCATTGGACACTACCATCAATGACACAACGACAGTCTTACTTGTATTGGCATATCAAATGAATGCCATCCGATCATGGACTGATGTTGCTGACAGCTCCTTGGTACCGGTAACTATCACTAAAAGCGAAAGAAAGCGAGAGCGCGTCGTAAAAGGGATAGCCAAAGGAAAAGAACCTTTCAGTCGATTCCTTCTAATTATAATGTCATTGCTTTTATGTAGCATTTGCCAAAGCTGTTGGATCGTTCTGGAAACTATCTGGACTGGTGTCGGCATTTGATGACTTTGGATCCAACTCTTGCACGGAAGCAATTTGGATCTTTGCACAGGCAATTATGCAAAGCGGCTTCGAAAGCACCTCTCTCAGGTAGATTTATTTTGTTCCATATTTATCTCTGCCTTTGTTTGTCCTGGAAATTTTCACTGATAAATTGCCCAATAGACATAGGATCTGGAAAATCATTTGCTTTGCAGGCCATGGGCATGGTTGCGTTAAGACACACCGACACCGTACCGATCAAATCACTATGCAACCGCATGGTCCAAATTGGTGTTTCTTACGAAAGATTACCTGGACGTTGTATGTTTTTAAAGCAGTAACAGCGATAAATATCATAATCCATATTATCGGTTTGGATATTATTGACAGTTAAACTTTGTATTCTATATACAAAATAGGCGACTACCGTTCGATCCTAAAATATTGCTCCCAAGTGCTCGAAAATTTGACGCCTGATATCAACAACATCGTAGAACTAGACTCTTATTTCGTATTATGCGAATACTATGCATATGCGTCGCGAAAGGTAAGAAAAACCAGAGTACAATAGATTCGCTTATCGTAACAGTTACTGAATGATGAAATATATACAGGCAAAGAGTTACTCGGGAGCCTTTCATGCCTACAAGCAAATGATCCGTCCTTTACGCAGTCTCCTAACCGACTCGAGCGATTGTACCTATTTTCATGCTGCGTATGCAGCAACCGCCAAGCTATCATTGGGATCGGTCCAATTTGACAAGCTTGTGACGAGCAATACCTGTATGTCTTCACGTCTTTTCGTCTGCGTTTGGACGATTGTCAAATTGCTTTATTACTCTAACAATATCACATAATTATTTCCACTGTTTGTAGATATTGACATGACATCGACGCTGACTGAAATTAACCGCTGCCTCAGTGCTGTACACTCTGCTGAAGAAAGCTACAAGCAAGCGAACGATCACACGGATCAGGCACTGAACAGCCTCCTTAAAAGTATTGATATTTTCCGTCAAAGTTGTGCTCGATACCGTGAATTTGCTGAGAGACAGACAAAAAAGAAGCTAGAGAGCAATACTAGTAGCAATTCCTCTACTCCTACATCGACGCCCATCCACAGTGGCCGGTCCTCATTGCCATCAGCAGACAATGACTGGAGTGCGTGTATTCCAGCTATTATATCAGCGTTACAACATACGAGCGAAGTACTTCCCTCTGCAATGCGTATTATGAAGAGAAAGGTAATATTTTTCTTCCATATTTGCTTCTATTCCTATTTTATTTTAGTATGTAGAGGAACGAGTGCTAAACTTAGAAACTCAACATTTAGCCTTGGAGAGGAAAACCGAAGCAAATGGTCTCTTTAAACGAAGTCATGTCAGCATTTGTTGAAACAATGGTGCTGCTCGCACATATGCGATTCGATATTGACGACGAAGACTCGTACGGAAGTGCCTACGAGAATCTATCCTCAGCAGAAGAAATGTGTGTGTTTAATGGATTCTCGAACGGATATCGCTGGGTATCTAACACATATTACAAGATTGGTGTTACCCTCCATAATGCCGAATTGTACGCCGGTGCTGTTTATCCTTTACGCAAAGCATGCTCGCTACTTGAAAAAGACGAAACTAGAGCATCGACCGATACTGGAAGGCTTCAACTCTGCAAACGCTACGAAGTATTGGGAACCTGCTGCCAGAAAGACAAGCGATTTGAGGTAATTAATGATCCTGATTTTTTTAGTGCTATTAAGGGTTACTAAACCAGGTTTTTGCATACATAACCAAATTATAGGATGCCACCAAGGCTTTTAAACTGGCGTTAAAGCGGCTTCCGAGTTCTACTATCGAAGCCTTCGTCAAGGAAGCAGACTCCTTGGCCATATACACTTTGATGGGGAAGCACCCGCTAATTCCTAAACTGATTGAACGATATTTGCGAGCAACAATCAGCGACGAAAGTGATTTGGAGATTTCGTTTGCAAGTGAAGCTATGGACCTGCGTCATCTCGAATCAAGTCAAAAAAGTATAATCTATGAGTGCGAACTTCGATCCATGTATATGCTTTCGTCGTCAACCGATTGTACTCGACAGCAAAACGCAATTCTGAATGCCTTGTTACGCCACTACACTGCCAGATCATATCCTATTCGACGTGCAAGGTAAATGTCTCTTATTTAGTACTCGATACGAGTGGTTAAAAGGAAAAGGATTTTTAGCCAATTAACTGCCTTCTTCAATTTACCCGCGATTTCAGGGTTCTTTTGGATAAGGTGCGATTCGAACTTAGTAAGAACAAGCCAAGAAAATCTGCCCTGAAGGCTGCCATTGGGTATGCTAGCGAAGCCGCAGAAATACTGCAATTACAGGTATGTTTTTGTTACATTTGTCTGTTTGTTTCTTTGTCTGTTTTTATTTACTGATCTGCGTACTGTTCATGTACACATAACAATGTATAACAGAGCTATGCGAATGACAGCAATTTATTGCAATACCGTCGTCATTATCTCGCATTGTCTTCTTCTTGGGCGGGTATTTGCACTGCTGAGCTTGACAAAGCATCGCCAGATTACTTTTCTCTGGCATTCTATCAATGGGGTGCACTGCTCAAGAACGTTGGATTCATATACTCAGGTAAGCTTACATGATTAAAAGACAAGGATTTTCATTTGTAACTGTGATGGTACTTATATGTTAACATACTCTGTTTTCTAAATTTATTAATTGTTGGTTGAAACATAGATAAAAAGACTACAGACGACCAGTATAAAGCAGTTTATCGTCAAATCGATGATGTGGACAAGTTGTACGATCATTTCCGTCTGCTCACTGATTTCTTTGCCGTCAAGCAACAGCCCATACATCACATCAGCACCTTGCGTCTCATGCTTAAATTGACTAACGGGCTGCATCGAACATCAGAGGATCAAATATCTGGTAAAGAAAATATATGCCATTTCTACTATATGAAAAGAAAAAGAACATCCTCGGGAGAAGAACCTGGAGTTAGGAGGAAAAGAAATAGAAGAATGCTGACAATTGTGCATCTACTCCTTAGCTTCCATTATCATCACTACAAATATTGGTCGAATTTACAGTGAGCTTGGATATTCGGGCAAAGCAGACCTGGAGTTCTCTATGGCTGAAAGGACCATCCGACAAAAACCATGCACCAATGAAGCTGAGCTCAAGTATATACTGTACTATTCGGCGCATCTTGCAAGAACCGGAGAACTCGATAGAAGGTATGCTTATTCAAAGGGAGAAAAATTTGAAGTCAAATCGATTTTTAACAATGTAATGCTGCTTGTCTTGTTTACGAAACAGTAAGAGACAATTCAATACGTCAAGAATTGTATGGGAATCGTTCCGCCAAAGTAATTCGTCGAATGCACTGAGAAACGAGCGCCGTCAAATGGCTTGCCGATTGATGATGGCTGACGCTCATTATACCCGCTCTATTCTGTTATCGCAGGCTGTAAGTGATTTTCTTTCTCATGACTATTAGAGCGTAGGAGAATAATCTAAAGTGGCTTATGGATACTGTGGTTATTACATAGGATCCATCGGTTGATCAGTCAATTCAGGACTGTACAACGGCTCTTCGCATATTGAATTTTTGCAGCCGCACAGTCCAGCAAGATATGGCTGCAAAGTCAAGAAAGACCTCCCCGCCATCAGAGGATCCTTTTACAGACAATAACACTCCTAAAATGGCCGTGAAGGCTAGAGACGAATCAGCCATTGCATCCAGTATTTCTTTCCGAGAATCCGAATGGAGCATCGCTCAAGTAAGAACTGATATGTCATTAATAAGAAGGTATCAGATGTACAATGGCTTATTTTGTCCCTTCTCTCTACTTCCCTTCGTCCTTCTTAGAAAATGGCTTCGTGTCTCTTACAGCTTACTGAACTGCATCTGGTTCGCGGCTCCTGGCGTGATGCTCAATATTATCTTGAAAAGGGACAAGAACTGGGCGAGAGGTTGCACTCTCAAATCATGAAGTTCAAATTCTTGGTAGCTTTCAGTGATTACAATTTGCGATGCGGATCACCAAACTCAAGTATATTGAACTTGAAGGATGCTAGGGAAATTCAGCCTGAGGTTAGTATTAGATTGACATACAAAGCTATCCATCTATAATCATAAGCTCATATGTACAATTATTCTATTGTAATTCACACAAATAGGGCGACATATATCTTCGTGAGGATGCAGAACTATATATGGCAGCTGGCAATGTTGATGCGGACCAAGGGTCTCTAAGCGATGCTATCAAGTCGTACGACGTTGCTGAGGAAAATTTTCAAAAGATCCTTGACGCTGTATATATTGCTACCATTGAAGGCTTGGTCCATAGGTAAAGATTCTTTTTAGAGGTTATAACCCTATGGATGACATTTTCTTAACTTTTCCTTTCGTGATCAATACCATTGAATACTCTATACAGAAATGAGGACCTAGTCAAGCTGAGAAGGATGGTCAGAGAAAGCGATACCCTAGGTATGGGTTGATTCAGTTTTCATTATGAAAACATAGAAGATACGCTTCATCCCATGTCAAATTCTCTTTTACTGATGTCATCATTGTCTATATCCTTAGACGCCATCCAGTACACTTGCAGCGCTTTGCAGAATTTGCGAGGCACCAATTACATTTACAAAGGTAAAGCGGGATCGGGTTTTTTCTGGCTTTTTATTAGAATATGTATGCTCATATGTAATCCTTTATTGTCTAATAGCGATGACATTGGCACGGGAAAGCTCCGTACCTGATGCTCTATCCCTGCTCGAAGATTTGGAGAGATCAAATGCAATGACGAAGAACGAGGTAAAATATTGATTTCCATGACGCTGTAACTCATTTATTATAACCTCTAGCATGATTAAACAATTATATAAATCGAATAACCCTGTATAGCTCGATTTACATGCGGCCATCGCACAAACTCAGAGCATGTTAGTGTATCTGGAACTCCAAGAGCGTAAAGGTGTAAATCTAGTAAATGGAGAAGGTAGGAAAGATAGATCTTTGACTCAGCAAATTGATATGCATGTTCATTGTATATTGACCTACGTTCTCTTTGTGTAGTGCAAGCCCTCCCTTCATTCAGGATGCAACAAAACCGTGCTATTGTAAAGCGTGGCACTAATAAACATGAGATTCGACATATACAGAGCAACCTCACGCAAGCACTCGAACGTATCTTGCGGACACACCGATCCACTGCCTATCAATCCAGAATCCAAATCGTTCAAGACCTGTGCCTACTTTCCGGCTGTCTGATGTTCCCTCAGAACCATTTTATCGGTCGTGATAACATCAATGTCAGAAACTATGCTGCGCTTAGTGCATATTATCTCGGTACGCTAACAACTTGATCTAAGACTGATCCTATCACTGGTACTAAACTCTCGCTTCCCCATTCTTTTTTTCCAGAAATGAGCAAAGGTTTGACTATGCGACGTGAAATGCAACGATGCTTAAAGGGAAAACTTGAAGCGCTATCTGGTAAACGTCCTGCAGACAATGACGTGAAATGGCCAGAAAGAATCGAAGACGATCAAGACACGGACAATGACCCTATGGATATTGATTCGATGATGATGCAACCTCCGAGCTTATTTGGCGGATCAAATCTTCCTTGGCTGAAGGGTCATCTGGAATATCTCAGCGATGCATACGATGAAGAACATGATTTGGATGATAGCGAGTTCCAAAAGAAGTTTGTCGACATCATCCCACCACACTGGACCGTATGCTCATTGACAATGGATCCAATCACTGAAGAGTTGTATGTTGTCCGGCTACAAGCTGAAGTAACGCCCACTGTTGTGAAGCTTCCACTACAACGCTCAGGAATACGACCGAACGCCGAAGGCGAGAGTATTGACTATACAAGTGCAGTCGAGGAGCTAAAGCAAATCATCAGCGACAGCGACAAGACTATCAGCAATGCCAAATATCATACCGAAAAGTCCGCTGTCAATGAATGGTGGAAGAAAAGGATGCAGCTCGATCTTCAACTAAAACGTCTCCTAAATACTATAGAAGGTGACTGGTTTGGTGGATTCAAGGTATTGTAAAGTTTGGGCCCTTGTTTTCTTTGATAAATATCATTATATCATGCTCATACCCCTTGATGTAGGGTCTGCTTTGTGGAAACTATCACGAAGATGAAGAAGGTCTGAACAAATTCCAGCGCAAGATCAACCAATTGATGCACAACTTTGTTTATGACTTACCATCGACTGGTGGAGAAAAGGAGAAGTCGCAAAAAACCATGGATATCAACTTGGAAATGTGCCGAGTATTCTTACGTTTGGGTTCTGATCCAAGCAGTCGAGATATCGACGACATAATTTACTTTCTGTTGTCATGTTACACAAGTCATGGTATTGCTGTGGATACTTTCAGAGCGGACCTAGCACAGGTAAAGAAAAGTTACTGTAAAAGTTGGATCATGCTGTCCATATTACGTTTTCATTAACCATAAACCAAAATGATGAACACTGATGGGAATTTTTCATAGCTGAAGGACCAGCTAAGAGAAGAAATGAACCGATACCATGAAGCTGCTTCCGTCAGAGGCATTGAGACCATGGAAATCGTACAAGATAACCATGTTATTTTAATAACCGATAAGCATCTGCATCAGTTGCCGTGGGAGAGTCTGCCTATCCTGCGTCCACAATCGGTATCACGGATACCATGCTTGTCGTTCCTGCGCGACCGGATTATGAGGAATCTGGCGTCTATGGATGATGATGCTGACACATGGTCGGAGGTGACAATCAACTGCAAGAAAACGTGCTATATTCTCAATCCTAGTGGAGACCTTATGCATACCCAGAATGAATTCGAAGCCGCCTTTAAAAGGTACGTTGTTAGTAAGAACATAAAATGTGATCGCCCCACTCTTTAATCCACCTTTTGTAACTCGCCAATACATATAGTATGGATGGATGGCAAGGTTTGATACAAGAGAAACCGCTTGAGCACCGTTGGCAAAGCATGTTAGAGTCTCGAGACCTTTACTTGTAAGGACCCAGAGAAACCTTATGGTATTATTCCATGTTTTTAATGAACGCATATAAATTTGTGTAAAACTATAGGTATTTTGGCCATAGCGCAGGACAATCAATCATCCGCGGTCAAAATATCAAAAAGTTGAAACAGTGTCCCGTGGCAATATTGATGGGCTGCAGCAGCGGTACGCTTATGGACAAGGGCGAATACGATCCTGATGGTTATATCATGAACTATTTGCTCGGTGGAAGGTAAGATTTGGAGATCTATTCAGCAGGACTTTCTAGCCAAGGCGGAGGAGAAAGAGCGAAGGAGTGCATATCATCCAACTTACTTTTGGAATCCTATATAGTCCGGCAGTAGTAGCAAATCTATGGGATGTGACCGACAAGAGTATCGACCAGCTTACTGGGAAAATGCTCAATACATGGGGTTTACTGAAGCAAAACGCAAATAGAAGCACAGTATCGTTGGTAGAAGCCGTGTCGAGTTCCAGGGACGCTTGTACCTTGCCGTATCTGATCGGTGCTGCACCCATTGTCTATGGCGTTCCTGTGTATATTAAGAGTTGATCTTCATGAACAAATAGAAATAGCTTGATAGACGTAGTCTAATAATACTTGTAATATCTATACCACTATATTTGTGCTGTTGTCACTTCCTAAAAAAATTTCACGATATGCACAAATATTCTTACGGTAAAATGAGGAGAGGTAAAGGGCAAGTATAAATTAAGACATTTACATAACTGTGTTCCCAGACAGCATACAACATAGTAATACATATTATTTTAGGCTTTATTAACATGGAAGCTTGGCTGTACAAAATTGTGATATCATTATCAATCACGCTTAGCCTTCTTCTGAGGTCGGGAGGGATTTTTTGCTTCTGATTCTTTGCACCACTTTCAAAATCAAAGCATATCATAGCGGCACCACTCCTCGGACGTGAACATGCTTTTTCAGCAAGCTAACATAGTTTTTATCATGTACTAATAGTTTCAAAAAGAAGTATTTATAAGAGGCTCGGTCAAATATCAGTAGCTTAACCTTTAATATGAAATATCATACCCACTTACTTTTGCTTGTAACGTGAGCGCCAAAATTGGGATGACACCAGAACAAAAAATGAGGGAGGAGTCGTTGAAAACTCGTTTTCATCCGCACATAGTGCGCAACTGGCAGACATGACATGAAAGGCAATCAAGAACTGTCAAGCTCATTCGCATGCCTGATTATAGAAGCTGCTAGTGCCCTGTCCACTTTTGGTGTTAGGCTTGGTGGTACTCTTAACTTACTAGTCTGGTTAAAACCACAGAGTTTCTGACCTTTTCCACTGCTCGTAATGATGTGTTCTTCAGGAGCTTGAAACTATGTAATTGCGCTTCGACGGGCTCTTTCTTTCCGGTCCCCGCGAAGTCGGTGTTCCCACGTTCACTGGCATACTAGACGTTTTCTTTTAATGGTTCAAGGTTCAGGCGAAAACTGTACGTTGTTGTTCAGTTGTGTATAGGTGTTAATGGTATACTGTACATATAGAGAGAGAATGAAGTTCTTAATATAAATAAGCCAAATACAGTAAAGCTTATAATTCAACACCAACAAAGAAATATGATACAGTACAAATCCGATACAACGATCATGAACTGCTGATCCTGGAAAGCGAGAGCACTCGTACTTGCAGCGATCCCGAATAACTCACGGTGTGTCAATAGACACTGCGGCTGAGGTCATTGAGTAATTAGTTGGTGCAGCACATATATAGCGTAACAGCCATTGCTAGTTTTTCGTTTATATGTATGCTCAAGGACTTAATTTACGTGCTAAGAGAATGATAGCTCTCTTCTTGAGTGACAGTGTGACTGGATTGCTTTCTGAATTACACAATACACTGTGCAATTTGTTATCTGTACATCACGATGATCTATTTTGATGCCATTCTTCTCAAATATATTTCTTCCTAAAAGGTGGCTAGCGCATAAGCGGTTGCTTTTGGTAACGCGAAAAATCAGATAGATGCGGTTTTCAGGGACATGTTTCCAGCACTCAACCGTTGGAGTCGGAACTATTCCTATTGGCTGGCGTCTTCGTGCAGCTTCGTATGTTCAATCTGGCGCTATCACCTCCTGTAGTTCCAAACCAGTAATAATTTATATACACTGTGACATACGCCTTTTGTCATCATTTTTATTATAGCATTACTGCACTTGAAGGGGATACATCGACGAGACGCATAGTGCACTGTCCAAGCAAAACATTGGAATATAACATATATGTTGTGGCATGGATTACAACAAAAGATTGGCCTCTCGTACCTTAAGGAAGTATTGGGAAGTTGCTTTGAATTTGGTCGCTTGGAAGTAAGTATTCTTTAACAAAGTTGTAATATTTATCACGCCTGCAAGTGGATTATTGTCCTAGTAAGGGTGCTCCATCACATAGAGAGAAAGATGAGCTATTAAGTTTTCTTGTAAACTTTCATATGTTTCATGTTGAGTACTGTAGTATATCGTTTTTATAGAAGAAAAGGTAGCCAGCAGGTCGCAGAGGCAATGGGAAGGAGCTTTCTTGATAATAAGCCAAGTTGCTATTATGGTACCAATCATTTCTACATGATATAATGTTTGTTAACAGTGCGGATCCAGCTCTAAATGTGAGAGGTTGTGGGCGAAGGGCCGATGCGCTCGGGGAGCTAACCTCGTACTGCTGCTGATACTGGGTACACTTGATCGAAGGGAAGTAATGCCATGTTGATAAATGACATTGCCGAGAAATGCTGTACATGTCGGAAATACAAATACTGTGTGTAGCCAATAGACTAACGTCCTTCTCTTCCTCTTTACATTCACCATAGTAAAGCACACAGAGAGAAAGAGAGCATGTACCGTACGATCTGAAATTTGATTGGTTACTGTTCTTCAAGTGTGGACGATTGTACAAAGAGTGAGAGAAAGAGAGGGTCGAAGTTCCTTTTTTATAGTGCTTTTCTTCCTTTTGTTGCTTTTACTACCTTTTTCCTCTTTTTGCTTGCTTCCTAATGGACAAAACGGTGAATGCTTCACCGCTCGACGCTTTACCTCCTCAGGAAGCAGTTAAGGATATTGCAGGCGTATATTCTAGACTCCAAGCTGTTATCGAGAAGAAGGTTCAAAATGATCCCATGAACCCTGAAGCAAAGTATATTCCTTTACCACCCTCTCTTCCCATGTCACCGAGTTCCTCGTCACCAACTCCATTACGCACCACTCCTCCTATTTCTCCCGGGACAAACAACATTAGCCCTATTCATAGTAGAAACAGATTGTCGACGCCTCGGTCATCGTCGTCCAGCGAAAAGAACAGCAACAGTAACGACGACAAAGACGAAAACGATAACGACAACGACGACAAGGCTCCGTGTTCCTGCCAGGACATTTTGGCCTCTAAAGAATCGACGACCTGTACCCTGTGTAATCGTGACATTCCGGTTATGAAAGCATTGCACAAAGAACGAGAATCACACAAACAAGAGATTCAAGACCTCGAGCAACGAGTGCAGGAAGAACAAACCAGGATTGCTCGACAGCTAGAGGAAATCGAAGCACTCCAGACTGCAGTCAGCGAAGTCGGAAAAAAGCTGGATATAAAGGAGGGCGAATTCCAGGCCTTGCAAAGCGACATGGAAATGCTCAACGACAAGTACGTCGACGAAATCGAGCGCGTGGCCGAGATACAGCATTCAAAAGATATGGTCGAGAATGAATTGGAAGACTTATCTCGACGACTGTTTGAAGAGGCGAACGGCATGGTCGCCAATGAAAAGCGCGAAAAACACAACTTGGAAATTGCCCAGAAGCATCTGGAAAAGCAGCTAACAGAAACGCAAGAACGACTGGCTGCAGAACAGATGCAACTAAAAGAACTGCGTCTGAAGATGGAAGAAATGGCACAGGAGCAACAACAACAACTACAACTACAACAGCAACGGCAATCATCGTCGTCTGTGGCAACGAGTGCTAGAAACAGCTTAACGGCAGCCGATGCAGAGTCAACGTACAGCAATCAAACTGATCCAGAACACCGAGCCGCTCGAGACCTAGCAGCCATCCTTCCATCCAACAACAACAACAACAACAGTAGTAATGATAATATTAGCAATAACAGCAACACGCATATCGTCACCCCATCACCTCCACTCTCCTCGATACCCAGCACGGTCGACCAGATGCTGCTTAATGAATTCGAGGAATTCGTCAAGTTCAGCGCGTCTGTGCCCCTGAAAAAGCTTCAAACGATCTCCTTTCTAAAATTTTGCCAGGCAGAAGACGTCGAGCCTTGCTTGCGCTTTGGTGCCAACGCGCGATTGTCTGCGCGCAAAATTGCAGAGGCCATTGTCATGAACACTTGTTTCATTGAAGAAACGCCGCCTGGATTTGCTGAAGAGCAAGCTCAAAGACCACCTGATATGCCATTACGGATATCCGCCTCCAAGGTGCTTCTATGGGAGCGTATTAGCAATGGAGGAAACACTCAAAACTTTATTGGCGCCTGCCAGGCGTGTGGACGACAAGATCAATACCCGTTACCGTACCGGTTCCGTACATCCTACTTCGACGATTGGGCGTGCATCGATCGCTTCTGTCGCGACCGACTTGTGGCCGTCTGTGAGTTTTATGTGTTTATTCGAAACGTTCGCCAAGGATACTACAGTAGTCGCAGTGTTCACGACCTTTATCGGGAAGCAATGCGTCTACGTTTGCAAATGTTCTATGCCCGGTAAGCACTTGGAAACTAAAAAAAGAGATAGTGTGAGGGTGAAGGGGTAGGAGCCGGGGGATTTGAGCGCGTGTGCTTTTTGCTAATTTAAGGATTGCTCGTTGCTGCTGTATTGTTGTTTCCATATATGCGTAAATATAGAATGGGGGCGTTGCCATGGACCCTTCGTAACTTAGGAGTCAAGACGGATGAACTTGGCAAGGCTACAGCCGTAGCACCGCAAATTCGGATACCACCTTCTGTGAGTGAATCATCACCGTTACCACGTACGAAATCGGTATCAACGACAACAGCGAATGCTGCTGGCTCGCCTAGAAGTGAAAGGTTCGAGCGGGTAGCTCGTCCTACGAGTGTCGATGGCCGTTCATCGCTTCCATTGCCACCACCATCACCATCAGATAAACCCGACATGACTACTAGTGCAGCCGCCGCTGCCGCTGCCGCTACCGTTGTGCTTTCTTGAAGACACTTCTTCTCCTCGGTTTTTTAATCTTCTTCTTCTACTACTATACTACCTATTATTACCTAAATTTACTATATGACCCTTGTCTCCTTTCTTTTATTCCCTTCTTTCTTACCGCTGTACGTATTTTCTCTTGTCATGTGACATACAACACACCCACGATCCATCATCCACTCACACTACGACACACACCATTATTAAAGCTGATATTAAGCCGTTTTGATTTGTTTCTACACAAAAAACTACGCTTATCATAAAATTAATTAGTACTATACTACTATATATCAGAATGTCTGAAAGGAACCTTTATTCAAATGATTGTTCATCTTTGTAGGAGAATTTACTGGAGTATCTGTGACAACAAGGACATCGATGAGCTCAAATATGACGAGCCGAACATGTTGAGATGGTTGACTGTATGATAGAGGGCATAGATGTTTACTCGTTTCTGGTAGCCTGGTTCTTTGGGTATTTTGGCATGATATGCATCGTAAAAATTTGAATCGAATCCACCAAACACTTTCATGATACCCAAATCGGCTTCGCTATGTCCCCAGAACGGTGCAGGATCCAAGATCACAGGGTTATCATTGTCATCTACAGCCCAATTTCCGCTCCATAAATCACCATGGTTAAGTGAAGGGCGGATGTCAAGCCCTTCAAAGTATGTATCTAGCTTATCCAAAAGCTGCTGAGCTGGTTTGTTTAGTTGAGGATAGCGTGATGAGGCTAAATCAAACTGGTATGCAAGTCGTCGGCGCAGAAATTCAATCCAGTCAGGACACCACGTATTGACTTGCGGTGTGGAGCCGATTGTGTTGTCGCATTCGAATCCAAACTGGCCCGGACCCTTGGCGAGATGTAGATCGGCAAGCTGCTCGCCGAGTTTACGTTGAACGCCGGATGCACCGTACTTGCTTCCAAGTGAGATATACTAGAATGAACCACTCTTCTTCGTTAGATCAGAGGCCAACAACTTATTGCTATCATTTACTTATTCATACCCTCAATGATATACCCACCTCCATGGCTAAAAATCCATAATTATCATTATCAAGTGCGCCATACACATAAGGTGTTGGCACTCGAATAGTATGAGTATCATCTAGGGCTTTTAAACCTTTTGCCTCACTTTTTATGATCAAACAAGTGAAAAAAAAGATGTCAGTAATAAAGTATATTATTCTTTTTATTGGCGTGAACAAGCTTATTATTTGCCTTCCAAACATCTCGACCACCTCATCAAGCGTTTGCTTAGGTGACGATTCACAAGTCTTGACAAAGATCTGCTTGCCATTGCTGCTGGTACACAAGTAGGCGTCGCTTATGCAGCCACCACCAATATTTTCAACGCTTTCCAAAACTTCGTCTTTTGCGATTGTGCTTGACTGCTGAAGTTTTTCGGTGACCGTACGTTTAATAGCGTCGGTTAAAGTCATTGTGTAAGTGTTAAAGAAAAAATAAAATAAAATATACGCGTGTGTGTTCCGCATAATTTCGGAAATCTGGTGTTTATGATTGATACATGCATGACGTTCGAAACAATTACTTTAATTGGCCGTCTACAGTGAAATAACGCTACCACTAGCATACTGCTAACTCGCTTTCTAGATAATGGGCATTTTGTTGAAGAGAAATATGTTACAAAGCAGCCTTGCTGTAGCAATTAGGAAGGAAAGAAAAGCAAGAAAGGGATGCTCTCTGACTGAAAGTTGTGATTGAAGAGACGTGCCCAGCTTTGCGACACGGATTGGCTCACGCCAACAAAGATCACTAACTTGAGATAATCCCTGTTGCTGAGCAACAACAACGCTTGTCCTCAGTAAATGAAATTATATAGGAATATCTTTATTAATTGCTTGTCAGCTTCTTGACAACTTCTGCTCTTTAAGAGAACAACGTGAGTGTGGATTATGTAAATAAACGAGTTGGGAACTATCTATGGATACAGACAGCTGCACCGTAGGGCACATTTATAGGTCTTTCTTGGCAAGCTGCACGGACTTGTGACGCAGAATACTCATCTGTTAGGATGATTAGCGTGTGCTGTGCTTATTTCTTTGTGAGCAAAACAATACTTTCTATATTTGTAATTCATTGTTTACACGTGCGAGATTAACGGTTTGTATTGTCGTCAACAGTGCGCAGAAGTGAAATGATGTTGTTTAGGATGATGATGGATCTAAAAGGGCTAAAGAAACATTCTTTGCCATAACCCTCCGACACAGATATTAATAGTGAACCTTTGGGAGAGGTGTCATGTGGAGTAAAGAAGACGTGAAGATCAGCCAAGCACAGTGTCTTGTTTACGCTGGAGATATACAACAATAGATCGTCATTGCTCTTCCTGCTCGGATATCATTTCTATTATATATGCTGTTCTTCCAAATCGACACGTATGGCTCGTAACAAACATCTAAGACAGCGAAACTTGTCAATTAGCGAGTACCCCTCCTAGCAGCACCACAGATCGAAATTTGATACAGTACCGTGCCTTATCCATCAACCAACTCACTTACATATTAAGATTGAAACTTGTGGCCAAATTGATGTTATTGATTGTTTACCACGAAGGCTACAGTTTCCCCAGAAATACCGTTTCTATCTTACCGGGTTATACTGTACTGAGAACAAATCAAGCCGCGAAGCTCTTGCATGCAATCAGTAGAAAAACTACAAAACAACAAGTTAGCGGGTTCATTATCGTTAGAATAAAGAAACTCTCAGCAATCCGTAATGGTAAGGCGTCGGTTCGCTTGTGACCCATAGTATGAATAGAGGAAAACCACATGTATTCGTCCATAGCATCTGCAAAAACGAAGGCTAGATTCGATATATAACATTCTGTAGCTCTTCCCTGGCCCTGAATTTTTGACTTACAGTACTGTGATCGAGATAGAACTTTACTTTGGAACGATATGCAACATGTTGGAGACATATCTAGGTTCTGGAGTAATACAGAATGCAACGTCCCAAAAAAACATAACTTGGCTGTCAGCTCACCGAGAGTTTCATCTCTCGGGTCTAATGGCAGACGTGAAACAACGTTTGGGGCGCATATTGATGGGTTTGGCAACTGCCGCGGTTAGAGATCCATATATGGTATCGGTGAAGTGAATTGCGGGGAATCAAAGAGTTTAGCTGTCAAGCTGTCAAGGGCTATCAAAAAGTATCCCTTTGCTCCAATATCCATCGTAGCAACGACATGCACGTTGTTTTATTATTAGTTTAGCCGGCTTTTTGTAAAGTTACCTAGACAGTCCCTAGTTTCCATGGGAATTACGCATTCCACTCACTCTTACCTAATAAGCGTAATACAGGCACGGAACTTTGGCAGAACCTTTTGGCGTCGAGATTATAGAAATTTTCATCGCCGACACCGATCTAACCCAACTGCAAGTCGCTCTGCGATAAGTCAGATCGACACCAATCGAACCTTCCCCCAACGAAAAAATAGTAGAGGGTCCAGCCAAAAGCATTGGGTTTCTTTTTCTACTTTCTACTTCGCTATCCTCCCCCCCTCTCTCTCTCTCTCTCTCACTGCACACATCAACATGTCCGTCAAGACTCATCCTGTTCCAGCACGCCTTTTGGACTCGTCCCAATGCCCTACGCCACACGTTAACTCGCTTGAGCAGTACAAGGCCATGTGGACCGAGAGTGTCGAACAACCCGAAAAGTTCTTTGGCAATGTATGTAAAAATAGCTCTGTGGGAATCTTTGCGTGAGAAAAAGGAGACGAATGCCAGCTTTGTGATTGACAACTTTTGTATATGTGTGTGACGCTACGATAGTTGGCACGTGAGCTTTTGTCGTGGTCAAAGCCTTTCGAAACAGTCAAGCACGGCAGCTTTGAAACTGGCGACGTTGCCTGGTTCTTGGAAGGTGAACTGAACGTTGCATACAACTGTGTTGACCGCCATGCCTTGAAGAATCCCGACAAGGTTGCCATCATCCACGAAGGCGATGAACCCGACCAGGTCCGCAAGATCACCTATGGCGAACTCTTGCGTCAGGTCAGCGCAATGGCCAACACTTTGAAGAGCTTGGGCATCCGCAAGGGCGACAATGTGGCCATCTATATGCCAATGATACCCGAGACGCTTATTGCTTGTCTCGCTTGTGCCCGTATTGGTGCTGTCCACTCTGTTGTGTTTGCTGGCTTTTCGGCTGAATCGCTACGGGATCGTGTTGTTGATTGCGGTGCCCGTCTCATCCTGACCTCCGATGAAGGTCGTCGTGGTGGCAAGAACATTGCTACCAAGCGTATTGTTGATGATGCTTTGCGCGATCCCAACGCTGCTGCTTTGGTTGAGCACGTCATTGTTCACCGTCGTACAGGCTCCACTGTACCCTGGGAGGAAGGTCGCGATTTGTGGTGGGACGAGGAAATGAGCAAAGCCAGAACCGTCTGTGCCCCTGAGCCCATGAACGCCGAAGATCCTCTTTTCTTGCTGTACACCTCGGGTTCGACTGGCGCACCCAAGGGTATTCTCCACACCACTGGCGGCTACTTGCTTGGTGCTGCCTCCACCGTCAAGTACATTTTCGATGTCCATGAGGACGACATTTATGCTTGTATGGCTGATATTGGATGGGTTACTGGCCACTCATACATTCTCTACGGTCCTTTGGCGCTGGGTGCCACCACTGTGTTGTTCGAGTCGACCCCCACTTACCCCAACCCCTCGCGTTTCTGGGATTTGATCCAAAAGCATAAGGTCACTCAGTTCTATACCGCTCCTACCGCCATCCGTGCTCTCCGTCGTTTGGGTGATCAGTGGCTCAAAGGCTACGACTTGTCTTCCCTCCGCGTCATTGGCTCTGTCGGCGAGCCCATCAACCCCGAAGCCTGGTACTGGTACCACGACAATGTCGGTAAGGGTCAATGCACAGTCGTCGACACCTACTGGCAGACCGAGACTGGTTCGATCATTGTCTCGCCTTTGCCTGGTGCTACTCCCACCAAGCCTGGTTCTGCTACCTTGCCTTTCTTTGGTATCAAGCCCGTCATCCTTGATCCCACGACTGGCAAGGAATTGGAGATCAAGTCCCAAGACGATACGGGTGTGTTGGCTATCTCCCAGCCCTGGCCCTCGATGGCTCGTACCATTTATAACAACCATAACCGCTTCTTGGACACTTATCTCAAGCCTTACCCTGGCGTAAGTATTAATTGTTATCATTTTGTGATGTTGGGCATTTAGCTAAATTGACTCTTTTCGCTTGGCCAGTTTTATTTCACTGGAGATGGCGCCAGTTTAGACGATGAGAAATATATCTATATCCGTGGCCGTGTTGATGGTAAGTTTAACGTGTTCTGGTTTAGTGAGGAACGAGTAACGAATTAACATCACTTGTTTATGTCTTAGATGTCATTAACGTCTCTGGCCATCGTTTGTCTACTGCTGAAATTGAGTCTGCTTTGGTTCACCATGAAACTGTCGCCGAAGCTGCCGTTGTCGGTGGCAACGACGACTTGACTGGTCAGTGCATCCACGCCTTTGTTTCGCTCAAGCCTGGTGTTGAGCAGGCTGAAGGTTTGGAAAAGGAATTGGTTCTTCAAGTGCGCAAGATGATTGGTCCCTTCGCTGGTCCCAAGCGTGTCCACATCGTCAATGACCACCCCAAGACCCGTTCCGGCAAGATTATGCGCCGTATTCTGCGCAAGATTGTCAACGGTGAACAAGACCAGTTGGGCGATATCTCTACTTTGTCTGATCCTAGCGTTGTCGAAGCTTTGATCAAGAGAGTTCACGGTTAAATTTTTCTTTTAATGTATTTAAATAGACAGTTTTCATATCACGATAGATCCGCTATCAACTTTTTGCCTATATTCCGTCACCCTATTTAGTCATCTTTGTTTAATGTACAGTTCTTCCTTATCAACATTTTGTCACTATAACCCACTTTTCCCCTCGTATTATTAATGTCGCTCCTGATGTGGAGTATAAAAGAATATACTTCAATTAGTTTAAATTATTTCATGTGGTCGAACGGATTGTTGGTTCATGGACGGTGAAGTAAAAATAGTCTGCAGACAAGGATTCTCTATATTGTTTTTGTTTTATTTCTTAGCCTTCTTGTCAGGTGTATCTGTTTTTGCATCGCTGGATAAAGATGTTTTGCCACTGATTGCCATGGCTGTCTTGTAACAAATGATATTATTGGTGCTACTGATAACAGCATCTTCTGAGAGCTAAAAGTAAACAGATAGTTAGTTTCATTAAATCAATCTCGCAATTCAACCACCAATGTATCGAATAGAAGCTTTTCACTAAACTTACTCTCATATTGCCCACAGTTTCAGCATAAAGATAGTACTTATCAATTTCGGGATGCAAGATCTTTGCAAATTCTCGTACAGTAGTTCCAGGCCATACAAGAATACAATCTCTGAAAGCACCAGGCTTTTGCGAGTTTGTGGATCCAAAGGTAGAAACACTTTTGACTGGATATACAGGTGATACGCCCAGTAATTCTACAGCTTTTCCTAGTACCTCCTGTACGCCTGTAGACCCATATCGGAACAACACCAAATCTGTTCCGTTTTAACAAGTCATTAATGAAATTGCGTTTTGCCAGTCTCTATATGAACGGACAAACTGTTGTAACTGTTGTTTTACCTTGTACTTTTTCTACACGGCTGTACATTTATAAAAGTCTCATTTAATACACATAGAAGAGCCGTTTCTTCAATTTACTTGAAACTCACTTTTTCAGCTTCCCATCCATTGGTTTTAAATCCGAATCAGGCTATTTAATTCTAGTCAGTAACTAAAAATAATATTAAAAAAGACACACTTCACTTTTAAAAAAAACACAAGACTTACTAAATCTTCCTTTGTCTCTACAATATCCGTTGCGTCTATATATTTTATGTAATTTTGTTTTCGAATTTTTCGCAAAAAGTTTTCTGCGAGTGCACTTGTCAAGACCAGCTTGTTCTAGCTCATTGAATTTAAGTATAAGTCGCACAAGCACTCAAAAGTACACGTCGCAATTTTATGTTTTTACCTGATCGTATCTTCGCATGATCTTTGTGATATTCTTATCTGCATCCGCCATATCAATTTTGTTCAAGGCCTGTCATCATGTAACGAAATCATGTCAGCCGCATATACACATGTGCCGCTAAAATTGGACAAATCAAGCAAATAACTATACGTACCACAACAGTTGGGAAGCGCACATCCATGAAAAAGTCTACCACCTTCTTCACAGTATCCTCATCCCAAGCTTCTAAAGGTTCTTTTATACCACTCTTATCCATTGCTTTTGCCACTACACTTGCAGTTGATCCGTAACCTTATGCCATATGCATTAGCACCAATTCCCTTCCAATCATCTCTTCTTAATAATACAAAGAGGTTACCCGAGAGTTGAATTTGCAACGTATCTACAGTGCTATTTTCTAGGGGCCACATAGTTAGGGATCAGCGTGTTCTTGTAATCATATTGGTAAACTGAACATACTTATAGCAACGTGCCGTCTAACAATGCTGCTCCAGCGTTTCAACAAATTATTCGTGATCCAACTATGAATTTCCAAGCGTAGCCAATTGATGTCGTTGATTGGATCATAGCCCTGAGTTTCTTTGCCATTCTGATCCGTAGTACCACTGACATCCACCACGTGGATCAATGCATGCGCATGTCGCAGATCGTCCAAAAATTGATTACCCAAACCCAGTCCCTGGGACGCACCAGGCACAAGACCTACATTTTTGCACTCAAGGATAAGTCTCTCCATAATTTATACCACCAGTTATCCGATTCAATACAATAAAAGAACAGACCTGCTACATCCATCATTTGGATAGGAACGAACCGAGTACCCTCCACGCATCGACCTAGTGCATATCAGTTAATACTTTGCACGGCTCTCTAATTCGCATATGTTCCTTGGCTTTTATGCGATGCTGATTTCGCTTTCCCTTCTTACCATATCTTGGTCGGCATTGACTCTCTTTGCCGTATTTTTTACACGGACAGTCAACTGGTACATAGCTTACACCATGGTTTGGTTAATAGTCGTGAAGGGGTAGTTACCTATATATGCAGGCCGGTTATACATAATTGCAATCGCGGGTCCACTCGTGCCCGAGATTCCTTCCGTGTATCAACGTTTGACTTACCAACTTTGGCAGTAGCGTCAGAAACTAGGTCAACGTTGAATTGTTGTTTAATTCAGAATTCATAAGAAAAATAAAACTTCAATTTATCACACTCTGTTTCTGTTTCTCGAGGTTACCTGCATTCAAGAATGACGATTTGCCTGCCGATGGTTTACCGACGCATGCAAGTAGGATTTCTTTGACCATGGGTTATAGTAGCAAGCAGCAAGAATAGCTTATATGATAAGCAGCTTCCAAAAAGTCACAATGGCTGATATCATAGTTTCCTTTGACAACAACTCCGGCACTCCGGCGATCTGTGTGTCACTTTCTACTGATGCACGTTGGAAACGATATTCGACAATCTTTTGAAGTGTAGCTTTCTCAAATGTTGTGTTGGTGATATTAAACAGCTGCTTGAATTACAATTATAACTATAAGAAGCCAGTACTTACTACCCTGTCTCAGCATGCCTCAGCAGCTATCAAAATTGCCTGGTGCCCTGGTACGCAAAAGGACAATTAAGAGCGCATATTGCATCCTTGATGTAGTGTATGATGACTCAGTGGAACGTTTCATTAGTCCCGTAAGGCATATACCCTCATAAGCGGACACTGCAGTATGATAGTGTTTACAAGTTTAGCATAAGACAATGCGTTTTCAGGTTGACCCCATTTAAAGGGTTTTTTTTTTAATTTCTCGGAATAAATAATCTTTTGAAATCTCCAGAGACGGTTTAGTGGGACTTGCGACTGTGATTGATTTATGCTGGCAACGAACTCTAAACCTCACACTTCTCACGGGTTCCGCCATTTTCCTCTTTTCTTTCTCTCAAGCACTTTTCTTTGTTTAACTCGTTCACCATGGCAACCATGAAAGCAGTAGTCGTCGAGGAAACTGGCGGTGTCGATAAGTTGCTCTACAAGGACCTTCCCTTTCCCGAGGCTCATGAAGGCACTGTTGTCATCAAGAACCACTTTATAGGTAACGTAAATACAAGTTTGGGCGCTAACGACGAACGAAAACAAAAACCTAAACGATTGGTTTAAATTTGATAACCACGACTATTAGGCATCAACTACATTGATACCTATCACCGTACCGGTCTTTACCCATTGCCTCTTCCATTTGTTCTTGGTCGCGAAAGGTACATTTTCTTTTTACCACTCACTGCAACCACTGTTGATAAATGTTGTCGGGTTGCAACTTGCTTACTAATAGCGGCGATCAATTTCACACAAAAACAGCGCTGGCGAGGTCAGTGCCGTAGGACCTGACGTCAAGGATTTCAAGGTTGGCGATCGTGTTGTCTATATCGGTGGATCGACCTACTCTGAATATACCGAAGCCAAGGTCGGTGCTGTTGAAAAGATTACAAACGACGTGTCATACGAAACAGCAGCTGCTATTGGTATCCAGGCATTGACAGCGTGGACGTTGGTTCGTGAATCTTATCCTGTCAAGAAAGGAGGTATGAGCAAACCTTTATTCCGGATAGATGAGGCGTGTGTGTTGGATTACTAAAGCGCTGGGAGGGTATGTCTCAATTAGTCAATGAGGCTGTGTGGTAGGTAACTCACCACAATCTGTTTTTTTTTCTTAGACCATATTCTCATCCATGCAGCAGCCGGTGGTGTTGGCCTCTTGCTGTGTCAAATGTGCCGCTATCTTGGTGCCACCGTAATTGGCACCGTGAGCACAGCCGAAAAAGCCGCGCTCGCACGCGAAAATGGCGCCGATTACGTGATCAACTATACCACCGAGGATGTCGTCGCCAAGGTGAACGAGATTACCGGTGGTCTGGGTTGCCAAGGTGTGCTAGATGGCGTTGGCAAGTCTACTTGGGATATCTCTTTGCAGTGTGCCCGACGACTCGGATCCGTAATCAGCTTTGGAAATGCTTCGGGTGTAGTTCCTCCTGTAAGAGTCAGAGTTGGTTGGGTCGGGGGGATGTGTGTGTGTGTGTGTGTGTGACCAAACCAGCAACCCAGGTGCATTGACGTACGCGGATGAAAAATGTTTGTTTTATAGATTTCGATCGCGACGTTGGCACAAAAGAATCTCAAGATTATGCGACCCACTTTGTTCAACTACATGACATCGCGTGAAGAATCGCAAAAGTGGTGGGGTGAAGTGTTCGAACTTTTGGCCAAGGGCGTCATCAAGACCCACATCTACAAGATATATGATCTTGCCGATGCAAAGCAGTCTCACATTGATATTGAGAGCCGAAAGACAACTGGCAAACTGTTGTTGAAACCTTAATCTGTGTATTTGTACATCACTTTCATCTGATACTGTACCTTTTTTTTTACCGTTTGTATATGTCTGAGCTATGTTGGCTATGATCAAGGTGTTCACGTCCTGTAAAATGACATTTTGTATTATACTTGGCCTTTTCTATTGACATTCCCTTTCGCCCCAAGCTTTTATCAACTCACAACATCAATTAACAATTATTAAAACTATATTTGCCAATAGTTTGATTGAGCAGGCGTGTACAGAGATATTCTATGATGAGTATTGTCGACTATGTTACTGGTTTCTAACGGGGGTACGGACCACAAATGAGGTGTGTTCAAGACTTCATTCAAGACCAATGCTCCAATATATTCACAGAAAATTGTTAATGGAAGAGCACAGTAATAGAAGCTCTTGGCAACATACACTAGTCAATGTTATATTCGCGATGATTTCTGATCTAACAGCCTTGAAACTAGCATAATAATAAAAATATATCTGCTGAAATCGTTCCTAAAAGCACTATACTTTAACTCTGTTTGATTGATGCTACTAAAAAGTATCCAACATGTCAGCCTCAGACAACTTTGAGCAAATCGTATGAAATTCCCATTTAGATTACAGAGAGGACGTATACCGCAGGCAGACGGCGGGCAGTGTCAAAAGAAATCCGTAAAATTCGAGAGTTTTATTAAATGTCGCGTGTATATGAAAATAGCGATGACTGAAAAGCCTTACTAGAACAATCGTGTCTGTAAAAAGTTGTCTGTGAGAGGTCATGCTTGTTGCCAGGCAACTGTAATTGTTTAATCGATGAATACATGCATCTATAACTGTTATCGCTACTAGCAAACAAGTCTTCCATCACAGAGATTGAACGAATGTAAAGATGGTTTTGCTATGCGAGTGTTCTATCTTCCTCTTTCCTAAGTCATGAAACCAATTAATTTTTGCGTCACAGGATCAATGCGGTACTAAATGAATTGACCTAAGCGTTCAGGATAGCGTTACAACTTTGAAAAGTAGCAAGGATATGGTCGTTTTTTCAACATTAGTGGAGTATACACGCCCCATTCTCTCGCTTAATTATTCACAGGAAGAAAAGGTGCAAGAACGGAAGGTTAACACGATAGACGAGGCTAAAAAAAGTGCAAATACCTTTTTCGGCTCTTTTTCTTTCGGTGAAGAGCGGTAGAATCATCGAACGTCGAGAATCGAGATAAATATATACATTTCACCATATTCAGTCAATTTTCTTGAAATTCTTTTCATGTTATGGTAATTAAGTGGAGACTGCGGTTATCCTCCGCCATCAGGCCGCCGCCGCCACCACCGCCGGCCGCCGTAAACCATGCTTTAATAAAATGTTTGAAAATCACACTATAAGGCCAGAGAGCTCAATAAAGTTCGGTGTGTTTGTATAGCCATCATATTATGCTCAAAATCCGGATGTTCCGGCGGATAGCTTCGACAAAACATACAGCATAATTTTGAGACTTTCTAATTTTACATAGTGATACCAAATCGTTATGACGAAAAAAGCACAAGGCAATGCAACTATTACCATACAACAGGAAGCATAAGCTTGTCATGGACGATAATGGTACGTGTCGCGCTTAATCATCCAAAGGAAAGGTTTGCGCATTGGCCAACAAAGTACATGACTTTATTTTTGTATTCGTGATATAATTCAGGGGTAATTCGTTAATCGTGAGCCATTACAAAAACAGTGTTCTGGAGCATCTTAAAAGATGACTTTGAGCAGCAATTGCTGCTGTGGAGCCAATATAACAGGCTTGTATTAGCAGCTGGTAGCATATGCTACTACTTGGAGGTGGGTAATTTCAAGCATAGTCGGGAAGGCGAAGCGTACAATCGGACCTAATATATCCACATCAGCAGCCTCATCATATTTTTAACTATATACAGCATGCATAATACAGGTTCTTTGTTGGATTGGAATAAGTCTTACTTATAAATTTGCCGGATCGAATGCGCACAAAGTGTATCCAAAAGCCGTGCACAGAGCATACAGAGGTATATTAAACATGCACACAAGAAGAAAAAAAAGCCTCCCCTGTTGAGTAACGTTATCTTTTATGACCTGTTTTGGAAAGCCTAATTTAAGTCCGAAGCTAATTTGCAATATGGAATCTCTGGATGGATCCTCATCTCTTCTCTCTGCGAACTAAAAGAGCTCAGCCTTTATGCAATTAATTTTTCTGAACCGGAGACCATATTGCAACAGCAACAACCTGATTATTACCATGGCATGTTGCCATGGTTACAGCACGCTGAATGTACACCAGTTCATAAAAGGCAAATAAGGCTGTTATCGTCACCCAAAGAGAAAGTGGAGAATTGCACATACAGAGAGCGAGGGAGAGAGAAAGGCTGTTTTTGCTGTTACACAACAGAAAAGAGATTGGCTCGAAATGACAGTCGAACATGTGCTGTATTGCCGCACACCTTTTTTTTTTGTCAATCTGACCAGGAAATGGCATATTCATATGTACGATACATCATAACTTACACACACTCTGTTTGCATTTTACCGGGAACTTGCTCTCGTAAATATTGGTTTCGTAACCCGAGAAAGGGAAATGAAATCGCGTGCAAAGTCTTTCATTTTCTTTTCAGTTTATTGGGTAGCTCTTCTCTTTTCTATTATCGTGGGTTATGTATCATGCAAATGCATCTGGTATTGCCATTACGATAACAACAGCGCCACTGCTATGGAAGGCTGCTCAAATTGCAAGAGAAGGTCTTTATTTATACATGCAACATGGATGATTCGGTAAGACGGATATCTTCTTACGCGCCCATCGTGCTACGCGAGCGGAGTAAGGCTCACGTGTGACCCTGAGGGTGAGAGCAAGGTGGAGCTTTGATGGAAGGTGAAGAAGCGTACAAGGCACAGCAATGGGGGGGGGGCACATCAGCAAAGCCTTCTTTCTCTCGTACGGCAAGGCTGGCTGTAATGCAATTGTGGGTTGTCTGGAAGCCGACTTGATAAAGAAAAAGGAGTCATTTTTCCCTTCCTTCTTTCTCACTTCTTCCTTCTTTCGCTCACACTTCTTCCTCCACCCCTCCATTCCCCTTACCTTTCCTTTCCTTCCTCACATACTATCGAGAGCATACACAATGACTCGCCAATCCACACTCATTGCACTTCTACAACTACTGATCGTCTCATTACTTCCACATTCGCTATTTGCGCTGGACAGCAACGTGAAGAACCTGGTTGTTTTCGGTGATTCCTATTCCGGTAATAATTATTATCATCATGATCAGCAGCAGAGAAGCAACAACAACAATAATAGCAACGACTCACACGCTAACACAATTTCTTAGACCTTGGAAACTTTCATCGATGGACAAACGGCCCTGTCTGGAGCGAAAACGTTGCGGTTGCTTGGAATGCGTCGCTGTACAGCTTTGCATACACCGGTTCGGCATGTGACAACGAGCTATTTCCCAACGTATCGGCTGCAGACCAGATGCCTAGTATCCGCGACCAGATTGAAATGTTCTACAACCTCGACTTGAACTTGGACCCTACCGAAACCGTCTTTGCCGTCTGGGTCGGCATCAACGATATCCAAAAGTCATACCAGCAAAGCCTTGGTAAGTACGAGCAACAGATCCGTTCTACTTGAAAATGTCTCTTGGATGCGTGTATTTACAGGTTATTCACATGAAAAATAAAGGTACGGATGAGTTGCCTGACTTTAAGAATGTTGCCTTGTGCATCGGCCAGCAACTGCGAAACATCCGCAAAGTGTTCCACGCCAGCCGCATCATGGTCTTCAACGTGCCTCCACTGGAACGCATGCCGTTCTTTGCCGACAACGACGAGCACGCGGACAAGGAAGTCTGGGGTCAGGCTGCTGTGGAGCTCAACCGAATGCTGCAGAACGATGTTGTCAGCCTCAACAAGCACCATCATGCGCTTGAACTGGATCTCGTTGACGTGCACAGTCTTTTGTCCGATATCGCTGCCGATCCTCCGATCTTTGGATTCTCGGATGCCACGCATGCCTATCTCGATGCGTGCCAGGGCGCGTGCCAGGACGAAATCAATGACTTTGTCTGGTGGGACCGCACCCACTTGACCGGCGGCGCCCATCATGTCATTGCCAACAGCATCCTGCTTGCTGGCTCGTATGCTCAGTCGACATCGGTGGATATCACCCTGACCAACGTCCAAGCGCTTCTCGAGGATCCCAAATCACGATACCGATCCCCTGTCTACATCCCCCCTCCCAACACGGGTCTCATCGACCAGATTGTCCAAGAGATGACCAAGTCAACACCCTCCACGATCGAAGTACAACAGGACCTCGACGATGAGTACTTGCTTGGAGCGAGCCATTTGCTGAATCGTGTATTTATTTGGTCCACATTGGTTCTGGCTGTGGCTGCCGTGCTGTTTGCATGGAGACGTCAGCAGCAGCATCGTCGAAGCCCTTGTCGATGCCGCAGTGGTGGTGGTCTTTTGGACCCGAGCAGTATCGAATCCCAGCATCGTGGTCGCTACTTTTCTCCCTTCCGTCCCAACAACAGCAATGGCAACAGTGAAATGACCGAGACCAAATAGATCAAAAGGGACCGTCACCACCCGCTCACGCGCTGTTATTACCAACCAAGTACTACTACTACCTCCATCATCACATATACACCACGACCTTACACCGCTCATCCTCATCACCCACCCAGCACCGGCACCATATCTTTTTCTCTTTTTAGTGTTTCATAAAAAAAAAAAAGAAAGAAAAAAAAATACCTTCTCTCGGTCTCCCTCTGTCTCATCGTCATCCTGCCCCTCACAAATCCCACCCTTTCTTGTTGTATTTCTTTCGTCTTTGTCATCATTAGTTTCTTTGTTGTACATCTTCTTCTATAAACTCATCCACAAACGCGCACACACTGTGCCTTCTTCTTGCCAGAGGCAAGTATAATTGTTATTCGTTCCAAAATAAACAGAGCACATCTTCTGTGTGTGGAGATCTATTTGGGAAAGAAGTCAAAGTTGGTGGTGACAATTTGCTATGGAACAAACAAACAAATGTGAGTATACACGGGTCGTATAGCTGTTGGTAAGTGCATGGTTTATTGTACACACAGGTACATCGAGCACCGGAGGCGTTGGTCCGATGACGGGGCCCTTGCAAAGCGTTGACGGGTTATACAAAGTATTGTTTGCATGAATGTTGGTTCTTATTGAGAATGAGGTGCTTCCTGTCCGTGTGTTCCTTGTTATGGATAATCACCGACTCAACCCTGCTCTTTGTTACGCACCTACGCACCTGCATTTGGTTTCTTGGGTGTGATTGCTCATTTGTTCTCTTTGATGCTTCTATTTCCCGTAATGCACAGACACACATCATATGTGTCCGTGCATGATCGTGATGAGGTGAGACCCAAAGAGGTCATTCTTTGGACCCATCTGTTGTTCGCCTGAAATGGTTAATCAGTTTAACATGGATAAAAAAGCGGGCTGTCTGCGCGCGTGCAAGTTGAGATCTACACTCAGCACATACGAACGCTTCCTCATCTACCAACTGCTCCCACTACTGCTACCCGAGAGATCCGCACCTTTGAATCCCGCCGACACTACCTTGCATACAAACAATCATTATGTCGCAGCGTGACAGCGATCATAATCAGGTACAAAACAAGTTCGAGCTTATTTTTATATCTCCTTCACCACCTCCACCACCTACTACACACATACACACATGCTTTCTCTTAAGAATAAGCGCAGAATCCCTGGTATTCTTCAGATTCACCACATTTGGCTCAGTAGAACATAAAAATATTTTTTTATATTGATGCTCAGATGTCGTCCCCAACAATTAAATGGCTAGATCATATAAATACTAACTAGCGATTTTGTTTGTAATCCTGCTACATGTTCATTTAGTCTTCTTCCAATACCCTTACTCCTGCCGCTACTGCTATCACAGCTAGTAAACCGGCTACTACCACCGACACCACCACCGCGATCGACCCTTTTGCCTTTCTCTTTCAACCCATGGCCGATTATGGATGCAGTATTCTCGACGTGCCTCCTGCACAGTTACAGCAGCAACTAGAGAAGTTCGAGGACCCTGTCACACTCGGATCCTACCTGCAAGACCTCACCAACATCTCGTCTCATGTCGAGCACTATCCTACCACCACAATGTCCACTATGGAACTCCTCCACTATTCCTTGCCAGCAGCACCAGAGCCAACAACAGTGACTGGAGCAGAAATGCCAATGTCACTTATGATGGACGATCCCAATAAGGTCACATCCATGTCATCACAGCAGCAGTATCAACAACAACAACAACAACAATTTCAGCCAAATGAAGCTGTGCCATCCATTTCTGCAAGCAACGAAAAAGCCGGCTCTCTTTGCTCCCTGTTGAAGTATTTTCCGGACTTGACCAAATTCATGGGTCACAACTACTTTGAAAGCTTTGTCAAACTGTGGTTCTCTTTTCAAAAGTGTATCTTGCTTGCTCGCAACGCCGAATGCCGGACATGGGTGACACGAGAGCTTTGGTCGATCACAGAACATCTCGATATGACGGTTGAAAAGATCATGAATGAGCGAAAGCAAATGGAACCACAATATCACCAACACGAAGACTGTGAACAGCAAACACCCTTTCTCATTTACGCTCTTCAATCACTCAAGGACCGTGTCGAGGTGATGCACCGTGTCATGCTGATTATTGAAACTGCTCGTATACAGTACAACCAAGATCCCGTCAGTGCTATCATACCGATCCTTCATCGTATTATTGAGAAACGACAGAACGAGAAGCAGCAGCAAGGGTTACTATTGCAACAACAGCAGCTCCACCAATTGCAACAGCAGCATCGATCCAGCGAACAGAAACAAGGACAACAGGTTTCTGACATGATGACGATGATACTGGCCGACAGCACCGGCAGCAGCAGCAGTGGTGGTACTACGTTTATGCAGCAAGATTATCAGCAACAGCAACTACAACAAGGGTCCGCTTTTAATGATCCGACAATGTTTGTACAACCACAGCATGATTACCAACAGCAGATGCAGCATCAGCACCAGCAAGAGTTCTATCAGAATCCGGCCATGGCTGCGATGATGTTACAGAGCAACAACAACCGTAATGTTTACTGCGTTCACCCGTCCACATTAATGCAGCCTTGGCCGACACCGTCTGCAAGTTCAGGGGGGTATACCATCATGCCACCCACTACACCGGAACATCAACAAGAGCAGCTGCTCTTTACCATGAACAATAGCGACTTTACAGCAACCAGCAGCACTATGTCGTCACTCTCATCTTCTTGTTCACTGCCTCCACACGAAGGTTTTGAGTTTCTTCCGTCGTCAGTCGCTTCGATGTCGGCCCATGCAACAGTAAGGACACATCAACCATTCACGCCACCCGATGCTTTCCACGCCATGAAAGCTGATCAGCAACAACAACAACAGCAACTCGATTTGCAACAAGGATTGTCAGCCTTACAAATTAGCGACATTACCAAAGGACAACAATACAACCGCCAACAACAAGATCTCCTGCAAGAGAACGAGCTTGACAACAAGCAAGAGCAACAAGGCAGTACATTATGTTTGGGATCATCAAGCGTAGACGGCGACGAAGAGCAAGATCAAGTCAACGACGACGATGACAAAGACGCTGACTATTGCGAAGAAGAAGAGGGTGAGACGGAATCGGATGATGAAGAGATGGAAGATATAGATGACGACGATGACGATGACTATGTGGAGCCAACATCGGCAGCAGCAAAAGCAAAAGCAGCAACAGCAGCAGCACGTCGTCATAGAAACAACAGCCGTCGTCCCGGCAACAACAACAATAGCAGCCGTTCTACTACTGTTAAAATCGAACCATCATTGTCATCATCCCGTGCCACCATCAGAAAACCAGTACAACAACAACAACAGCAAGCACGTCGTCCACGTGCTCCACGAACCTACACAAGACGCACTGCTACCTCCTATGACGCCGAGACGACCCACTACTTGAAATCCGTGTTCTTTAGCATCTACAGTAAAAAGGACAAGCTGACCAAGGAGCAACGCAAACAAGTTCAAACACACACCGGATTGAAGCCTCGCAACATTACGTACTGGTTCTCCAATCACAAGCGCCGGTTTCAAAACTCATTGTATGTGTTTAAGCAGACGGTGCGTGAAAGCCAAGGCAAGGTCGTGACCTATGATGATTTCTTGAGCTGGCGTCGCCAGCATGGATTGCCTGAAGATGTCCCGGATAGCGAAGTGGCTGACAGTGGAATTAGCTTTGATGAAGGATGCTGGTCATCCCCATCTTCCACCAACAGTAAAAACACCATCAAAAGTGGAGATGAAGAAGAACAAGAACAAGCGTTGTTGTTGGAGGAAGAAGATCAAAAACAACAGAATAGTGACAGCGCGATTTCTTGTTTGCAATCACCGGCTGATGCTACAGCCGCTTAATAATTATTACCAGTTGCATCCTCTACACCCTTCCCATCCATTCACTTATCCTTTAAAAAAACATACTTCCTCTCTTCATAAATCGAAGTATATACAAAAATATAGTAGTAGTACCATTAGTAGTTTATAATAAAAAAAAGTATCTCCGTTTAATAGCAGTAAAAACACTCTTTCTTTTTGTTGCCAGATTTTCGATTTAAGCACTAGCATTAGGATTTTCTTATTGCCTCTAAGCAAAACTGACATACTATATATCAAAAGTAGTAAAAGCAAATGGTAAGTCCAGCTGATGATGTTCAATGGTTTATAGTAGCAGGTGCTTACTGTTTGATGATATACGCATTGATAAAGCGAGTAAATGCGAAGGTCATCATCATGTTCTGCCGATAAGCATTTTTTTTTCTGTTATTGGGGCTCACTTACGTTAAAAGGTTTGTTCTATTGCAGGATTCCTGTTCCTTTGCTCCATAGGACAAAAAAGATTTCTAATATTTCTGCTAGTAAATTGTTGATCATACAGTTTATACAGAGGAAGCATAGTGATTTCGCAGTAAGCATTGAAAGTTTAGTCCATTGAAAAATTCATCTAAGCTGTGCTGTATTATAGTGATGGCAGATATCGTATGTAATGTATTTTAAATGCAGGATCCTCCCTCCTCCTGTTAGGCTCAAAAACCCTTTAATCGATGAGACGAAACATATGAAGAGTTTTTTTTTTTTTTCGAGAAAAAGGTACACATCTTGGAACCTAGCCAATGAAATTTGAAAGCGCGAGCATGAAAAAGTAATGGTTCCACGTGATACAACAGCGTTCCCTTTTGGTCGTTGCACAGAGATCGACTATTGTGAATGGCTTGTTAAGGCCACGCCCAAAAAAAGTCGACAGCTTATTCGCTCTTCTTGCAATCGCTTTTTTTCTATCTTCCTTTAGTTTCTCTCTGAATGGATAGGTGGAATCCCGTGCAGCGTGTTGTGCCCATGATGATGATACACAGGATGTAAGTTTATTGTAGTTCGACGAAATCCAATACTTTGGATCACGTCGGTTTTCATCCGCAACGTTTATTGGAACAAGATATTTCACTACTAATACTGCTACTAACCCACTTATTACTTTTTTTTGTGTCGTGTAGTAATAATATACAACAACAAGACATGTTCACGCGCTACCCCAACTCTCAACATCGCTCCCTCTGCCCGCCCCCCTCCACTCCGGGATGGGAAGGGTGAAACTGAGCGCATAGCGGAACGGCGCGCAATATACACATACACACGTACCCCCATTCACGTATACGGATACGGTTACAAGGACGAATAGGATATAGGATGGTGACGCTAAACAAAAGGCAGATCACACAAACAATTGGGATCCTCCCTCTCTTTTCTTTTTGCTTTCTTTTTTTTCTTCCAACTTTTCTTCTTCTTCTTCTTTGTTTCTCTATCTTACTACCTCTTGATCATCAGTTTCACGTAGCAGATTATGAGCTCCTCATCATCATTGAAACAACGTAACAAGATCCGGTTTGCCCTGGTACCACTATGCATGGGGATGGCCAATATTTGTCTGCAAAAAGTCGACCTTTTGGAGCCGTTTTATGCCCAGTATCGGTGGGCACACGCGATCTTATTGAGTGTTATTGGATCCATCGTGTCCGTAATCCTTGGTTGGGACCATGTCAAGACACCCATCATGTTTATGTACTCGTGTTTTTTAAAGCCCCTCGGACATCATGGAGATGTGCAAAGTCGGCTCGAATCCTTTTATCAGGGACAAGCTCATAGTACGTGTGTTATACGTTTGCTTCTAGTAGTAGTAATAGTAGCATTAGCGCGTGAAGTAGTAGATGCATGATGTGGTATAAGTGCAGTCGGCATGCTGGTGTTGCTTTTGCTGCTGCATGGGACGTGCTACCCCCCTGAAGCTTTCCCTTTCCCTTCTACCCCTGGGTACCCTCTGTCTAAAGCACAACACACATGACACATATATTCTTTATCCCTTTTAACCTTAAATCTGACCAACACTCTTAGTTTATGATGACTCGCGCGGTAAACTTTTACGAGGCCGTAAAACGATGCTACGACTATGTGCGGCACAGCTAAAGGATCAAATCGCTAATGGCACAACACCAAGGAAACCAACTTGGATTGACCTGGGAGGTGGAACTGGTAAGAGGCAAAAAGAAAAACGTAAACTCGGCATTTCTTCCAAATATATACAAGTATACTCATACGCATTGGTTGCGTATTTATGTTTTTGTTTATCAAGGTTGGAACATTGAGCAAATGCACGCGTCGTTCCCTATTGAGAACTTTGAAAAGGTTGTGCTGGTGGATCTGACACCTTCCTTGTGCAAGATTGCTCAAGAGCGGTTCAAGCGACGCGGTTGGGATAATGTCATTGTGTTATGTCAAGATGCTGCTTCTTTTGAAACACCTTTTCAAGCCGAAGGTGGTGTCAACTTGGTGACCATGTCGTATTCATGTAAGTCTAAAGTAGCTGTAGTAACCTTGTTTGTTTTCTTAGTGTGTGGTGGGAAAACTTTATCGATTTGGGACGAAAGGGGAAGCAACTACCGAAGATGGCGTTATATTCGTAAACAAAAAGACAGCTTTAGATCTGACCATAACCTAAACTTCATGATGGGCCATGTTATTTTAGTATCGATGATGGACAGCTATTTCCCAGTCGTGGATCGAGTCCAATCCTTGTTGACGCCCGATGGTCTTTTTGGCGTCGTCGATTTCTACGTGTCTGGTAAATCCAGTGCACCAGCAGAAACCTACTCACCCCAACACAACCGACAATGCAATTGGTTCACACGATTCTTCTGGCACATCTGGTTCGACTTTGATCACATCAACTTGGCGCCTGGCCGTCGCGATTATTTGGAATACAAGTTTGGCACGATCAAGAGTTTGAACCGCAGAAATCATTTCGTGGTCCCTTATATGATCCAGATTCCTTACTATGTTTGGCTTGGTTGTTCGCATGCAAGGGGTCTCCTCGCTACTACTACTACTACTTCAGCTTCCGTGATATCCGATTCGTATAGCAGTAGTGCAAGTGACTGCAGTGCGTCACCTAAACTGGGACCCGATGGTTCTTCTTCGTCAGCTTCGGTTGTAGCAGTAGAACCTCGTCGCCCGTGGCGTTTGGACTATGATCCGTCGTTGCCCTGTCATACACAATTTCGATCGTATATTTATGCTTTCACTTGGGAAGATCCGCGAGTCGATCTGCAGCATATTCCGTTGTCCAGCAATGACGTGATGCTGGTCATTACTTCGGCTGGTGACAATGCTCTAGAATATGCCATTGCTGCACAACCTAAACGAATTCACTGCGTTGACATGAATCCTTGTCAGGTAAGGGCACCAAAAGAGAGCAAAGTACTCAAGGGAGAAGAAGGGAAGGATATTAAAGAGCGAACTGGGGGACCACGTAATCTATATAGAATCACTTGTTGGAATTGAAGCTTGCAAGCATTGCCACACTCTCATACCGTGATTTCTGGCGAATGTTTGGACAAGGCCAGCACCCGCACTTTTCTACGCTGTTAAACGATTTCATTTCGCCCCAGCTGAGTTCCTACGCCTTCCAGTACTGGTCCCAGCATAGCGATCGGTTCTCTCACCAATTCTACAAGACTGGTTATTCTGGATTGGCGTTATATATTTTTGAATGGTGGAGTCGTGCTACGGGTATTACAAAGTACGTAGAACAGATGTGCAGTGCTACAACAATCGAAGAACAAGAACGGATTTGGCAGCAGCGTGTACGACCTACCCTCCTGTCTCCACTGGTTCAAAAAATGATGGATAATCCAATGTTTATGTGGAATGCATTAGGAGGTGTGTGATCCGTTGATTTCGTTGTGGAGATGTTTAAGAGTGGAGAGTTTAAAACGATTATACTAACAAACAAATACATGTTTTGCAATGTACTAGTACCGATCAACCAAATGAACATGTTTTTGGAAGAGTGCACGACACGCGAATATGTTGAAAATACGCTCGATCCCATCCCATCCCGGTCTTTGTTCCGAAATGATCAATATTTCTACCACCTCTGCATGATGCAGCATTATACCAAGGAATCATCTCCAACCTATCTAACCGAGGAAGGATTCAATAAGCTCAAGGTAAATCCAGGACAGGGCTTTGTCTACTTATTAGAATTAGAATTAAGGGGTAAGAGGTGGGTGGGATAAAAGAAAGATGAGAATGAAATACTGAAATGGATGCTATTGATAATAGAATTCGGATGCTATGGACGCCTTCCGATTACATACAGACTCAATCGTCGATACATTAAAGGGCTTACCAGACAATTATTTGACACGGATGGTTGTCATGGACCATATGGACTGGTTCGACCCTAAGGACCCCAGTCAGTTAGATTTAGAAATCACCGAGATGGCCCGCACACTACAGCTGGATGGCCGTGTCTACTGGCGCAGTGCAGGCACACGGCCTTGGTATAATGCCTTGTTTGAAAAGGCTGGATTCCAGGTTGAACCACTCACGATTCGTCAGCCTGGCCTATCCATAGACCGTGTTAACATGTACGCTAGTTTCTATCAAGGCACACTGAAGCGTAAACAGCAATAACCATCTTCTTCTTCTTCGAAAATTACTCACACATACACACCCGCTATTTTATTTATATATATTTGTACACAATTTCTATTTTTTTTTTGATTTACAAGGAAAGAGACCACTTCCTTCGTAGCCGTGTAATCTTTTATATATGTATTAAAAATCTGATTATATGTATATGCCCTTAATTAGTTGCTATGTCGACCATACAATAATATGTAGGCTTATGCGTTTTAACCAAGCCATGAGATAATGAAAATTAGAAACTGATGGGGTGCTATAAATGATTGCCTTTTATTACATTCCTTATCAGGTATGCCACTGTCAACCATTTTATCTATTATCATAACTTAATGATGTTGATATAGAGGAGAGGCTGAGAATGTGCGTATGAAACAGCGAACTAGGAGGAGATAGACAATAAAGTAGGATATGCCCCATTTCTTCTTTTGCTTATCATTTTACTGTAGTTAATTTCAACACGACCTTCATCACAATCGACAAAAGTAGTCTTACTCACTTAAAGGCAGCAAAGAAACTACAGTTTTTTTCTCAACGTCTACTACAGCCCTTCAGCAGCTCTTTTACGGTTAACACGTAGCTTTAAGGAGAAGCAGGGGGAAATTAAATGATGGAGTGTGAATGAGCAAGGAGTAGTGATAGCAGCAGTACGGGTGGTGGGGCCACTCAAACTGTGATAATATTATCTTCATGTCAAATTTTTACTCTCTGTTTTTTTTGGACATGCATCTAAAAAAGGTTGCATACGAATTGAGCGCATTATGCATAATGAGTAGTAAGCAGGCGCCAGCAGCAAATGCCAGTAGCACGTGTGACGACGCTTGCCCTGTTGAATTAGGAAAAAAAGGCCATAACTTGCAGCCAGCCATACGACCTAAACAAAAGTAGAATTGATTGTTTTTTTGCTACTGTTTACTACTACTACAACTAGCCGCTGCTATGCGAATCACTGAGCAAGGGAGTGGATATACATCTTTTAAGAACAAACTTGGCAATCCTAAATTCAACCTTCTCAAAGCCCCGAAGCTCTCCTTATTTACACTTTGCGTCCATAGTAATCACAGCAGTAGAAGCAACAACAACAACAGCCAAGAAAGCGTACACATACACGAGCGTGTGCTAGCAAGACTTATTCAATTCTCGGAATCAATAATGAAGTGCGGGTTATCCACTGCTATGTATTCAAATTACTACGGCGTGATAGTTATCTCCATTTGGAAGCCAAACAAAGTGTATTTTTATATGTAAAGGAGAAGAGATGAGGAGTTGGGTATAAGCTAATGTCGTCGTATTTATGCTGCTGCTGCTCACACCCAACACTCGCGTAGGTGCTTTGTATTCCTGTAATCACGCGACACCACATGTCTTATATAGTAATTAAAGGAGATCGGAAGAGGTAAAAGCATCTTTTCTTTTTTCTGTCGCTGCACAAAGTTTCTCTCTTCTTCCTCACTGCTTTTAATTCTTGCCCCTGTTAATTGACACTCATTTCCTTTTCTTCATATAGTCTATAAAACTGCTACTGCTACTACCACAAACCATTCCACTCGTTTTCTTTCCAACAGCTACTAAAGGTTTACTTCTGCTACAGCTGCTTCTACTGACAGTATGAAAAATTATGCACTGGGACATCGGATCCTTGCGATCGCCGCATTATTATGCGCCGCTACTACTTCGATGATTAGTGTAACGTCAGCAGCCGCTGTTGACAGCAGCGGTACCACCACCACAGCGAGCAACAACAAAAACGTCCAGTACTGTGTAATGGCATTTCCCAACGCCGGAGAGGGCGTCTCAGTTTCCATAAGCGGCCAAACTTATACCCTACAATCGAACAATGACCACCCAAACCTCTTTTGTGGAAGCGCACCTTACGGCCAAGTCTATCAGTACGCCTACACCGACAGCTCCGGAGCTGTCACAAAGAGCGAAGAGCAAAGACGATCGCTGTCACCCAATGCAGCAACGACTGGAAATGAGTTCTTTGATAGAGCGCCTACAGTTTACAGTGTGCCCGAATTACCTCAAGCATTTCATCCAATCTATCCTCGTACGTGAAACGTTGTACTCTGATGGGATCATCCATTTTTTTTGCTATGGAAAACCCCGGTAATATCTTGGGCTAACGTATCTCTCAATGATTACTACGTTATACAGCTCTCTTTACAAACATGAACAACTCGAATGAAGTCGCGACCATGATATTAAATGTCGATGAGCAAGCATTTGGCGAGATTTGTCGAACTCCTCTTGAAAAACACCACAAGGGTGCACAAGTGTATAAGTTAACCTATATCAGCAATTCAGAAATCCATACAATCACAAATGCTGCAATTGACAATAGCGGCCAGTCCACAAAAGAGTTTGCCCGGCAATCATTTGAAATTGACTTTAACAAGTTTGTTACGGATAAAAATCTTCCCAAGCAGCTTCTTTTTGGTCGATCCGTCGTCAAATTGCGCGGTGAACAAACCGATGGTTCGTTCATGTGAGTCAGCTTGTAATTCTTCTTGTTGCATAATTAGACTAAGAATTTTGCTAATCAAGATTATTTCCAGGCGCGAAAAACTGGTGATGGACATGCTGGCTGCAGCGGGTGCCGCCACATCCATGAGTAGTTGGGTGCGCGTGTTTGTTAATGACACACCGCTCGGGTTGTTTTTGATGACGGACGATGCGTCAACCCATTTTATTGACAACGTGCTTCACGGAGGCGACTGGTCGTACGCCAACACTGGTATGTACTACCATAAACAATAAACAAAAAAGCAAGCTATTGCCCACCACAGCAAACCATCTACTCAACCTTGGAAAATGGATGCTAATATTCAATTTATTATAGGACCAACGTACAAAGGAAATTCCCTTGATGACCAGCACTGTGCCAACCTGGAATATTTGGGCGATGATACTGCTGCCTACAAAAAGGACATCTACAAGCTTAAAGACAAGGGCGAAGCGAAGGACTTGAAGAAGGGAAACAAGACGCTGCCATTAGTTGAATTCACCCGACAGCTTGCCAAGATTGACCCCAAACAAGCCACGGATGCTCAAAATAGAGGCGATCTGGAAAAACTGATTGATCCAACAAACTTGATGCTGCATATGGCGATCAACTATCTGGTTGGTTCCTGGGACGGGTTCTGGTTCCAGGCCTCCAATTTTTACCTGAACCAAGATTTAGCAACCAAACAATGGGCGTTGATTGCATACGATTTCGACGAAACGTTGGGAAATGGCGTTGAAACGGCTGGATTCGTCAATGTTCGCTACGAAGCATATACACCCTCATCTGCCAAACGACCGCTCGTAGACGCAATCCTGGAATCGCCTTACTATCGTAACGAGTTTGAAACTATCTTGAAGACGTTGGTCAAGAAATTCTTCAAGCCAAGCGTGATCAAGCCGCGGCTGGAAGCATGGATCAAAATGCTGAGACAAGATGTTGGCTGGGATCGATCTTTACCGGATACTTCACCGGGTAAAAAAGTGACATGGACCGTTGCAGATATGGAAGCTGGTGCCCTCGGTATTAGTGCGACAAAAGGAGCCCAGGTGGGCAACTCCGATCTGAGCTTGAGCATTGTCGACTGGGTCCAGCAGCGTTCAGAATTGGTGTGCAAGCAATTCGGTATCTCGGATAACGATGATCTCTTACCGATCGGGACATATACCGGTGGTCGTGTTATGGATGGATCGGGCCATGTTACAGATCGCGCTGCCATCACGTCGCCACAGCAGCCTGGCAGCAAGGATGACAGTGTCCCTCCAGCAGGCGATTCAACGGTGGCTTCTTCAGCGGCTGCAGGCGTTGTTGTACCCCAACACACGATGCCACTTGCTAACACGTTTTTGTCTCTGACTCTTTGCTTTGCCATTGCCGTCGCATCATTACTCGCCTAAACTCACCTCTTCTTAAATACATTACATAACTGCACTAAGCATAATTAATTAATTTTCAATCTAAATCCCCTTTGCAATTTTCTCTTTGTTCTCATACGGTCATCAAATAAACCCACTTATTTGCGTTGATTGATGGGCCCAACAGCTATTATGGAGTGCTGATTCTTGCCCGGTCACTTATGGAAGTTTAAGAAACTTTCACACAGTTCTTTTTTCTTCTCCTTAATCTTCTTTTTTGTGCACGATGAGAAAGGAAAAAAAACGCCATACATCACTGTTGACACGCATAATACATAATATAAGAGTCATTGCCAAATATGTTCGGTTATTATCCCGTAACACTCCGGGTTTACAGCATGTGCTGTTGTTGCTGTTATACATTTTGTCGAATCCTTGGAACAACCGACCGTGTCATGCTTCTTTGTTTTGAAGAGGTTATAATTAGCCAGTTCTCCTTTTGCAAGAAGAGGCTTGAGAGTTGTCTATTTTAGGTTTACTAGCCGTTGTTAATATTTTGCTTGGCAAAAAAACAGTAAAGCGTTTACTGTTATGACACCTCTTTCCGATATAGCAAATGGCGATTCGAATATAGTGTAGCTAAAATCTTTGGACTGACGTCTTACTAAAGTCAGATGCATAAGAGCTGCGCATCGGGGCTGAGGTAGTACAGTGGTATCTCGTTGGTACGACACAAATCACACTTAGTGTGGGTCCATGCTATACATGGAGTATACCAAACCTTACCAGCAAATAAAGAAAGTACACACTATATTTACTTTATTTATTTAATGTGCAACAGATTGGCACAATAACATATATGCGGTAAATAATAGAACTTTGCAGCATGGCAGCTTTTTCCGCATTTTCCATGAGCAAGAATCGTCAGCAGGAGCATCAAACTCTCTCGTTTATTACAGGTTCCAGGTACTACTGCTACTAGTACTAGTAATAGCAGTGGGCACATCACACAATAGCAGCAAAATTTACATTACACTGTATACTACAGAAGCCAGGAATCCTCCACCCGTTCTTTCTTGCAATTCGAGTAATAATTAACCAGCCCACTAGAGCAATTATGGCGAGCTTGAGCAACATGCACCGGCTTTAGGCACTACTATTGCTAGTATACTATGTTGCTCCAGTGCGAACGACAAAATGTTAGACGCACATATATAACGGAAGTGAAATTGCCGGGCAAAACGGATTTCTGTTGTTGTTGTTGTTTTCTTTCCCCTCTACTTCCTCCCTTTCTTTAAAACTCACCAAAAAAGAACAATAACACCAATGGTGATCCTGAAGCGGACGGCACATCCAATGCTTCTGCTGCTATTATTATATTGCACGGCGATCTCATATGCACAAGACGTACAGTATGCCGTCATTGCCTTTCTGCCGGAAGGCGCGCAATCCGTTGTTGTCTCTGTTGACGGCACGAACCATCCGCTCGGACCTAGTCAACAAAATATCCCCAACGTTTACACTGGTACCGCCCCTGCACCTGCAGAAACATACAATTATGCTATTTTGGACGGCCAAGGCAACGTACTCATGTCGGAAGCGACACCTAGACGATTGGCCAATGGTGATTCTAGTGGCAATGAATTCTTTAATCGAACTACTTTACATCAAGTACCAGAACTTCCTCAAGCCTACCACCCTATCTATCCACGTAAGCACTCATTATGATATATAACGATATGCTCAGAGCTAGATCAGACTAGCTAAGTAATGGAAATCATACCGTATACGACCTCTAATTGTTTCACTGTTTTCGTACATAGCACTGTTCAGCAACATGAACAAGTCTGATGAAATCGCCACCATCATCATGCAGGCCAACATGACAGCTGTAAATGAGATCTTATCAGATCCCAAAGGAGATCACGAGTATGCATTGGTGGAAAGCATGACGTATATTAACAGCAGAGACGCCTTTACGTTCCGAAACTCTGGGTTCCGCAACAGTGGCAAATCAAGCAAGGAATTCACAAGACAGTCGTTCAAAATCAAGCTTAATGAATATACTGAAAAGGGAGCAGAGAAACAATTACTCTATGGCAGAACAACCGTAAAACTACGTGCTCAGCCTGCTGACCCTACCATGATGTAAGTTGCTGTATTATTTTGATGGCCATTACGTAATAGCTGCTATGATATACAACTGGCACTGGATAACGATGACAAACTCGATGCTAACATAACAAATTACTACTACTGCTCTGTGTAATATTCAGGCGAGAGAAACTGGCTTTTGACTGCTTGGCCGCTGCCGGTGCTGCCACATTGGGCGCTTCATGGACTCGCCTATTTGTTAATGGTCAACCAATGGGTCTTTACCTAATGATCGACGATGCTACAACAAGTTTTATTGATAACGTTCTGCATGGTGGCGATCATGACTATCCTCATACAGGTACGTAGAAAACTAGACACTGGACAAAATTGTCATGATACTTGTGCCTCTTTCTTCTCCACACAAACTGATATCCCTTGTATATGTACATGCATGTATGTAGGTCCCACTTACAAGGGCAATGCAATCACTCCACAAGAGGAGGGTAACCTCGTCTACCATGGCGATAACATTGCTCTATATCCGGAAAGTATGTACGAATTGGAAGATGAAGGCGCCAACGGCGACCTGTTCCCGAACAAGTCAGACGAAATCGTGCCTTTGATTGGGTTTATGCGAGATCTGAGCAATGTTGAGCTCGCACAAGACGCTGAGAACCGCGGCAACTTGGGTAACCTGATGGATAACTCACATCACACTTTGCTACATCTCGCTATCAACTTTTTGTCCGGCGCTTGGGATGGTCTTTGGCATCAGGTAAAGAACGCATATACCAGAAAAAATTCAAATTGCAATCCATCGAGATTGAAAGACGGTGTCATTTTCTGATTACCCTTTTTTCCTGAATGAAAACAGGCAAGCAATTATTATCTGAACCAAAACTTGGAATCTAAGCGTTGGACCATGATCACTTATGATTATGACGAAGTATTTGGCATCGGCGTCGATCCCTCTGTTGCTACAACCCCTTACCAAAACTTTTCGCGTGCCAACTCATCACGACCCTTCATTGACGTGCACTTGGAATCCCCGTACTATCGTGGCGAATTCGAAAAGATTTTACAAACCATTGTCAAGCGATACTTTAAACCCAGTATCATTGACGCCAGACTCGATGCTTGGCGTACCATGCTGCAAGCCGATCAACACTGGAACTTGGAATTGCCTGCACGCTCACCCGGAACGATCAACACGACTTGGACCATTTGGAACTTTGAAAATAACATTGAAAATACGGATGGTCAGGTGATGGGCATCAAGGAATGGGTCCGCAATCGTTCCGCAGCTGTTTGTGAGCAGCTTAGTTTTACCGACGAAGATGATCTTCCTCCTTTGGGTCCCTATAATGCAGAGTCGCGTCCGCCAGCCAATGAGCAGACAGAACTGAAGCCTTCGGCTGCTGTACCTAACTTGTTATGGCACCAGAACAGCTATTGCTTAGTTCTCACAGCTTTGGCTGCGCTATTTTTAGTAAATCTTTGAATGTGTAGCTTAGTCTCTTTCCCAAAAATTCCCTTTGCTAAGACAGTTTCCTTCGATATCTCCCTTATAGTTTCTCATATATATATGTAATAAAGTAAAATAAAATAACATATAAGATGACATTTCAATATATATCATAACCAAGCTATTGCTTGACGTTTTGCATATGATAGATCTCGAATTAAGTAGTAGTATTTATTATACAGAGAATAATTTTATTTGAGAAAATTAAGTAAACCATTACGGTAGTAAAAAAGCATTTGAGTACTCGATACTCATTTATGATAATAAATAGATGACGGCGGAACGATATAAATAAAGATAAAAATAAATGTAGTAAACGACATGGGACATAAGAAGGAGAGATGACAGGAGGATGATAAGAATAAAGGAAGGATAAAAACAAATCACAAACATTAAATGACAACGACGTAAGCACGCTCACCATAAAATCGGATTGCTCCGTTATTTAGTAGTAATCGCTATCTTCATTTGTTTTTGCTGGTTTCTGACTTTTGTTGCGGCCAAACCCAGTCGATGCTTGAGATTGACTGAATTCCAGGTACGCGTTTGCCATGGTTTCTTTCTTGCGATCTTTCTTTCGCTTTCGGCAGGCACAGAATAGACCAAGGGCAGCAATCACAGCCAGACCCGCGACAATGCCAACGACGATGAATATGACTGCGGAGCCATTGTTATTGCCTTCTTGAGTAGTGTAACTGGATGGTAACACGGTGGGAACCATAGTCGGAGATGCACCGCCCTGCGCATTATGCAGATTATGCGGATCTTGACCACCAAATGGATGGCTGCCTTGTTGTTGTTCGTGCTCTCGATTATGGTCATTGCTGTTGTCTTGCTGATTGTTGCTAGTATTACGATCGTTATTGTTACCGCTATTATCGTTGTTGTTGTTGCTGCTGCTGCTGTTACTCTCGGAATTATTGTTTTGTTGTTGGCTGTAATTGTGGGTATTGTTATTGTTGTAATTGTTGCTACTGTTACTCCCGGAGTTGTTGCTTTGCTGCTGATTGTTATCGTTATTGTTGCTACTGTCACTTCCGGGGTTGTTGCTTTGTTGCTGATTGTTATTGCTATTGTTGCTGCTAAAGCTACCGCTGCTGCTGCCACTAGTATTGCTATTATAGTAGTTGTTGCTATCGGGTGGCGAATCATACATAGCAGCAGGTGGAGAGCGGCGCTGGATAATCATTATCGATGAACTTAAATTTAGAAAAAAATGATGATGAGAGTTTAACGTGTGTTAAATATATCCGCTCTTCACGGGTAGCAGGAACCCTTGAAGCTTTTATACGAAAAATATCGGCGATTTCCATACAAAGGATTAGTGAGTAGATATGGAATTGCTGCATATGTGCTTTCCTGCCTGTGCAGCGAATGAGAGAGTCCAAGTGAATGGTGGCAGTTAGAGTTTTGCTGCTACAACGCGCTTTTTCTCTTGCGATATGGGCATCCCTATTTCTTAACTCTCTTCATCGTCGTACCTACATCCTCCCCGCACCCCTTTCCTCTTTTACTCCTGTGCTTTGAAGCAGGAAGGAGTGGTAGGTGAGGAGCTGGGAAAGGGGTGACAGAGAGCATATCTACAATGAAGACATAATAGTCTATATCGGCTTTTACTGGCAAATGTGCTTTTTACAAAACGGGAAAGGCGAAAAGTAGGAGGGGAAAAGCAACAGTTTTTTGCCCACCGCCTCCTTCCACGCATATGTCTCCCCCACTCCTTGCCTCCACTTCCTTTTATGAGGCTTACTGCATTCTACTTGCTCTTCTGTGCATATACTATGTTAGTCCTAACAGTGTTCGCGAATTGCTTATTTCCTCGATGTGAGCGTGTGTACTATACAGTATACACTAAAAGATATATGTACGCCGTCTGGGTCCTCCCTTTTCCGTGGACTCTTAAACGATTATCATAAGCAACATTTTAGAGTATCGCGGTAGTGCTGGATATTACATAAAAAGGACATAGTACGATGCACATTGCTTTATATTGACACTTCCCGTTTGTTAATGCGGCACTTGTCACCTACCAAAATAAAATCATAAAATATTGCTTAGCTATCATTGTTCAATGTACCATCTCGGCTTTGTTTCTTTTTGCTGTCCCTTATTGGTGTATAGTGAAATTATTAGCAGCACTAAGTAGTTGCAGTGGCATGCATGCAATAATTGCTATCACTAAAGCTTGGTGATGTAGTCACCAATACGCATGCTTTCAATGCGCCAATCTCACCCACCGCTTACTCTCAATGCAGATCATGGGAACAGCAGCGTTGAGCATAAGGAGAAAAATAAGCATTCTTCTCACCGTTGATATTTGTACTATTCTGCCGAATACCGGATCTCTGGATCAAGCAATGTAAATAGGTACCTTTTGATTCGATTTGCTTAAAAACTTGGCAAGCACTCTTGTAAAGCCTGTGATGTTGTTTTCTAACTGTTTTTCAGCTAGGATTTATTCAGTTGGAATGAAAGCTCACAACTAGTAAAATCGATGTACTTCAGTTGCCATCATGATCCTAACCTTTTTCTTTCGCTCGCTTGCTTATAGTTTGAAAAGCATGCAAGTAGGCTATGTATTTCTCCTTGTGAGATTGATTGGACATGTGTATGCCCTCCTCTTTTTCTTATTTCTTTTACCCCCATCCCTAATTATCATCATCGTCACTCTCTTCTCGCTCCTTGAGCTGTAAGCTAATGTACATACAATGTGCAGGCTCTCACTCAATTAATAACCCGCAAATGACAAATGACAGATTATGATATCGACAACGACCTTGAATCTCTTCAGCAGACATCAATAAGTCCCATTACGCAGTCATCTTTTATTTTTCTGCGGGTTCCTTTCAACCAAGCCATACATGTATTTCATTGTTAGTACTATATTAGGAGGGCTTATCATGAGCGTACAGTGAATGATATGCTGATTTTTACACGTAGAGACGGTCCACACGATAAGATAGTTGCTTCCATCGGGTCATTTTAGCATTCTGTAAGACGAACCGCGGTAAAGTTTTATTGCTAAGCGATCCCCTAACACGGTTAACTACCATTCGTGTTGCATTTTAAAACAGGGCATGGCGATGGCTGGTATTATGTGTTTCTTTTTTAAACTTCGATCGATCTTGGTTACTCATTCAGGGTACACATAAGAAATTTAATCGTCAAAGGGGGCTCCGTGCACCATTTAGACATCATACGGTGAAAGCGGTGCTAACTCTTCTTGGTAATGTTTTTAATGCACTATTCTTGTCAGAGAGGAGACGTCAGATGTTGTTTTTGCTTCAAAGAGAAAGAGGGAAAGGGGGTAAAAGTTGTAAGGGAAGAGGCCTAGTATGATACTCAATGTCGCTACTAATACTGTATAAGTGGTAAAAAACAAAGAAGGATGGATACTCAATGCTGCGCCGTCAGCCTGTGAAAGAAGTAGCAGTATAGTAGCCAAGTGCTAAAACTCGGGAATAAGCAAGCATTTGCTTAACTGTCAAAGGAGGACAACTGTTGGGTCCGTTTCCCTTTCAAAGGATACATATTCGCCATGTCCCATAATTATGGCATATAACAATATGATGTCATTGCATGCACTGACAGCATGAGGGCAAAGAAGAAAACGAGCGTTAATTCTTCCTATTCTCCCCGGTATAGAATGCTTCGTATACAGTTTATTTGCTTTTTGTACACAATCACCTAGCTAGTAATGGTAGCAATAACCGATGAACTCCTAAATCCCACATAGCAAAGTAAAGATTTACACTTTGTTGATTTCATTGTTTATTTTTTGCTTGTTTTACGATTCCAGTATTAGCTGCGGCGGCTTTGTGTAAAGCAAAAAGCAATACAACAACATGACCTCCTCTCCTCTTTTGTTCTCGCACTTCCCATTTTGACGATGATCTGCGATATGTGATCGTATGTTCAGATCAAACAAATCCAGTGATCATCATTATCGTCGTCTGATAACAAGGTGGAAAATGGCGAAGAAGAAAAGAGAGAGTTTAGGAGCTATGTAGTTCGAAATAAGATATCTCTTCTTCTTGCTAAAGTTTGATTTTAGTGATGGATTTTATGTGTATATGTTGAGTTTCTTTGTTCTCAGAAGGAAGCAATTACGGATGGCGGGGATAGGGTATCATATTCATATTATGCGAATGCTCGAAGAGGGGCAGCAACAAAATACTAGTACAGTACATTTTCTAATAGCATACACGAACAAGGATGTAAGAATACCCACGCATTTTACTAACCCGCTGTAGGTACATTCGGTTGACTGCTTTCTGGAGGGTGCTTCCTAAGATAACGGATCAAAGTCAGGCTGTACACAGCTATGCAAGTCTAAACCACCAATGTCATCGACTACATATGCAGGTGTACTTGTTATCCTACTATATAGCAGGATCCGCGGTGCCCCCAACTATTCCGAGATCGCGGATACTTCCCTTCCTTCGCGACTTGCTGTTGTTCTTAACGCAATAGTCAGTACAGATAATAAGAAAATAAAAGCCAGTTTTAATTACTACATAAATACGGTGTTTGCTTTTTTACATGATAAAGGTTTTTAAATTCTGTGCGTGTGTATGGAGAAGGTATAGCATGGAAGTTGTTAGAAGAGAGGAAGAGGAAACACAATATAAAGAAACAGTCGCGGAAGTTGCGGTGAGTGTGAGGAGCTACAAGCACCACGGGTATTCCCTATTACAAGTAGGTCACCTTGGTACCCATTTGAACCGTCTGCCATAATTTTGCCAATGCAATCTTTAATGGTTCAGACCACCGCCCTCGAAAACCACGTAACAGCCCAATCAAAGCGAGTATCATGAGCAGGGTAGCCACCGAAGTGGCAGAACCAGCAGCAAACAATTGTCGGACCCATTCCTTCAATGCAGCAGGACTCCGTTGTTCCAGGCTAAATGCACGCCGTGAATTTGTAGTTGCAGAGTTTCTCGATAATTGACGCTCGTTATTAGAGACTGCAGAACCGTTCGTAGCTGATGCGAGGGGGCCAGAAGTCGATAAGGATGATGATGATGATGACGAGGAGGAGAGAGTATCGAGCTGTTCTTGTTTGTGCTCAGAATGGCTGTGGCCGATACCGTTTGCTTGGATTTCATGCGCTTTCGCTGCTTCCATTTCCTTTTCTGCTCGTTCCCGTTCTTCCTGCAACCGCGCCCTCTCTCGCTCTTCCGCCAACTTGGCCAAGCGCTCGGCATTCTTTTGCTGCTCAACCTTCTTTTGCCGTTCCCTTGATGCCTTCTGTTCGTTCTCACGGACATATCCTTGTAATGCCTTTTATATATGAAAATTACAACAGACCACCCAAGTTAATGATGTTGTCCTTGGATGCATCACACGCACAGACACACCGGCACTACACGCCAAAACCACCAGCTAATAATAAACCATTCTTTCTTTTACCTCCTTCTTTTCCTCTGATAACAGCGGGTTGTACTGTACGAATGATAGAGCGGTTTCATAGTCGTTCATGGCCGGTAAAATTCGTGTCACATAGAGCTCAATGGCCTCCATACAACCGTTATAGTAAACATCATCGGATGGTTCCGAGCCTTCTTGTGCAGCAATCGACGAAATATAATCCATAGTAGCATCCGACATTGTTGCATACCATTGCTCGACGATTTGTCGTCCAACGTTAACTGCTTGCAGTTTCAATGTCATGACCAAGCTGAAAGATGGTAAATATAGTAAGCATCCCAGTTTCTCTCTGCTCCTATGCTTTCTTTCCGGTTCCCTTCCAGCTGTGTCTTTTGTATATCTACCATGAAGATATAAGCCGTGGGTCGACATTGCCCGGGCCACCGTAACCTTCGGTTAACAGCTGCCACATCTCGTGCACAAACTGATCGTGACTCTTGGCTGCAGCCGGCGACAGACCAAACAGCTTTGTAACATGAGGCGTGAGCTTATTGTCTTGGAGTGTCAACAATGTTGTCGCAATGTTGAGGTAAAGTGTCCAAATGGAATATCGTAATGCTTCGAGCTCATTGATATTGACGTCCTCTTGTTCGGTTCCATTCGATTGTTTGGGAAGCCGTATAATAGCTTTCACACAAGCCGTTGCTGCAGTTGTATATTTGGTCAACAAGTAAAAGCGAAGTGCTTTTTGGTATTGCAATTGAACCGATGCTAAATGAGCCATGGGATGTTTTTAGCGAACAGAAAAAGAGAAATAGGGGAGGGGGTGTTGTTGCAACGGCGAGTGGGTGCAGAAAAAAGTAAAATAATACAAGTGGTGGTGGGAAGGGGGTGAACTATAACTCAAGAGATTCTCGCTGACAAAATTATATTTCTCACATGCTACCAAAAGCACCACCGCTTAGGTAAAATTGATTTTCCGCGAAGCTTTCTGTTTACTATATTTTTTACCCCACATACAAATTGGGTATTTTCCGTAGAGTTTCAATAGCTCGGGCAGATGTGGCACCGATCTGTGTGCATGCAAGAGTAGCACATACCAAAGAATTGTACTGCCATACTGGTGCACGCAATGCCTTTTCTTCCAGAGCAAAGCTGCCTTTAAGTTTCTTGCTTTGTCAGTCTAATACAGTAATAGACTGCTTGATATAGTAACTATGTCTCACAACATGACAAACAAGGGAAGAGGGCGTCTTCTAGCGCACAGAGATATACAAATATTATTGTTTTTTCTTTAAACAATAACCAAGCTCTTAGCAACAATAACAGTATATACTTTATTGGGCGTGATGGTATCACAAACGTGTATAATAAGTATTTCAGGTAGTGTTCCAAGAATGTTTACGAACATCATTACGATGTAACAAGAAGATTGACACAAGGAAATTGTTATTACGTAGTAACGCCTACTTTGTCAACATTCTTGTTTCAGTTAGAAACGCTACCTTTGCGGATATAAGGGAAAGAGCACTTGGACATGTAATATGAATCAAGATGTTCAAAAACATACAAGACTACTCTAATATTATAGTAGTCTTTAAAGCTGGCATTCATTAGACACTGGATTCGATGCTAGTATTATATGAGGTGATATAGCACCAAAGTCATTGCTCGTCGAAGAACGCCGCATGCGTCAATGTGCGTGGTAGCTTTTCAATTGTCCCCTAAAAGTTGTCATAGAGAGTCGTGGAAGTCGTAGCATTGGCATAGCAACAAATAAATGCTTTGCTTGTGGATCATCCGTTTGGAGACCCTCTTCCCATCTGCGAAAGCAAACAACAGGTGCGAATACGAGACTTGTATAGGAAATAGATAATGTTGTTTCAAGTATCTTGTAGTACAGAGTTTTCTTTTAATTGAAATAGAAATAGGGTGCATTATCATCAATGTATAAAATCATACTGTGCCAACTGTGGATGAAGACGCAAAAGCTGGAATAAGGAAACGGTTCTCTCGGATTGGCTGAAATTATGATGGATGATGGTTGCACGTGACCGGAGCGGGGTCGGTAGGCCGCCGGAGCGCAGGCACTCGTCGAATCGCCATTGTCGCTATCGGAACATCCTCTTTCCTCCCACATAAGGTACAAATCATATATATGGCGAGATGGAAAGGAGAGAGGAGCCAAAGAACGGAACGGACAACTGCGTAGAAAGATGGATGCTATGCTTGATGGATGGAAAAGAACAACAATCGATGAATGACGACGAATGACCTTACGACCACGAATTAATTCACCATATCCATACATCCATCCATCCATCCACTCGACGAATTTCAACGTACACATATCCATCCATCCGCTCATCATATACTAATCATATACAACAGCTTTATATCGACACATCAACGCATATTCAGCTCAACACTCGACGTATATCACCTTTTAATACGTATTTTCCGGCCAGAATCGAACATTAGTCGTCCTATCTTTCTACGCATTGTCTTACGTTTCATTCGGAGAGGGAGCGGGAGAGAGAAAAAATGAAGTGGAATGAAAACTGATGGGAGAGAGAATTGAAAGTGTGGCAACAGAATTTTCAATATGGAACATGGGAAATACAACGGTTACGCTTAAAGGTTGAACGAAATACCAACATGAAGCCCATTTTTCGTCCATTGTTTATTTAGCACAACCATGCCTCACGCACCTAAATCCAGCATCAAGAAGGCCGATAAGACAGTCGACGTCAAGGGTGCCAAGAACGGTGGCAAGCGTGTTGTCCCCGCCGAAAAGGCCCCTCGCTTTTACCCTGCCGAGGACGTCCCCCAGCCCAAGGTGTCGCGCAAGTCGCCCAAGGCCGCTTCCCTTCGCGCCTCCATCACACCCGGCACTGTTGTCATCTTGTTGGCTGGCCGTTTCCGCGGCAAGCGTGTGGTCGTTTTGAAGCAGCTTGAGAGCGGTCTCTTGCTCGTCACTGGCCCTTACAAGGTCAACGGTGTTCCTCTCCGCCGTGTCAACCAGGCCTATGTCATTGCCACCTCCACCAAGATTGATCTCTCCAACGTTTCGGTAGGTGTCCCTTTTCAACTTTCTTTTTTGCTATGGAAACGTCGCTATGGAAACGTTTAAAATTGTTGCAATGATTCATTCGACCTGAAGGAATCCGGAATCATATTGTTATACGAGGGCAAAGCTGATTGCGGAGGAGTGAATGGAAAGAAAAGGGGACTGACCTTTGTTTTCGTCTGGAAATTGTAATAGGTCGATGCCAAGTTCAACGATGCCTACTTTGGCAAGTCTGGCAAGAAGGCTGACAAGGAGTTCCTTGAGGGTGCCGAGGTAAGATAAGATTCGACTTTTTGGAAAGAAAGCGTGCCGAGTGTGTGCTGTTTTTGTTTTAAGAATTGAAAGAAATCTAACGCGCATTTGATCAATAGCAAAAGAAGGCTGCCCTTCCCGAGTCCAAGGTCGCTGACCAGAAGGCTGTTGACAAGGCCATCGTTGATGCCGTCTCCAAGACTCCCTTCCTTGCTCAGTACTTGGGCTCCTCTTTCGGTTTGTCCAAGGGCCAGTTCCCCCACGCCATGAAGTTCTAAGTTATTTCTTAATGCATGCATGGAGCTGATTGGAAAATAAAAAGCCTTTTTGACTTTTTGACTCAAGCTGTGATATCCCCCTCGTTTACTGTATACTACACTTTTTGATGTTGGGGTATTGAAGGTGTGGAAAGGAAACGCTTCGGACTGGGTTACTCATAATGTGATGTGAGTGGGTAATTTCGTCACAGATACTCATATGAGGAGTCATGTGTTGACCAAGACGTCTATACATTTCATTAATGTGAAGAAATTCCGGTCATTGCTGCGCTGTTTCATTATTTTCGAACTTACGAGCTTAACCTTCAGGACGTCTAAATAAAACAACGCATACTATCTATCATTTTGTAATGATCACGTTTCTCCAGTGGTTCATCTGCATTTAATCATAATAGCCTCAACTATTGTATCGTTGTACTATTGTTGAAGGAAGATGTAAATCTGTATACCGACTATTAACGTCAGCTTTACGCGGCGCGCTGCACCGGGAAGATTAGTGGCCAAGTGGTACCGACGGCGGTGACTTGCGCCAACAGTGTCTGGCGTGCATTCAGGCAAGCTTGGCGTCCCTCATTGACGTGAAAGACAAGGTCGTTATATAAGTTATGCAATTGTTGATACTAGGAACGAACAGCATCATTATCGTAGAAAGCGGGAGCTTCCGACATGGGAACGAGACTTGAGGTGTGCTCGGCTCGCCATGGAGTAGCAGCAGGTGATTGAGGGTCCAAAGTAGCGGATGCAGACGCAGTACGGGCTGACGCACGGAACATGGTAGGACTAGATGCGTGAGACGTGGTAACTGGTTGAGTAACTGAAGACGTGCGAGCAGAGGAAAACGTGGTTGTGGACGGTGCATTCGAAACAGCAGAAGCGAGTGCTGGAGCAGCAGAAGGTCCTGATGGATTGAGGGTTTGGCCGTTGCGTTGGGGCCATAGCCTCTCCTCCAATGTGAGGAGTAGGCGCTGATTGAATATGAACAACTTTGGAAATACGAGAGAAATGGATAATTCTGTTTGATGCTTCTTTGTTGGGTATTTATGTGTACTACTAATTGCTATGATGGCACATGATTCATGCATACTGATGGCTACGCCTTTGCTGATCGTTTGGATGGCGGCGTTATCATTGATCATCTCACAGCAGTTGCGTTGAATGTGACCCGGTTGTCTGCAGTAATAGCATTCAACAGGTTCGAGCTTGGGACAGTCCTTTCCCGATGCCCCTCTTCTGAGCAGTGGCGGCAGATTGGCGGGCAGTTCTTCTATGAAGCGTGGAAGGTCTGACCCCAATTGTCGAATTCGATGAAGCGGCGTAGCGGCATGTAGTACGGTTGGCCGTCCTCGCGCATTGCGTCTGCGGGGGAAGTGATGTCGAGAATAACGGTTGCTTCGCCTTTAAAAATCCCGGTTTCGAGTTCGCGGTAGAGACGAATTTGGCATCCCTTGCCCTAGTTCTCCATGGTGTTTTGGAGTACTGCTGACAAGGCCTCTGGAGAGATAAACGGCAATGCTTAAAATTGACCTTTACCAGGTCTGCGTCGACGGAGATAGCCTTTGTTGCCCGATATGGGTGGGCGTTGTCCTTGTAAATTACACAGTTCTTAATTGCTTTTAGAGTAGCCTCGTGTGCTTCGACAAGAAGAGGTGCCTTAGGACTGAGCGAGCGAGAAATAACAGAGGCGCCATGTACTTTGCCGAGTGTTGCAATCAACGGTACGCTTCGGCTTTGGAAGGTAGGTCAGTGCCGAAATCAAAGATGACAGCATCAACATTGAGAGCCCGGGCTAAAATCGATTCGGCTTGGTGAGAGCGCCGTGTTTGTTCGAAGCCATTTGCAGTGAAAATGGTGTCGCTTTTACTGCGAACAACGTTAGCCCAGGATCTACGTCCAGTAGATCTGGGTGGACGATGAGTATCCATCATCGTCAGAATGAAGGCAGCAGCGTGTTATCGAGAATTGTGTGGTGGTGGTGGTGATGGATGGGCTCTGTAACTATTTAAAAGTGATGAATAGCGGAGAACCCCTTTTATTACAATTTTGGGAAGTTTATGCAACTCCAAACACCTTAAACAGCCTTGCACGCAATCTCGCCGAGGTTTAGTATCAATTGATTTTTATGATATTCGATTAAAAGGAAAATTGAAGTTTTGATTTGGGTTCTATGTTAGGAGCGATTTTTCACGGCAGCGCTTGAACGTGCAACAGAAACACGCAGCAACAGCTGGAAAAGGAGGCATAATGAAGATAGCGACGAAGACGGTATACTATTGTTCGGAAGGCAACCAAAGAACATGGCGAGTGATAGTATGGATTTTGAAACGTTTTGCAAACACCAGGGACAGATGTAGGGTTTGGGGAGGAGGAAGAGGTTGGGCAATCTATGACAAGTATATATTATTATCATATCACATTCTCATGATTGTCGTCAATACATGCATGTATAAATCTCGGATTCACTTCACTTCACATATAACTACTGGTCCATATATTACTTATATATTTCCCCTCTGCACTATCAAAACGATCTTATATGTTGGAAAATGTGAATGTAATTAAAATTACAGATGATACAACTTTATGAAAATTGATGTGGATATGTGGGGTAGAAATGTCAAAGATACACTCTGTATGGAAAAGAAGGATAACAAAAGAATAGAGAAGTGACAGGTATATAAAATAATGAATTGAAAAAAGAGGATCCAAGTTCACTCAGCTGGGGTTGCTGCATACGTTCGGGATGTTTTAGGAGTATAGAAGATCTCAGGATCCGCTGTATCGAATTCAGATTCTGGCACTTCGTGATCATACTTTTCGTGTTCTTCTTGGCGTTCCTTCCGTGCTAACGCTGGAAGCACATGGGCTTGCAAGTTACATAAGTGACGCTATTCAACCACACATTATCATTTTTACTCTGTTAGCAATATGCATTTCGTAAATATAAGTCTAATTGATTGGTCGACTATACCTTGAAAGTGTATATAAGCTTCAGTGTATCATAGAAGTCGGCGAAATCACACAGTGACCGTGGTATATACATCTTGCCCACTTCCTGAACGACATATATCTTGCCATGCTTACGTATAGATAGCATATTGCCAATAAACCCTATGAACCCTGTAAGTCCCAATTGAAAATGTATAAAATTCAGAGTATTGTGAACCTACCAATCCAATCCATGTAGAGCACGTGTGGGGAACAGTCCTTGTCAAATGGCAGAGAGTTCAAGTTACGGCAAAGACAGGCATTGCTTCTCATGTTTTTGGTTTGTTGTTCATAGGCTAAAGAAGTCGTAACACCGGGTGCCTTCCATTCCCAGCATGCGATTTCAGTGTCTTCAATGGTAACAATCGATCTTTCGTCCTATAACGTTATGGGTAGCGGCGAAACTGCCACCAGGACCATACAACCGTTCATTGTTTGATTTTACTTTTTTTGTTTCGGCCGATGCGAGCCCCCCACTATTTATAATTCAGAGGTTAGCAAAAAGTATACTACATTTACACATACACACAAATAAATATATATAGATATATGCCCATCTATCATACTTACAGTGAGAATTTGTAGGAGTATCCCTGAAAGCTGTACATAGAATATTGTAGCAAATAATCATCGTATCCATCTCACTATAAGTGTAACGGTGCATACCGTTACGACGATATCCGACCTGCATGGTTGACGATCGACAACGCATGGTTCAGACGATAGGATGACTTGCGGTCAACCGCATGGTTGAATATGGAGTAATAGGCGTGGATATTCTAGATAGAAGTATGATGTAGATCAATACTTAGACGATAGCTAGCCCCCTATTACTCAACGTATATATAAAGACGGGATCCTGAGTTATATGGATCCCTATCGTTTTATCCTTTGATATATCCGAGTCTCACCTTATATATTGATTCACACTGTCTACCCATTCACGTTCCCGATTGTAAGTATCTGGGCCGACACTGTTACAATAAGTGTCAGACTTTTGACCACCAGAACTCAGGTATCGTATCCTATGTAGAGCTTATCAGTAACAACAAATGGTTGAGGATGTATAATGTCAACACGGTAAAGAAGTGCTTACAAATAATCCAAAATATCAATGCCTTGTAAAATTTCATTGTCGATATCCGTTTGCAATAGCATGTTCATATGGTGTGATAGCTGTTTTAATGCTTGGAGGGCATTCTGTTTACGGAAAGGTAGGTTTTGCCGGTGCTTATGACAATTATTAGCGTTGAGACGTTTGATCACAAGCAGACGACTTGATGTTGACGGGGTATTGTACGTACTAGAGTAGCCTTTGTTGCTACGATGTACTGAGATTAAGCCCTTGTCAATGAATTTGCTCCTCTTCTGAGGGCACATTCCCTTTACACTACATATTTCGCTTTTGTTAGAACCTCACAAAGTAGGCATTTATAAAATGCAAACAATTTGATTCTTTCTCCTCGTTCTACTAACCTGAATGACTTCGTTCACAACATTTTTAAAATCGTCGCTCAGTTCTTCGATTTCTATTTTCTCCTTCGTAAGTTTGTTCCAGTCTTCCGGTTCATATATTTTCTTGTAGTACTGTGCGTTTGATTTATGTGCTTGGTCAACGATTAAAGAAAGCGTCAATCTAATTAAAAAAACCCGTTAGTAAATCAAACGGGCATTCTCGTAAAGCGGATGTAAGTATACAAACATACGTACCGCGCCATATTTTTCATAAAGTGTCGTTCGATGGCCAATTTTGTAAAATTGACAGTGACACCATGTTTAATCTATCTTCGAAACTTTCTGTATTGTTCATGATCGCATGGACTGTCGATTCTGGAATGTTATATTCCTTGTTGTGCTATACAAAGTTCATAAAGCTGGTGAGACCTACGTGCAACTTTAAAGAACAAAAGCTGAGCTTACAACAGCGTATCCCAATTTGAACAATTCGTGGCGTGTACTTGATAACGACGATGTATTTGACAGTTGCTTATAAAATTCTTCATCATCTGCTTCTTCCTCGCCAGATTTACTATAAAATAGAAAAAAATTGTCAAGCCATGCTGCCTATACACTACTGCTTCGTAAACAATAGGTTACTTCGAACCTTGTACGTTGCTCTGTTCTCTGCCTTTGTAAAACTGTTGTGGCACGATTGATAGCTTCTGTGTCGAACGATTCCTAAAGTCAAGGTAGATCAGTAACCCAAGGTAAATTAATAGCTTTTATAATATAGGGGTGTATGATATTATACCGCTGCGAGAGCACGTTTAACAGGGACCAGAAAATTCGAAATGGAATATTCGCGCCAAAATCGAGATCGATTTGATTTTCTTCGATAGTTATTGAGCAACGATAATTGTTAAGAAAGTAATCGTCCAGTATGGATTTAATGACGGATCCATGGATCGGATCGGATCCGCTTTAAAATCACTCGGGGTCGGATCGGATCCAAAAACTCTCGATCCGGATCCGTCTTTTTGACACGGATCGGATCGAGTGGACGGATCGCCGAGTGAGAATGACGAACCCTACTTGGTGGACAAAGTGTTAGTATTTTCGCTATTCTTCTATCCAATTTTGTTGGGTTACCCTCCCTGAAAAGTCGTCAACGAAAAGTTGCTTACATTTGAGTTGCTTTTGCATTTATTTAATGCGGATCGCTCGCCTGCTGTTGTCATCAGGGACACGCGATATCTCAATGGCATCTGATTTAAAGAATTTGTGTGCTTTACGTCTATTCAAACCAAGTATAGACCTAGTTGCTGTCTTATCGAAATGTCGCCATAGACCAAAAACTCCAGGCAACGCGTATCCAAAATTCTAAAAGTGTGAAGTAGCATTTTGCCCTACATTGTCAGAGCAAACGACAAACAAACGAATAAGCATCACCAGGTACATTGAGATCGTCCTTTATTCCGTCAATGCCTTGTTGTTCGGTTAATACTTGCTTTCCTTTATTTTTTCGTCGCGTTTGCATTTGCGTTTTTGGCTTTTTTTGTTTGTTGTAAAACAGCACGCCTGATAAAGTATGGTAATGAGAAAAAAAAAGGGGCGCACCTCCCTGTATCCTTTGGCAGTTTTTGATGGATGTGTACGGAAACGATCTTGCGCATCACTATCAGCGACAGTATTGCAAGAACCCATTGTTCACCGACGACATCGTAGGCTCAGTAGTGTCTCAAAAATGTGAGCGGATTTTGAAAGTAGCCCAACAGGAAACAAAATCGCCTGAGACCCTTTACTAAACTTCCTAACTACTGTACTGTAGTACTTGTAACACATAGATCCAATTCAAGTTATAAAACGGTCTAAACAGGCGCATCTTTCTTTTTCTTTCTTTAAGCTAGAACAGTTGATCAGTTCGTCAAAGATTGTGATCTACATCAGGATATTTGTTTTTTTGGAGAAAATACGTGCTCAGGAGGTGACTTTACAAACTCTAGAGATATCTGCACTCCAGCCAATCAGATCTTACATCTTTGAATGCTTTAAACAAACGCGGAATACACATTTATCCAACTATGTTTATGTTTTTTACTGATGATAATGAATTTGTGTAAAGAAAATGACGAAGGGATTAGAAAGGGTTATATGTAGTGTTGTTGTCTTTTTTTTGAGCCGGCAAGGCTGTGGTTCTACTTGTTTTATATTGTTAACAAATATATAATTTAATGGTGTATCGGCGCTGTTATGACTCGCCTATGTTTTCCGTATAGTACACTTAATATGTTTGCCGATTTATCACGTAAACATACAGTAATAAAACGAAGTGACCACGACTGGGGAAGCAAGAAGTAAATACTGTTGATCCAGCTTTGTGGCTTCTGCACACGTTAAGTACAAAACAGTACATAGTATGGCATTGCTAAAACCGAGAAGCTTCATTTGACCCAACCATATACTCAAAAATGCGCCAACTACCTCTCCTATAACGTCCCCAAAAGACAATTATACCGTCTAACATGCTTCAAAAATACTTTTTTTCTACTCGTTTGCTTTCGTTATTGAAGAAAAAAATAATTATGGGCAGCCAAAAGTTGCCAGCTTTTCCCGATTTAGCTGGGCCGCCTGAAATTTGAAACAACTCACTTACATGAAACAAGAATAAGTAAACAACTCCTATACGTATATATACTCGCCTATCGCCTACGTCCTACACGTCTTTTCTTTTTACCTTCAATTAAAAGATGCCGCCATTAAGACGAAAGCAGAAGGCCACCCGAAGAAGGACGCGTGCGCCTGACGGGAGAATCACTGCCCAGTTTCATAGTATACGCCGTTTTTTCTATTGCTATTCCTATACATTTTCATGTTTAAAAATATATACGTATCATTGTTCTTTGAAGTCCAAACATTTTATAAGGATTAGTGCTTAAGAATCGAATTGAAACAAAGTAAAGTTTTGACGGTTATAAGGCGGACGCACCACAATAATCTGGGAAAGAATGTGCTTCAGCGTGATGCTATAATGAATTCGAGGAATATTGGTAACGGAATCGTCGTGTTGTTTTGGTTTGGCCAGTTTCATTTCTCGGTGTATGTAGTTTTTTCTATATGCATGAAAACAAGCCGCAGAATGCGTCTACAGCATCATTGTGAAGTGAGGGTAAGTAAATGACTACTTAAAAGTGCTAAACTGTCTCTGTAACATCTTCTTTTTTGACCCTACTCGTTTGTTACATTTCTTTTTAATCAGTCTGCCCTTTCATTATATCAGTTGGGCCCCTCACTGTACATTCATATACTGTACTCTCGTCAAAGCAAAAAAAAAGCACCGCGTACTTTGATAAATTCTGTCTTTTGTATAATGAATGAAAAAAGCGCTGAAATAAGCAAGAGCTTGTCTCTGAAAAAAAAAATACAAAAGCAATTGTTAGCAAATAATGGTTAATGATACTTTCCGATGTCGTCACTTCCTGTATAAAGAGATGAAGGCAAAATGTTTGTAGTGACAAGGGTGTTTCTTTTAGTCAAGTAAAAGAAGTAACAACTCCTCCAATACTTAGAAATGAGGCTTGTCACTTTTTATTAGAAAAAGACAAAAGACTATCTATTCAGACATATCGATAAGTAAGGACGGTTATATAAGACGACGAGTATGGAAAGAGCTAGTATGATAGTAATAAAAGGAGGATAGAGAGAATGAAGAGGTGTGTATGAGGGAACAAAAAAGAGCTAAGGAATGACTGGGAGGGGGAGAGAAATCAGGAAAATCTTGCTTGTTGCTTCCTTGTAGAAATGTCTGTTTGTTTGTTTGTTGTTTCAAAGCAAAAAGGAATAAAAGAAAAACGTATTTACATTGAGAGAAAGAAACAGAATAAACTTTTCGTTTGTTTGTATGTCTGGAGGGATAGGTGACTTATAAGGGCCATTCATCCTGGACCATCATGCGCTGCTGCTGCTGAACAGCTTTAGAAACCTCGTCGATGCTCTGACCCGCTTGTCGGATCATACGCTCGATCTCCAAAATCTGGCGATTTAAGCCAGAGACCATTGGATGAGATTCATTTTGTTGATCTTCAGGTCTTAGACTCTCTTGCTGTTCCTGTTGCTGGCTAAGCCAATTCCAGTTCGCTGCTGCTGTTCTTGCCATCAACGAAGGCGGTTCGTCGTATGGATGTTGAAAGTTACTGTTATGGTTGGTTAGTTTACTGCTCACATGATTCATTTTCGTCGCAATATAGACGTTGATCAGGACGAGTAGCACCATGCATGCTACCATCAATTGCTGAGTCGATGGCGCAGGGTTCTGTAGAACCCATTCCGTACCAGCAGACACACCAGCATAGAACGATTTCACGACGGCATCATACGTCTTTTTGTTTGCTTGACCTTGTTGCTTTGTTTGATGAAGATGATGATGCTGATGCTGCTGCTGATGCTTTTCATGAGGATGATGGGATGATGGATGTCGTCGCCGGCGACGATGATGTTTTGGAAGAGGCGGCTGATGTTGTTGGTGCTGGGATTGCATGTATTTTCGAATGGCAGCATCGATGCCTTTGTAATAGTTGATTTGGCCATCAATCGATGCTTTTTCAATAGTAGCTAGATATGAAGAGAGGATGTCAGGCACAGAAGATTGTCGTCTTTAACACAGGGAATTGAAATGATCCTTACATTTCAACCAGGAGGATTTTTTAAATTCTACAATCATCGTGACAAGCACGCGTACTTTTCCTTGACCAGCACGCATGATGCATATGCGTGTTTTGACGCAGAATGAGCTGCCGGAAGGTACATCCGGCGTTTGTGTCGTTATCAATTGGGTAACGTAATTCTCCACGTCCATGTGATGGACTTGCTCTTTGAGAATACATTTGGTCGATCGAGGACCTAAATTATCATTCATGAAAGATTGGTTAGATATATCATCCTATCTCTTCTCTATCCCATCCAACTCAATGTGCTCTTGTGAAAATTGTATAACCTCCTGTTTTTCTTACCAATTGCATTGGAAAGCGGTTTGATGTACGAAATGGCACGCTCCGAGTGGACTGATTCCCCCTTTTGCCATGGTCCGATATCAACATCTATGTTTTATACATGATTAACAACTTTTTCCTCTTATAAGCATATTGCATCAATTACCCGTATTCTTTTCAATCTCGGTCAAGAACTTTTGCAAAAAGGCGCGGTTGGCTAGCAAGCTGTACACATTCTCAATGCTACCCTGATACAATTGATCCATCACGGTATGTGTATAATGACCGCCATTGCTTTGACAGCCGCACGCGGTTGATTTTTCGTCACCCACATCATTATTACTCGATTGTTCTTGTCGCTGCTGAGATTGTTGCTTGGCATCCATGTTTTTCTTGGCCGACAATTGAGATTCCGAAGCCGTTCGACGCCTGTCCAACTGAGGATGCTTGGTGGCGCTTGGCAGTGTTGCCAATGAATTCTGTCGCTCATAGACACTGTTGTCACAGTCTGTATATCATTAGGGCAGGTTGGGTTAGTAATAGCAAACAGTGGTGTGGCAGAGAAGCCAAGTATCCAGACTGCGTTCTAGATTTAAAACTACTACTGGTAGGTAGCTACTTACCAGAGGGAGGTGGCGGACAAAAAGCGGGTGGCGGAAGCAATGTATCGCGATCAGCCGAACTCTCCGTATCATACGACAACGAGGACATGGAATCGTCGGTCAACAGACCATCATCATAGCCGCCTACTCTTGTAACTTCACTGCTAGGCGACGCACGACGTTGTGATTCCCGCCACAGTTGGGTGATTTGATCATATGCTTGATCACGGGACAAGAACGATGCAAAAAAGTACTACATAGAGTCAAGTCCGTCGTCGTGTCAACAACAATCAATTATACGCAGAAAAAGATAATTGGGCATATTATCATAAGTAATTAGTGTACATTTAGTTCATCACTACCTTGGCCTGAGTCGTTGATATCAAAATGGCATTTGGAATAAAGATGGCGGTTGTCCGTTTCTCGATATCGACAATATCCGTAAAGTCAATCACGAGCTACAATTTCGATAGAAGAAGAAGAAAAACGGGTGAGTGTGCTTGGCTTTGATGCAATCCAAACAAGGGATCGGGGAACATGCGACGCTACAGAATCTATCAGCAGCAAAGGAGAAAGAGAAGTTGTTGCTCGGGGAGGGGGGTGACTTACATTGGTCACCCAGCCAAAGATGTTTGCGTTGAAACAGATATGGGATCCGGAGATGTACATACGTCCTTGAGTCAGAATTTCTTTCTGTAATGCACAGCCATAGTCTATATACGTGCCAAGAGGTGGAGCAGAGTGTGTGAGTAACCTTGGCAACATGCAATATTGCACAACCTGAGCGGAGCAATGTCCGACAGAGTGAATGCCATAGTAACCGAATACTGAAGACTGTTACCATCTATAAGATGATCTGTTTCGGGAACGCTTCGGAAAAGTGTATGGAACTCGATGTTTCGCTTGGTACTGGCCATCTTTGTTGTTGTTGCTAGTACGTCGTCAGAACGTTTGGACTTGAGCGGAGTTTGGGGCGAATCAATGCTTGTAGCAGTGGACATGCTGGATCGGCGCGACTGAGACAAAGTGGCAGGTGAAGGAAGTGGGAGGTGGTGTTTGCTGGATGCATCATTGTTGTTGATTTCGTGGTTGGCGTTGTTGCTGTTGCGTGATAGAATGGGCGTAGAGTTGGACGCAGCTGTTGGACTGGGTCCCATAGTAACCATGTTGCTGTTGTTGTAGTTGTCTGGTGATTGCGCCGCAATCATGAAAGGTGAAGGAATGGAGAGAAGAGACAGAAGGAGAGAAAGTGTGGGTGGAAAGTGAGAAAGGGAAGGAGGGAGAGAGAGAGAGAGAAAGTGGGAGAAAGAAGAGAAAGAAAAGGGATAAAAGGAAGTGCTGTATTATAATAAGATTATTATTATTATTAGTGATTATTGATTGATTTATGATGAGGAAGACGAGGATACAGTATGCAGCAAGCAACACTCAGCAGCAAACAACAAAGTGGAAGAAGAAGAAGAAGGGAAACGAGGGGGGGGGCTGCTTGGGCTTTGGTGAAAGGGAACAGAAGGAAGGGACCGAGCAACTGAATGAGTGATGATGACGATGACGATAGTGCTTGTTGTTGTTATTATTGTTACTAGTTCATTTGCCTGGTGACCTCGAGGTTTCATAGATCAAAATGCCATGTCCTTTTTATACTCCATCAACAATACTCTCTCTGCACGATCAAATAAGGGTTGCGCGAGAATCACCCTCTTTTTATTTTTTCCGTGACCCCTTGACTTGGAGCATATCCCGAAATAGGAAGCCAATTGAAAAGGGGCTGTAATTACTACCCTACTACTACTACCACTACTACTACTACTACTACCTATTAGGACCTAGTGGATCGACACAGCCCATTTTCTCTCTTTTTCATTGTTGCTACCACCCTCTCGAGATCAGCTTAGCTGCTGTCAGATGTCATTTAAATAACTCCTTTGCTACCACCCACCATTCATTTGAAGAGACAGCAGGAGAATTTCAAGATAATCGATGAAACAGTTTTTGCTCGTCGAATTGTTTTAGTAGCTGGCACGTTGGCGAAACATTTTTATGGCAATGCCAAAAACTATGAGAGAGAGAGATAAAATTAATAAACTCGGCCCTGGTGCATCTCCTCCTCCTTAAGTTTCGCTTATGACCAACTAGTAGTAGCACCCTCTTGACACACTTCCTTTCATGTATATGAATACTTCTTGATAAAGATGATCCGTACTTTGCGCTTGTCATGGTCTCCTTTCTTTCTTTCTTAGCAAACGTGGGTTGGTTGCTCCGGGTGGATCAGTGCTCCCACATTATCGTAGTAGTAGTAGTAGTAATAGTACTTGGCAACTGTTATAATACCAAGTGGCACACGAAAAGAGAACTGATTTGCTGTCCACCCACCTCCCCCCAAACACACCTCCCCGCGAATACACCACGCGGCAATTCAATCACACATTAATCCTTTTCTATCTGTTCAGTTCGCACAAACCACACACACCCAACAAACACATGGCAGCAAATTATTGGGAATCTACACAAAGGTAAATTCATCAGAACCTTCATCCATTCTCAGAAAGCATTGCTAAATTTTTCAAAAAAAACATTTATACGTGTTAGTCTAAAGTGGCAGTTAGATCGATGGTCTTTAGCACGTAGTAGAGAGGAGGATCTACGGCACGTCTCGGAATCCGACTATGTCAAGCTAAAGATTTGGTTCTGTAACTGTAAGTTTTTTTTTTTCAGTCTAGAAAGGGTGAATGAGCAACATTGACAATTCAAATAACAAAACTTGTTTTTTGTGCAAAAAGTGATTCAAAAGCTGGCAAAGCGTTTGCAGCTGCGACAACAAGTAGTGGCGACCGCCTTTGTCTATTTCAAGCGTTTCTATTCAAAGTAAGGTGTCACGTTTCATGGCTGTGTATATGCGCGTATGTGTGTGCTGTGGATCTCGAGAAATGCTCTCCTTAACATGGGAAAAATCTCGTGCGTGTGTGTAGTAATAGTCTCAGGAAAACGGATCCAATCCTGGTACTCGTCACCTGCGTATACCTTGCTACCAAAATCGAAGAATGTCCTGTTCACATCAAAGTCGTAACCCAAGAAGCCAAACACATCTTTCAAGGTATAGTTCCCCACTTTGCCCACTCCATACAAGATTATCCACTGTCATGCTAACCTTAAAACAAAACGAACATGAATACGTTAGTGGATTATGGAGGATTTCCCTATGACAGCTCCAAAGTCGCCGAATTCGAGTTCTACTTGTTAGAGGAACTCAATTTTTACTTGATCATTTGGCACCCATATCGACCGTTATTACAAATCTGCGAAGAATTAGGGATGCGGGAATCCGGAGTGCAATACGCGTGGTTTATCGTCAATGACTCGTATAGAACGGATGTATGTCTGCTTTATCCGCCTCATATGATTGCATTGGCGGCCATTTACATGACCGTGGTGCTCAATCATGCCGATTTTGCACCGGGATCTCTAGGCGACCGGACAGATATGCGTCAATGGTTTGCTGATCTGAACGTGGATATGGAAAGCATTGTCGAGATTGCTCAGGATATTCTGTCAATCTACGAGGTTTGGAAAGACTGGAAAGAGGATCGGATGTTGCATTTATGGAGGGAGCTTCGTGCACGCCCTTCATAAAAACAGGGACGCTGGGAAAAGAACATCTTTTGTTATTGTACCCCGTCTCGTTTTTCTGTTTCTTTTTTCTCTCTCTTTCTGCTGGCCAGAAGCTTCTTTTTCCTGTATAAAGGGTCCCATACAACCTACCACTAATGAATGCGAAAAAGACAGACACGCATAATATACACTCATCATCTCATTGGCCCACCCTTTTGTATTTATTCCCCCGTTTTACCCTTCCCTCCCCGTCATATGTGGGTATAAACTATGTAGACGAGTTATCTTCTGTTGGTAAAATGGCTTAGAAGGAAATGAAACCGTCAAATAAAAATCTTCTTTATAAACAATAAACACCCTGTTGAACCATAAATCCGGTCTGGCAGATTTGTGTAGTAGGAGGTTGTAATTGGCGCTTGTTTGTTGGCCGTCCCTTATTTTACTTTCTGTCTTTACTTGAGCAAAAGCACATTATGTGCGGTGAGTACAATAATCCCATTCTATCTAGAACCAGGATTTTCCTCTGCTGTCGACACGGCTTCGATGTTTCATGAAAGAGCGGACATGATACAATTATTTTTAGCAAGACTTTAGCCACCATCATAGCTTCTTTTTAAAAACAGCCACAGCTCGCAAGACACAACTGCCCAGTACTTTATCTGGATCGAGCACTTCTCACAAACAAACAATTAAAAGGGTGTTCACTGTCAATTATCAGCAAAGCGATGAACTTTCGAAAGTAAGAAAGGGTTTCACTCACAGCTCGAGAGCGCATATCGGGACGAGTAACCATGTACAAAAACAAGAATGTATAAAGTGGTCTATTGCTGGAGGATGTTACGAACAAGATGAAGTGCTACATTTCTGCTATATGTTAATGGTAAAAGTTACAATTGCTCAGCTTCGTCTGGAGCCAAGCTTGCGCTGCTTGCTCGGATGTTGGATCATATCCTGCCGACAAGTATAATTTGGACCGAGTTGTTTCTTGGTACGTCGGAAATTCGTATTTGTGGTCTATTTTTCTACAGGATACCAGCAAATGCTGGTAGCACCCAGTAGTCGATTTTCATCGTTTGCACGCCTGAAAATCGGGAATCGAAGGTTCATCAAACTGATGGCTGTAATTTTCCTGCAGCGGGTCCCTTTCCGATCCTAGGAACAATGTCTCCGCAATAATAAACATACTGAGCGAACTTTTGCGCCACCCAGGATATTCATAACGGCCGCAAACCGCAAATTTAACTATGCGGTTAATTAGTTTTCCGCTCAAAATTGGCTGAGTGTACCTGAATCATAGTGCCAAACGGTCCGCAGTAATTATTATCGCAACCATCAACCATGTCTTCCAGAATACGACAAGGAAAGCGCCAGCGAACAACGACATATCTCAAAGTTTCGGAGCGAGAGACAAAACTTATCAAGGTTTCGAGATCTGTAGCAGCGACAACTGGGAATTACAACACCATGCCGTTTGAAGTTCGCCAAACGCAATCTTCAAATGTTGATTCCGCACCATCGCAGTGGGTAGACACTGACAACGATGATGATGATGTTTGCGACCAGCCCAAACGTAAAAGTGCAGCTGCCAAGCGTGCAGTTCGTTGGGTTTGCCTTTTCCCGGGACTACTTAAGGCTTATAAAGAAGGGTATAAGCAAGCGCCGGTCGCCGAGGCACTCGAGCCTATTGATGCAGCGATCTGTAGTTGTAATGATGATAAGAAAGCCAGTAGAGAGGTTACTTGTATCTTTAAGTATGGTAAGCATTATTTTAAAGTTTATTTAGGAGAAAAACAAAGGAGTAAACGCTGTTGTTTGTTGAGGCATTCGGCAATTCACCATCATTTACTGCAAAGCGTGCCCGAACTTTTCCTTGCCACTTGATTTGATGCGTCGCCACATGTTACCTTTGACGCCAATAAACCCCGGGCATGCAGTGCACATAAACATTTCATAACTTGCATTGTATTTGTCGTGTTTCAGTGCACAACATTGCCAAGTGGATTGAAGCCGATTTCGAAGAAGAGGTACCATCTTTTGATACGCATTTTTTATCTAGGATATAAACACACTTATGTTGGCTATTTAGGTTCCTGCATCGCTTAAGTCTCGCTTAAACGATGCACTTCCTGTTTTTGGCAGAATACTTTTAAGTCTGAAAAAGGAGTTGAGAGAGCAGCACGGCATTGAGAACAATGTGTGTCCCGGCTGCAGATACGTGGTACTGGTTCAAATTCATTTGCTGTTTCGGGTTTAGATATAAAACATTTAAACATGTCTATTCCAGTTCTTCCTATTGCTTACTGGATCATATATTTCTCCTTCCTCTTCTTTTCGATTTTGTACCCGTATATTTATGTGCTCTATAATATTTGGTAGAGCCATGCCAAGACCGTAGCATTGGACGGTAACTTCCAGCTGCGACTCTTTGCACATATCAAAGATGTAGACGGCGTGGAATTTGAAGGAGAAGATGAGGTCAACACCATTTGGGTCAACGAAACTGACCTCATCCCTTATAATGAATCGGTAAGGTGTTTATCCCTACCATTATTCAACAGTGTCTAGAACGCTCATACCTTTACATATATGATAAGGCCAAGGATGGGTGCGCATCCTTTAGCGCGCTTGAAAAACAGGGCGGCTCAACGAAGGGTCTCGATCGAACCGGTGCCTTTGCGTGCACCTGTGGACGCCACGGGTATCCAATTGCTATTGTTGACATGCGTAGCAAAGGCGAACGGTTAGTTGAACTTTTGTTTGTTTCACGATGTATATAATACTCACTTTATGTTCATTTGTAGCTATACCTACGTCCTAAGTGCTTTAAAGAAGGTGACGGATACTGAAATGTATGGCAACAACATACGCATCATGTACGATGTTGGTTGCAAGCTTCGTACCGCCTTAAAGGTAGTAATGAAAACCTACTTCAATAAGTATGTGTATGTCTCTTCTTGTATTCTAATTAGACGTTCTTTCAGAAAACACCATCGCTGAAAGATATTGAGGATGTCCCCATCGCAGTGGGAATTTTTCACATTACTGGGCATAACGCTGCTTGCCAAGTTCACTTTCATCCTCGTCTGGTTAAAGGCTTTGGGATGATCGATGGAGAGTCTTTAGAACGAATGTGGTCATACCTCAACGGTTTTGTATCCATGACACGCACCATGACCCCTCTCAACAGGCGGTTGACTGTAACCATAGCTCTCGAATTTTTAGCAGAGGAAAAGATTGATAACATTGGTATGTTATAGATCATTATCATTGTTACAAACTTAAAAGAGGATGCGACTAATACGAATATTTTAGGTCTTACAATCCAACGAAAACATGCGCGCGCCATACGACTACTAAACGACGCTCAGAAAGCCCTTCAAGACGCCAACTATTTTGATAAGCTAGAAGTTCTTTTACAAAAATGGAATGAACAAATAGAGCTTGCAACATCTGAGCCCACCACAGAAAGTGGAAGAATCAAGAAGAAAATAAGCAGTGCATACGAAATCCTTCGTGTAGCTGTTTCAATCTATGACATTAGTGATCAAGCATTCAAAAAGCAAGGCAACGGTAACGATACATATCTCCTTTTTTTTCCTTTCCTAAATTAAAGGTGTAGTTACTCACTCAACATATGATACACCTCTACAAAGGTCACAGCCGTACTCAAAATCTTTCAGGCCAAAAAGGTGCAGTCCAGAAAAAAGTCTAAAAATGCTTGGATAGTTACAACGACATAGCTAAAAAACATTCGGTGATAGGTATCATAAAAGACATGGCTACGTATTCGTCTATCGTTTTCTTTCCACTTACCGCAGTAACTGTTTACCAGATTTAAGCCCATATAAAAAAAATGCTTCCAGTATATTGACAAAGAACAGCCAGTTCAGAAAGCATGCCAACCTTCTTAATTCTATGGGTGATGGCTACCTTACGATGCTTTACATGGCTATCTGAGAGCTAAAGAAGAGTTGCAAATGTTGAAGGTCTGCACAGTATTATCTGAGGTTTTTTTTAAATTCACTCTCATTGATATAAAAAACATATATAGGAGGAAGCGATTTCGGTGCTCAGATATGGAAACGACGTCGTTACCAAGCTCACAGCTGCTGCCAACGACCTCGAGGTTGGCGTTGATATTACGGACGAAGACCTTGGAATGGTCGTTATTTGCAAGCAGAAGCTCATGAGATCAAAGCGTTGGTACGGGGAACAGAAAAGTCGTCTTAGTAAAATTGCAGCAGGACTACGATCCGTAGCAACCAGCAGCAATATCCAGGAAGAAGAAGGCGAACAAGCTGATGAAGTTGACGACGAAGAACCGGCAGACCCTGTTCGTGGATTGAAAACATAAATTAAAACCAAAGCACAAACTATTATACATATACTAATGTCTTTACATATGGATACAATATTCAAACATATTTACCTCTATTGCTCATACAGTACTTGCTTTCTCGAATAGTCTATAGTGCAAAGACAGCATACATCAGCATAGAAGAGATAGGCTCGTTATTCAAAAGCGCGCAATCTATATCACGACAGCTATTCTGACCTTTGCTTTCGACATCGACATGAGTTATACCGTGAATATGTATTGATAATTGGATAGTAGAGCTCCATAACGATGTATAAGACACATAAGTTACTTCTTTTGGCATTGGATCGAAACCTCTAGTCGATCAAGATTCCTTGCAGTTGATGTCGCTGCTTAGTTTAAACTCCTTCACTAGAAAGGAAGCATTGTGTTACCTTATCTATGACAAACAACTACTGCACACCAGAACAAAAGTATTTCGACTCCCGTGAGATTCAAATATAGTACTATGAGCATCATCTGAGAAATCGAATAATACCGGCTGATGGGCTGTACCACTTGTTCTTCAAATAATCGAAAATTGTCAAAAATGAGAGGTGGGAGTGAGAAATGAGGCGATTTCGGCGAAAAGCCAAAGGCGGGTAACCTATTCTATTTGCTTTAAAACGGCTCGTTTCGACAAGAATTTATCTCTGGTCATTTTGATGTTTTACCCAAGGTTATAGAGAACGACGTGGCAAACACGATGATACCAATTACATTGCTCTGTACGATCGTCATCGTCTGCACAAAGCATTTTCTTTGTATCGTTTTCGTAAACCGCTCATTTTGTGAAACAGTCCTTCCTGAAACAGGTATCGCGGTATGGCTGTTCACATCTGATGAAGCATCTTCTATACTTTTTATATAGCTTCTGTTGTACTACTGAGCTGGCACAGTTCGTATACGCTGTTATGGGTTTTAGCTTAATTAAAAATTTGCTTATAACATAGTAGGAAGTTTTTTGGCGTGTATGCATTTTAAAGCGTCTGTCATCGAATTGACGGTGGGGCATCTTCACGTTGCTCTATGTCTTAAGACGTTTGTCAGTACGGATAATACCTACTTATAATTGCTCCGATGCACAATAGTGTTAGCGATTCTCTCACTAATAAAAGCCCCGGCGCCACTCTTCATTTCTTTCAGCGAAATCTTTCAAGTTGGGCGTATTTGTGCTGTCTTCCAGGTACTTTCTTAAAACTGAGAAACCTTCCAAGTCACTAAAATGGTCTCGCATTATTTCGCAGCTATGTTTTTAGTGTACCTTCTTCAATATGTGGATCGGGTGTTGCTGTCATGGCAACTGCGTGCAGGCAAAAGAAGGTGGTAAACTAGCAACAAAAGATAAAAACGGGGCAAGAAACGCTATGACCGCGTGGTTCGTGCTTATTGTGATAAAAGTTTTTAGTTGTGGCTTAATTTAAAAATACCACTCGATGCTGATACAGTGTATGTAACCCCTCCGCCAACCATTATACGGTATGAACTTAGATCTTCAAACAGGTGAGCTATATAAAATTCTCGATTCATTTTTTCATTTCATTCATCTTTTTATTAGGTCTTCAAAAGACCTCTGCTACGTTAGCATTGTCGGTAATGTCCAAGTGGACTACAAAGCTCGCTAGTACGTCACTCCCTGTTAGTCTTCCCTTGTAATTGCGTTTGTCGTTGAAAATTCACCAAGGTTAAAGATAAACAAGACATTTTTGGCACATTCATTTGGACGTATCGTAAAGAAACTCGGCGTCAGAACGGTAACAAGTTATATTTATAAAGACAGGATGCGAAAAAAAAAACTTTTTTACTGACATAAACGCATTTATGTATGACACCATCTTTCTCTCATTCTTCTCTAAAGGACCTCTGTCTGGGCAATGTCCAAGTGGGCTACAAGGCATGCTAGTACGTAACGCCCTGCTAGCCTACCTGTAGGCTGCGTTTTCTTCATGACACCAACTTTCTCTCATTCTTCTCTTAAGGATCTCTATCTGGGTAAGAACTCCTAGCCTCTGCTTGTTGACTGCGAAACTCCTTTGTTGCTGCTACACAGCGCAATTTCTCTTGATACGTTGTGAATCAAAGAGCGCTAATCTATCTTCTCTATCTTTCATTTATATGATGATATCCGAGGGACCCCACATTTATGGCATCTAGATATATCTTTGGAATATTTCCATTAACAAGTTTAACATGGGTTGGCGTGAGAAAAGAGGAGGAGGAGCAGGATGACAAATACTGGCGAGATGGGGTACATAAAATCATTAAATATGTGAACCTATAAGCAAAATCTGTTGGTTCTATGTTTGTTGATATCGTTTGCTCCCCACCATTGTGATAGAAAACGGTGTTGGATGATGTGCAATATTGATCGCATTGCGTAGTATAGGCATTTGCAGAATCAGTTAATAAAAGATCAGGCTCAGTATATTCGGAGCGCTTCGAAGTTCTTCCATCTTGATGCTCTAAACAAACGCGGAATACATATACATTCTACTATGTCTACGTTTCTTACCGATGAAAAAGAATAGTGTGTAAAGAAAAATTAACAAAGGATTAGAAAGGACAATAATGTTGTTGCTTTTTTTGGAGCTGCAAGGCTGTGGTTCTACTTGTTCAATTTTATTAATTAATGTAATGGTGTATCGGTGCTGTTCTGATTCGCCTATGTCTTCCGTATAGTATAAAGTAATATAATTACCGATTCATCATGTAAACATACAATATTTAAACGAAGCAAGAAGCAATTTGTGAAAGTTCATTTTTGATCCAGCTTTGTCAAAGACAAACAGGAGTATGGGATCGCTAAAACCGAGAAGCTTCATTTGATAGGCTATATACTCAAAAATGCGCTAACTATGGGTTTCACGGCCGAGAACTTCATGTATCCATCGTGGCCCTGAAAACGGTATAGAAGAATACACACTGCATTTGGTCTTGGCAACCGAGATACATACATTATATCGTCAGATGGTAATGACCATCATGTGTCTTGTGGCCAGATCCACAAAAATAGTAGGGAGTGACGCGGTGGTGTGTGATTGTTGCTCAGTGAGTGAGTAATGCCCACGATGCTTACAATCTTGTGGCACGCGATCTACATTTCCGTCACCGCACAACAGCAACAACCAAAACAATAACAACGAATATACGCTATATATGGACATGTGAGTCAAGCACAAAGTTTCAAGTAAGAAAAACAATCGTTTCTATTTCTGCTGTTCTCTTTTTTTTTTATTAAAGCTGTCTTTTTTTTTAACGTATTTTCGTCTTTGAAGGTATTTTCGTCGTTTTGCAATAATGTCAAACCCCATTGCGGCAGGCGTGGAGTATTTCATACAAGGCGGCGGTGGCGGTGCAAGCAGTAACGGAAAAAGCTCAGTAACAAATCGATTCGTCAACGGTGGCGCCCCTCACCAGCAGCAGCACCACCACCACCATAGCAATCACCAACATCGCCAGTTTCACCACCTTCATCACCATCACAGCAGTCAACCACGGAAACACCACGATTACCACCAGTATCACAACATACTGCGCAAACAACAAGAACAGCAACTCCTTTTTCGCAATCAGCAGATTCAGGAACAACACCAGCAGCAGCAGCAGCAGCAACAACAACAACAACACGTTGCACAGGTGGAAGGATCGCGTTGGCATTCCATTGTCAGACGCATGTCAGTTGGCATACAAAGAGCTGAGGACAAGTACAACAGTAAGGGCGGCTATTATGACATTGACGACGACGAAGAAGAAGACGTTGTTATGCGTGAGGCGGCGCAGGAGGAGGTTCAAATCTCTCCTGCCTCGTTTGACGGATTTTTCAATCTTGAAACACTACCGATGTGGACACACAAGCGACCGCCTGGGATGCTCGGTGAGGGTGATAATTTACCATCTATGGATGAAGTCGCCAAGGAAGGAGCACGCGCCGCTCATCTGGCAGAGAGTAAAAGCAATTATTTTGAGCATCCGTTTGAAACAGCTGTTGCTCCATGGGATCAGCAAGGTGTGTATATACATAGAGGAGAGAGTAGTGTATACATAGTCTCTCAATTGACTGTCAGTAGGTGCCACAAAGGTGTCAACGGCACTAGTGCCAGTCAATGGACGTCCTATATCAACGGTAAAGCATGAAAGCATATTTATCTCGTTCAAACGAACTTTTGAAACTAAAAACGGGGGTTCTCCCCCCCTCCCCCTCCTTTTGCATTATGCACTATGTAGCCGCGAGACTTGTTTGGACCTTTGACAGTAAGTTGTTGGATTAGAAACAACGTATCACAGAAAGCGCCACAGACGGTGCCACATCAGTGTGTAGCTCATGAACACAATGATGGATTTGTGAGACGCTAACTCTATCTAGGTGTCCATCCGAGATGTAGACGAAAGCAACACGTTCTATCTTATCGACCTTCAATATGGGGAGATCAAATGGACGGTCAAGCGCAATGTGGTCGATTTCTACGATTTGTGGGTGACACTCAAGTTCAGATCCACCATTGAATCGCCTCCTTCGTTCCCTAGCAAAGTCCAAAACTTTGCACACGCCATCGCGTCCCTTCGATCTGCCCACGAGCAAAACTCCATCATGATCCACTCGGAACTGACATCTTTGGATACGCGTAATGAAAAGCGACGATTGGAATTGGCACAATATCTGCAAGAACTGGTTGAGAAATCGCAAAAAGTGGAAGACTTGACTGGATTGACTGATCTGTGCGAGTTCTTGGAAGTGAGTGGGATAAGCATTGTCAAGGATATGGGATGGAAAGGCAAGGAAGGATACTTGGAGCAAAAGGTCGTGACCCGGTCGGCGCCTGTTTTACGTCCCATACGACGCTATGGATGGGTGAAGAAGTGGTTTATCCTGCGCGATTCGTAAAGTGTTTTCTTTTGAAATTCTTTAAATATGCCGAAAGAGAGAGAGAGAGAGAGAGA